GCTCGATATAGCAAGCCTCTCTAATGGACCGACCACATTGAACTCTTCAGAGCTTCCGTTCAATACAGTACTGCACTCTACAGTTATCATGTCTACCTCCACCACTGTTGCCGATACAGCAGATTCCCACCCACAGAAGAAAGCCAAAAGAGAGGCCGTGCCAGAAGCGTTATCTGGGGATGCCTTTCTTGGTGGAACCGATGTTTGGGTCAAGAACATCCTGCCGTTCCTCGGAATCGGGCATTATGTTTTCGTGGCGTCTGTCTGCCACAAAATGAGAGACCTATACAAAGCCTATTGTGACACTGTGGAAAATCCTCCAATGGTCAATGATGATGATGATGATGATGATGATGATAATAATCATAATGATCGCAAAGCAACTTTTTTGGATACTTTCTTCAGCGCAACATTTTACACTGTTTCCCGCTCTGAGTTTTGGTACGCCCACAGTCATACTGGTATGGGTGGACAGGTCGTCGGTGAATATGTTTGTTTAGTAGCTGCTAGAGTGGGTAGTATTCAAGTTCTCAAGTGGGCCCGAAACAAGGGTTTTGAATGGGATTCATATACTGGCAAGAATGCTGCAATGAAGGGTCACCTACATGTCCTACAATATGCCCATGAAAATGGCTGTCCGTGGAACGAATGGACTTGCTCCCATGTTGTTGTGAATGGCGATTTGGAAATCCTCAAATATGCCCATGAGAATGGATGTCCGTTGGATGACGACGACATATGCCGTCTAGCAGCTTGGCATGGCCATTTGGACATGCTCAAATACGCACATGAAAAAGCTTTGACGTGGGATGAAAGCACAACCCAAGATGCTGCTCGCAATGGCCATCTGGAAAGCCTGAAATACGCTCATGAAAATGGTTGTCCTTGGGACAGTGGCACATGTATCTATGCTGTTGAGAATGGCCACTTGGATGTCCTAAAGTATGCCATTGAGAACGGATGTCCGTTGGATGATGACGACATATGCAGTCGAGCCGCTTGGCATGGCCATTTGGACATCCTCAAATACGCACATGAAAAAGGTTGCCCGTGGGACAGCCGCACAACCCAATTTGCTGCTCGCAATGGCCATTTGGAAATCCTCAAATATGCTCATGAAAATGGTTGTCCTTGGGATGACAACACATGCAGCTGTGCTGCTCGCAATGGCCATTTGGAGTGTCTCAAATATGCCCATGAAAACGGCTGTCCTTGGGATGAAGACACATGCCGTTCTGCTGCTTTGAATGGTCATGTGGATTGCCTCACATATGCCCATGAGAATGGCTGTCCATGGGATGTGGACACTTGCTGCTTTGCTGCTGCGAATGGTCATTTGGAATGCCTCAAATATGCCCATGACCATAGCTGCCCATGGGAGGAAGGAACATGCTGCTGTGCTGCTGTCAAGGGCAATTTTGTTTGTCTCAAATATGCCCATGAGAACGGCTGTCCATGGGGTGACGGGATGACAACCGTCAATGCTGCCTCCTACGGCAATCTGGAGTGTCTCAAATATGCCCATGAAAACGGCTGTCCTTGGGATGAAGACACATGCATGGCTGCTGCTAAAAAAGGCCATTTGGATTGTCTCAAATATGCCCATGAGAACGGCTGTCCATGGGATGAAAACACATGCTGCTTTGCTGCTGAAAATGGCAATGTTGAATGCCTCCAATATGCCCATGAAAATGGTTGTCCATGGGATGAAGAGACATGCAGCAATGCTGCTGAAAAAGGCCATGTGGAAGTGCTCCAATATGCTGTACAGAATGGTTGCCCATGGGACAGAGATGAAGTCTTGAGGGAAGGTACTTCAGAGGTGAGGTTTTGGGTTCAAAATATGTTATCCCAGAGGAATGCATAAAGTTTCTCTAGTTGTTGTCAGCCAGTAGGATTGAATCATTCAAGCATATCACTTCACTTGCAACTTTGTATTGTTGGTCCCTTCTGCTTCATTAGTGATTTTGTTCCTACCAAGCCAAAGTTCTGAGTGCTGCCTCTTTTACCCTAAGCTTGGCACCCTTTTTCTTCTTTTTTGTAACAAGCATATTCAGTTTCAGCTCTGGCTGGATAGCTGACTAATAAAATGTGATCGGGAACTAGCTAGCTACTAGTATGGTAGATTTCAGTTTGTGGTTGGCTCACAAAACAGAAAAACCTCAAGACAACATCAGCACTTCAACAACAGTAACCGTCTCCCCATGGTACACCTCGCCGAGCCAAAGGAGTTCCAATGTCAATAGACTAGTGACTCTGGTTGGTCCAAACTCCGTCAATTTTCGACCTTAGATTCCTGGAGTGATCATCAAAAACGAAATCACTGGCACCATCCCTGACGAAAGTCCTGAAATGGTCGGTGCCGTTCGCAAGTATCATACCAAGGACGGCAATGCCTTTCAAGAAGTCGTTCGTACCCAATTGCCCGGCAAGGGGAAAATACTACCTGTACATTGTGGACGTTCAGTGACTCCCGGGGTTTTGCCCAAAAGTAAGTCTCTGGAGCGTCCCTCAATCGTGGGTGAGTTTTAAATCCGACCCAAATCCGACCCTAAATCTTTGAAACCCGACCCTAATTCCATGTAGCAATAGGGTCGGTTTTGAAACCCGCCCCTAAATCGAAACCCGTCCCTAAATTAGGGACGTTTTTTCAGAATCCGTCCCTAATTTTAGGGTCGGTTTCGAAACCCGACCCTATTTTAGGGTCGGATTTCAATGTATTTACCACTCAGTCCCGCTTCCATTTAGGGACGGTTTTCAAACCCGCCCCTAAATCGAAACCCGTCCCTTAATTAGGGACGTTTTTTCAGAATCCGTCCCTAATTTTAGGGTCGGTTTCGAAACCCGACCCTAAAGGGGAATCCGTCCCTAAATCCGACCCAAAATTAGGGTCGGTTTTCGATATAAGTCATGCACGATTGAGGAACGCTCCTGGTTACGATTCGTGCCACGGAAAAAGAAAACAGCAAAGCCTTTGTGGAGATTGAGATGGACATGAAGTTGAAGCCCCTGTTTCGAATGATGGGTTCTGGGTACCGGTACGTGGTTCGCATTGTCATGCTCAAGCCACTTGGAGACTTCTAGGGTGCCATGGTAGCTGGTTTATTGATAACCAGAACGTCAAGAAGTTATTGATTTTGCTTTGGAACCGGGCTACATCAGACGAGGTTGTGTCCCCTGCTTGCAACTATTCAAAGGTCACGTCATTGGTAAGCAAGCACTGACATTGTGTAGAGTATGGATCTTTCGTATGCGGATTCGATGCGTTCAGAAGTAATTGAGCTCCAGTAGCACGAGTGCGGTACCCTACGTGGCTCTTGGCCGACATAATGTATGTATTCACCAGCACTGTTATAATGATCTCGAACAAGCCTATGTTTATTCAATGAATGACGCGTAGATCCTACATTATGTTTGTGTGGCCAATGTTGTCTCGTTTGAAGAGACTACAAGATTATCAGCATTGCGTCGTGTCTACTATTTTAAAATAGCACACTCCGCCACGGTTGCAGCATGATGCAACCTTGGCATTTTCACTAGCTTGCTAGTTAGCACTCCTCTTGTTTTTGACGTAGAATTGTAGTCCTGTAAGAAGCGAGAAGGACCCAAAGACGAAAGCAAGGGTTGACGACTTTGCTTGACCGACATTTTTGAGAAAGGCTGCGCACAAGGCAAGGTCAGTCAGTTCGATACGTTACGTAGCGCAGTTAGTGACCATCCATTGTCAAAAGGGCCAACAAACCAATGAATGATTAGACGTACCTCCCATTCCCAACCAGACAATGGATGACAAGACGTTGAGTTCGACAAAGGTTGATCCCGAGAGTCGCTTTCGTTTGGCAGCATCCATGAGTACAAAGATGACACCGGCCAGAAGCTGGAGTTTGGCCATTGCCAAGATCCGAACGGCCAGTTGAGCACCCGTGGCTGCGCCGCCACCACCGAGTATCAATTCTCCCAGCTCGATCGCCTTTTTGACTAGTAAACCAGCCGAAAAGAGTGTCCCCAAGAGATAAATTCCAGAACTAGCATCGGGTATGGCGGAGACAAAGACTCCCATGGAACTCTGGAACAACCCCACCAAGTCGTTTCCAAAACTAGCATCACCCTTTTTATCCCATCCTTTGACGCCATATCCCCATCCCTTGATTCCATTGATCGTGGCGGACAAGGATGCCAGTACGACGAGCGGATTGCAGACAATCTTGGCCCCTCTCGAAAGCGGTGTTGCTGTCCGTTGAGTGACCAATATCGCTGCCAGTAACCACGCCAGTCCAAACTTGGAGAGCATGAGATTCAATCGTTTGTACGTGTCGCTACCCAGTCGATCATTGGTGGCGGCGCTGGTGAGAATGTAGGCAACGCCCCCCGCCAATACGGGTCCTCCGGCATAGTTGAGTGCCATGGCGGTGAGTTGTGGTTTGACAAATGCCGGGACCAATGTGGCAATGCTCAGCAAGGCATAAATGACGGCCGAGAGACGATATCCCATGAGGACGCGTTTCTTGCGGCCGGCCACCTTTTTTGCAGTCTTGTCGTCGTCGTCATCTGGAGTGTTGTTGTCATCGTTATCACTCATGGACAGCACTGTTTCTGGTTTGTTGTTGTCGGTACGCCGAAACCAAGACGGCCGAGTAGGCATTTGGGCGGAGAGCCTTGTTGCCGTGTGCCTACTACTACCAGTATCCAGGGCCTGATGGAGCGACGACGGATGTGACTGGTGAGCCCTGTTGGTCCGACATGGTTGGAATCGAACGTTTTGAAAGGCTGTGGCTAGTGTTGCCAACAGCAACAGACTGGATGCTACCAAGGTGCTTAACTTCGCCATGGTGATCGGATGCTACAGTATGTGATGAGTGGCAATATCCTTTTGACCTCTTTGTATTCGGCTCCTGCATGCCGAGGTGGCGAAAAATTGAAGTGGTGTCAAAGAAAAGATACCGGTGCTGCGATCCGCGAAAAGCTGGATCTCGCAACTGACGTCAGAAGATCTTTGACACCTTCCGAATTCCGAAGCTCATCCCTTCCGATCACTTTTCTCTCTCAACATCCCAACGCTCGGCTTATCAAAAACCAAAACATCCATCTGCTCCACTGATATCTATGTTGAGCGAAGAACGACGAGCTGATAGATCTAAAAATTATTTTTGCCTGCCAGGATAGAAGAAATAATGTCATTACTACAAGACGAAAGCACTCCGTTGCTACCCTCTCATCAGCAGAATCAAGTCCAACTCAATAGCAACTCGTTGGGTGCCCACAATACTGCTTCTTCTGCCTCCACAGCGCCTCGTCATCACGATCATCTCAAAACGTACACGGCGGGCGAAGATGCTTCTCGTTTGGCGGCGGTCGCCAAGGAATTGGGCCTCAAAAAGCATCGCAAATCGAGAGTGCAAGTGCGAACCGTCATTTTGTCAGGGATTGCAGGATTGCCATTGCCACGAGTAGATGAAGGAGAAGAAGAATCCCAACCACAAGCGTCGTGGTTGGAAATGCTGGCCGGAGTGGCGGGGAATGTGCTCGAGTGGTACGGTAGGTTCAGATTTTGATGATGGAATGACATAAAGAAGCAAAACAATGACAATAAACATTTGGATACTCATTCACTCATTCTTCCTTCTAATATCGACCATGAAAAAAGATTTTGCCGTCTTTGGTTATTTTGGCGACATTATTGGCAAGGTATTTTTCCCACCGGCAGAAGGAGATGCACAAACCTTGGAATCCTTTGCCGTATTTGGTGGTGCCTTTTTGATGCGACCCGTGGGAGGATTTTTATTGGGCTATCTCGGTGACGTGTACGGTCGCAAACAGGCACTCACCACATCTATTTTTCTCATGGCATTTCCCACTTTTGCCATGGGATGTTTGCCGTCCTATGAACGAGTGGGATACTGGTCCACCTGTTCACTCATTATTATTCGATTATTGCAAGGCATGTCCGTGGGAGGACAGTTGATTTCGTCACTGGTATTCACATTGGAAAATGTACCTACCGAACACTGGGGACTCTACGGATCCTTTGTGTGGGCCACTGGTAACATTGGTGTCCTGTTGGGAAGTTTGGTCGGATACGTCGTCCGAAGGAGCTTTACCCATGAACAGCTAGTGGCGTATGGATGGAGAGTCCCCTTTTTGTGTGGTATTATTGTCAGTGTGGCGGGATTCTACTTGAAAGCTTCGGAAGACAAGGAAACTGAACAACCACAAAAGCAAAAACAACCAAAGGCCAAAAAGCAGGACAATGATATCATCCGAAAAGTCTTTAGTCGCAGCAATCTTCGACCCTTGTTTGCGTCCGCCATGGTTGCGTCCATGTGGTGTGCGTAAGTGCGAAACGCGTCGTCATTGGTGCAGGATGATTGATTACCCATAGTGTACTGACATATATTCTGTCGATATCGACGTTTGATTGATGGGCTGCACAGCGGCTTTTATTTGACTTTTGTTTGGATGGCCGTGTACATGACCGATCTCATTGATAAACCCGTACCCGCTGCCTTTGCAGTCAATGCCGTTGCACTACTGCTTTCCGTCTGTCTTCTCTTTCCCGTCGCTGGGTGGTTATCGGATACCTTTGGGAGACGCACCATCATGTCTATTGGAGGCGTCAGTGTTGCACTATTTAGCCCCTTTCTCGTTCGAATCATTGGAGAAACAGGTAATCCATGGTTGGCGTTTGGGGCACAAACCTTCTTGGGCGTTTGTTTGTCCTTTTGGGGGTCGCCCATGTGCGCATGGCTTGTAGAGTCGTTTGAACCAGAAACGCGGGTCACATCGGTCGCGGTAGGATACAACATTGGCCAGGCCATTGTGGGAGGTTCAACACCTGCCGTTGCTACCTATTTGGTTGGCGCAGTTGGCCCCACATCCCCGGGGTGGATTTACACTACCATTGCAACCATGGCAATGTTGGGACTTTGGGTTGTGGCGCCAAAATAGATGAACGCGACAAAGCAAACTGAGCTCAGTTGATTGGCCTGTTTACCACAATCAGCATGACAATTAGCGATCACGGGATGCTTGTGGTTGTTGGAATCAAATGATCCGGCCTTCTCCTGTCTTTCTTTTGTTGAAGGAAAGACCTTGCCGGATTCGGTTGTATCGTGAGGCATGTATCACTACATCTTGTCACGACTAGCAAGCCAGATGGGCTCGAGATCTCTGTATGCATGTGTGGGGGAGGTCTGGAACTAAAGCTGAGACTGCAAGATATCCAAGCCGTAGTCTCCAAGATATCCAAGCCGTAGGAACGAAGGTATGCTGGGACTCTAGCTAGGATGTAGCTTGAATTGAACGAGCAAGATCAACTCCTGATGAAGAACTGTAGTACTATGGTATTGTATACGTCTAGCACTTGCTGACACCCACATCCTCGGTCTACATGTACTAAGAGCTGCGAGACCTGAAATCTGAGCTTCTTGACTATTGACTATACCCCGTAGGCAGCTTGTGTCGTCCGCATTTTCGCAGGTGTCTTTCCCCCGACAAACTGCAGTCGCAAAAGCACTTCCTTCTTGCCTTTTCATGCATTCGTATGCACAGTACACAACCTGTCCTACTGTACCTGGCAGCTAGCATAAGAAGAAGCTAGCTACTAATACCGTAGCCAGGATACGTGCGTTACGGTTTACCTTATTTTGATGCAATATTATTGTGGTCACATGTCACAGGCACTGCCGACGCTGCACTTCTCAAATCCAAAAGACCCCCACACCAAGCAAAGACTGAAGACAGAAGATTCTTGGAGGAAGAAGTCGTTCATTGCAAGACAAAGCAAAGCACTTCATCCAATCTACAGATGGAGAAGGACGCCAGCAGTGGAACGGGAGATGTAGATTGCAGCTTGGCTAAGACGGAGCAGCATAAGCAATTAAAGCAAGAAAGGGACACTGGGAAACATGAAAAACAATCTTCCTTGAAACATGAGGATGTATGGCTGAACATGATTTTCCCTTTTCTTGGAATGGGACAATACGGTTTTGTGGCACCCGTGAGCCACAAAATGAAACACTTGTACCTTGCATACTGTGAAACCGTGGGAAATCCTCCAAAGATTGATGAGCTTGATGATAATGGAGAACTGTGCTTGGCCACGCATACAGCGACTTTCTACAATGCAATTTGCTCTTCTGTGGCTCGGGCAGAGTACTGGTATTCCCACTCCCACACTGGCACAGGTGGACAGATCGATGCCAATCAGGTCTGTGCTGCTGCTGCCAAAGTGGGTAGTCTTGAAGTGATTCAATGGGCCAAAGATAAAGGATTCCATTGGAATCGAGATACATCAAAAAATGCAGCCGCATATGGCCATTTGGAACTACTGAAGTACCTCCATGAGAATGGCTGTCCATGGGACTGGAGGACATGCTGCTTTGCTGCTGAAAATGGCCATTTGGAAGTGCTCAAATATGCCATTGAGAATGGCTGTCCATGGAACCAACAAGATTTGCTCATCATTGGTACTCCTCAGGTAAAGGCTTGGATTCAAGGTATGTCCTAACTTGCTGCCTGAATTTGGTCTAGCCAGTGACAGTCAAATGCCAATTGGTGGGACGGCAGTGACTTGGGGTCAAATTTTTCACCTGCCAGATAAAAGAATAGTTCAGATTTTAGCAAGCAGTGATCTGAAAAGGAAGTCCAAATTTTTGTAATTTTCTTGTAGCTAGGGAGCCTCAGTCCGGTTTGCTGTTGTTCAATGCTTCTTAACACATGGGTTTCTTGTGGTAGCATGGAAAGCAAAGACTAAACGAAGAGATCCCAATAAGCTATTTGAGTGGCACTGATACACAAGCACGACTTCCAAAGTGACGCTACTGGAGTCTGGTCCCTTCTATGGTGGAGCCATTCGTAAAATGTGCCCCCCTCGGAGGCATCACTTTCTTGTGCGGCAAACTAACCTGCAAGGAAAACGTCAACCTAGAATTAACAATCTATCATGCCAGGCCTGCATGAACTTTCCTTGGGGTGTGTTGTTGCTTTATCCAATTTACTCAAGTAATGCAATTTTTGGTTATACAGTCAGCATCGTTTTTCGTAGCCGACAATCATGCTTTACGCCGTGCGGTCAGTTTACTCGGTTTCAGGGAAGGAAGCCATCTTCAAGATGGCGCACATTCCGTACTTGTTCTTGGAGTTGCGGCTCATCCTGACATACCCCTTGTCTCCCCACTTGGCACCCCAGGAGTTTTTGACAATAAAGAAGGGTTCCTGAGTTTCTGGGTCAGTGCCATAGCCAACAGCTGTGCGACAAGGCAAGACAAACAAACCAAAAAACGTCAGCACTGGACCCAACTCCTGCAAGACATCCACAAGGACAGACACAAAAAACTCACCGAGAACACCATGATCAATATTTCCAGCTTTGCCACACGAGTCGTCAGAAATGATACCGTGCTTGTAGAATTGGAAGACAAACTGCGTGGAATAATCATAAATAGAAGGAAACAACAATGAGCCATGGCAAGATCTAAAACCGAACAGAATATCACGATGAATTTATGGTTGTTTGATTGATGTGACAGCTTGCTTACCTGGTTGGCTTGAATGGCCACCGAGATGGGCTGAAGGGTAAGGGCGGAAACCATAGCCTTGGTGCTACCTGGAGGGACATCAGTAAATGTCTTGACAATGGATCCTGGGACATCGGTACAGTTGGTGAGGCACGTCTTGCCCTGTTTGGCCTTGTAGGGGTAATCAGCTTCGGAGCACAATCCACCCGATTTCTCATCAAATTTGAAAGCATTGTCCATTCTGAGATGAACAAAAACCAGAACAAAAGATTTGCAGGTTAGAAATTCACAATTTGTCATAAAAAACCACCCTGTTTGCAGTTACATTTCCCCTCGAACATACACAGTTACTTACAATCCTCCATTGCATCCCAGATCCTTGTGGTCGCAATCCAGCAAGTTTTGTTCCGACAGAGGGACGAGTTCCCCCGTCTTGATAAACTTGGCTCCCTCCAATCCACCCGTGGTGGAAAATGCCCAGCAAGAGCCGCACATTCCTTGATCCTTGACCGGCGTGACGGCTCCCAGTCCAACCCAATTGACACCATCGGCAGGAGCCTCCTCTTCCAATCCACGAATGGCATTATGAAATGCCTCAAAGGTTTCACCGGCTCCGGCCGTGCGTGGAGGCACTTGACTGTAGGGACCCAACTTGAAATGCCTCTGGAATTCATCCTGGGTCATGTCCGAGAACGGGTTGTGGCCCAATGTGAAGCTAGGAGGAGGATCTTGGTCATTGTGTTGTTGGATGCGTTCTGTCCAACGGCAAAAAAGTCACGGAACATTTTAGAAACACCCAAAACGTCATTCCAAACCAAAATATTTCTCTTCCACACACAAAACGCCGCCACCAACAAAGAGCCAATATCCAGCACTGTCCACCATTATCCTTCCATTATCTTACCATTATTCTCGACCCAGATCTGCAAACGCTTCAATTTCTCCTCATGGCTGTCATATGACTTTTCGTGCTCGTCTACCCACGAATGGAATTCGGCCATGAGCTCCACGCCCAGTTCCAAGTGTTCAGCAACCTCCAATCCTTCGTTCGTTGCCACAGAAGGTGCCGCCACGAGGGCCAACAAGAAAAAGACAGACTTGGGAAAGTAGTTCATTGTGATACTGGTAGTAATAGAATAGTAATAGACAGGAATGCCAACAAAGTAATAGAAGTGGTGATGTCTTGTTTTCGAGAAATCAAGAAAGTATGGGAGGAGCGAAACGGCAACGGAGAGTCCAGGATCTTGTACGAACGATGACACCGTATTCCGACAGGCTTGCGTGCCTCCCAAGTTCTGTTCTTCTTTTTCACTGACGGAGATGAACGGCAATTTTTCAAGCGTTGATTATTATTCTGCCCAAGCAGCCCTGTAATGCCAGTGGTTGAACACAGTACCTACATGTAGCTCCAGCCAGCCAGCTACTAGCTAGCTATGGAGGTGCAGCTTGCTTGGTTTCATTGCTTGGCACTACAGTCGTAGACTATTGCAGCCTGATTGGTTTTCTAGCTACCGTAGCCTTTGGAGCAACGAACGCGATGGTTATTCTCGTGCTGGATGGCAATCAGGAAATACCCTTGACGGAACATGGAGGAAACAACCAGCGGGCTGATGCGATGACAGTGTGTTATTCGCTAGCGCTGTACGCATGGAAAGAGGTGCATGGATGAAAGCTACCAGTTTTGCAGGTTCACCCGTGACAAGAAAGAAAGTAAGTTTGAAGAAGATTGGCTGGTCGGATAAGCTCTACCCTCCAAGCAAACAGCTATGAAACTATGTTTATTCAATAGTTCCAATAGAAATCCCATCCATCATGATCTATTTGTTGGCTGGCTGTTGGCTACATGTCTGGATCCTTACTTAGTTGGTTCAGCATTATCTTTTTCCAGCTTTCGTTGTTTTCTCTGTTGTTTTTCTTCCTTGCGTTGCTTTCGCCGCTTGGCGATTTCCCCTTCTTCCCCTGGGTGTTCTTTTTGATAGGTTTCAATCAATGTCTGGATTCGTTGTCGTCGTTGGTTCCATTCCTCGGTATCATTCTTGTGGACAATGGTCAGATTACTGTGGTCTTGTGCTGCCACTTGTTGTATGTATGGAGGAATGTGACGCGGAAAGACCAATGTTTGAATGCCCGACACGACGAGCGACCCCAAACATTTTTTGCAGGGTGGCATGGTAATGTACGCCGTACAGGCTTCCGTGGCATGGCCGTGCCGAGCGCATGCGCCTAGGGCGCAGACTTCTGCGTGCAGGTCACTGTCATTGACGGAATAGAGCGCCCGATTGGTGGCCACGGCCAAGATGGATTGGAACAGAGATAATGGGGATGCTGTTTCGTTATCTTGTTGTCTTTTCGTTTGTTTGGTAATGATACAGGCCATGCCTCCATCGCGACAAGTGGAGCTTCGAGTCACAATGAGGAGCAGATCCAAAAGGTTGTCATCCACCGACAAGTGGGGATCCGGTTTCCAGCCGTACGTTCGAAAGGGCTTGAGTGCCTCACAACCTGATGCTCCGTCGGTGTTACTCACATTATCTTGTGTGGTGGTTGGGTTGGTCTTTGTCTCTTCCTCTTCCATGGTGGCTGTGGGGTGTCTTCGGTTGCGTGCTGTGGTCCTTGCTGATCTCAGACGTGGATACTTTACGGCTGACGGCCAGACGCAGCTCTCACAGGAATTTTAAAATCGCGAAATTGCCTGGAACGGTACGGGCTAGTGTAGCTGGCTCTTTGGGTCTCCCAATCCAAAAACCAAAACCAAAAGCCTTGCAAAGTCCAGTAGTGACACCCGACTCTGGAGTGGTCCATCAAAGCTCAGCCTACCCAGATAGGAATCCGCGTTCGAAAAGCAACAAGGATGTCCACGGAGAACAAGGATACCAAAGGCCAAGAGGCGGGGACAGCAACCATTGAACATCAAATACATGGTGCAGTTGTGGACTGTGACGATACTACCATGGAAATGGGCCTGCCATCTCCCCATCAGGATGCTGGCACACACAGTAGGTCCAGCGTCATGCGCTCTTCTCTTGACGCTTCGGCTGCGTCGAATCAAGTTGATCTTGTACATTGCATTTTCACAAGAACCTCCACTGACAGGCCTCAGCTGCTCTGTCCATTGACCAAACAACCTCTTAAGGATCCAGTGGTGAATCCCACCAATGGGGTATCTTATGAAAGAAGTGCCATTATCTGTGATGAAGACATTGGCCTGTACCCTCCCAATAGAGCACTCAAGGACTACTTGCAGGCCATGCAGGGGCTACAGGAAGATTCTGCTGTGGATTCAACTAACACCGATGATTCCAAGAAGGCAAGGACAACCAAAGATCTTTTTGCTTACTTTGTCTGCCCCATAACTCAAGTGCTCCTTCAGGAACCTGTCATTGACCATGAAGGAAACACATATGAGCGTGGTGCCATATTTGACTGGGTTCAGGAGCATGGTGTCTCTCCCATCACCCGGAATTCATTATCCATTGAGCAGCTTTGTGACAACACCACCATCTTTGAGGTGATCATTCAAGAAAGGCTGCTACTCCAACAGCATGGAATAGGAAATGATGAACTCCAAGATTTCAAAATGGCAGTGTCCATGTGCACACCTGGTGACACTGGATTTGCTGCTGCTGCCTATTACAGCTCTATATTTTTGGAGGACCTACCGGTACGGGTACAGCCAAATAGGCAGCAGCCACAGGAATTGGAAACAACACCACCACCCAATAATGCCAACAACAATGCACGATTGATTCAACCTCCATTGGTCTGTGTCCTTGCTTGGGTGGTTGCAACCTGGTTGTCGATTTATCTTGTTGCAAAGTTGTTTTTTGGCGTCGTCTTAGTGGATTTCTGATTTGCTTGAACAATCTTCTGAGAAGCTAGCTGTCTTTCTGACATAATAAAATTGTCCCAAGCCCCTTTTAAAAGATTTCCGAGCCAGCTCCAAAGATGACCTTCTCTTCCCTATGCTTGGCCCTCTGGGCCATCTGCGGGCTTGCCTACACTTCTAGCCAGCGCTAGCTCGTGGAAAATGCAAAATTGCTAGCTAGCTAGTAGCCATGGCAGCTAGCTACCGGTAGCTACTGGAACGGCACGGTAGACTGGTTGTCGTCACGTTCGCAGCTTTCTTCGCCGGAGGATCTCGATCAGAACCCACATTAAGCCAGCTTCCGTTACCAAAAATACGGTACTCGGTTCGGGCCAGTCCCTCTTTGGAACTGCCCCGAGCCGAGTACCTCAGCCGTGGATACTGGGCTGACGGCCAGACGCAGCATTTTCATAACCGCAGTCGGCAAGTGCTTGTCGGTGGAGTAAGCAAAGAAGAGGTTGCCACTGCTTGCTCGGTTCATTGTGATTGTGATTTGTAGTGTGGAGAGTGTTGGAGATGATGCGATTGGCTTGTCCTCGTCATGGTTGTGGTAGAAGACTCTATTTGAGAAGTACAAGGGTATCAAAACAGGCACAATCCAATTTTTCAGCAAGATCCTTGTGGACGGTCCATTCCGAGACTGGAATAGTCTCCTGGAATAAGGAACCTCGCTTTCAGACCATTATTGGCTTGGAAATTCACTGCCAGCTGGATATTCCCACCAAACTCTTTTCGTCGTCTCCCACCACTACCACTAATACCGCCAAACCCAACTCGTTGGTGCATCCCTTTGACGTTGACGTTGCTTCCAGGATTTTTGCCCCACACGTCCCAAGAGGCCGTCCAAGCTGCCATTCTGACAGCGGCAGCCTTGCAATGTCAATTCAACACCACCAGTCGATTCAAACGCAAACATTATCATTATGCCGATCTACCCTTTGGCTATCAAGTCACACGACAACGATGGCCCATTGCGCAGAATGGAAGCATCGCCATCATGGCACCTCACACCAAAAAGAAGAACAAGAAGAAACAACAATCATCACAACAAGTAGTAGTTGGAATTGATCGCATCCAATTGGAACAAGACACGGGAAAACCACCACGTCTCTCACATGCAACGATAACAGCAGCTGGACGACGCGATCCTTGGTCGACTTTAATCGGGCGGGAGCGGCACTTGTCGAAATTGTCATGAATCCCGATATTCGATCCTCCCAACAGGCCGCCAGGACGGTGGAAACCATGCGACAATTGCTCCAACACATTGGAACGTGCGACGGGAAAATGGAAGAAGGATCTTTGCGCGTTGATTTATATGTCTCCATCCAACCCATCGATACTACTTTTGTACCCAACCTCCAAAATCGGGTCGAAGTCAAAAATTTGAATTCCTTGCGACAAGTCCAACAAGCGGCCGAGTACGAAGCCATGCGACAAGCCACGTTAGTGTCGGAATCTATGACGGTCGCATTATTTCAAGAAACCAGAACGTTTCATGTCAAATCGGGCCAAACCGTCTTGATTCGATCCAAAGAAGAGACAAAGATTAGCGATTCATGCCCGAACCAGATTTACCACCAGTCGTACTGGACGCCACGGTCTTGGGCGGACATGATTCTGTGTCGAATTTTTTTGACGAGTATCTCCCGGATTTGCCGGATGCGGCCCGAGAACGACTCGAACGGGAGTATCAATTGGATGAGTACACGCCCGTGTCATTGCCGGGGATCCTCCGGGCCATTCGAATCTACGATCAAGCCGTGGCCACGGCACAAGCGGCACTACTGCCCGACAACAATAGCAGGGAAATTGCGCAAACCGTGGCCAAATTCTTGTGCAACGATTTGTTTGCACTGATACGAGACGAGGAAGAACGTCGTCGGGCCTACGAAGGAGCGGTGGCGGATAGTAGTAATGGCGAGTATTCCAACATTACCGGTCCCCAGTTGGGGGAAATTGTTGTCCTGCTGCTCAATGGCACCATTTCCACGACCATGGCCAAAAAGTTACTGGCTTTGTTGTATCAAGAGGAACTGGGCCAAAGTCCTTCGGAAGTGGCAAAACGACACGGCCTACAACTGATATCGGACCGCCAGACATTAGAACGATTGTGTCACGAGACTCTGGAACAAAATCCGGAACAACTGGAGCAATATCGCAGAGGGGGGAAGCACGCACAAAGATGAAAAAGTTCTTGGTGGGCAAGGCCATGGCGCACAGTCGAGGCAATGCCCATCCCGAACGATTGCAGGAAGCCTTGGAGGCAGTCTTGGAAGATGTGGCGCCGGGAGTGCAATGATAGACTGTACCGTAGAATGAATAGAGTCATCAAATTGTGACTGAAACAAAGCAGCCTTGTAGCCATCCATCCAAAATTAGCTTGAGCCATGTAGCAAGAAACCCCTTCTCCGGTGGATTGCCCATGGAGTGCTGATAATCACGATGCTTTGCAGGGACTCATGGAACTTGCTGGCGAACCCATTAGCATATTTAGTAATTGAAGGATGTGTTGCAGCTACTCGTGCCCTTCCAATCTATGCACTTTTGAAGGGAACTCATGGAACTTGCTGGCGAACCCACAGAGCATATTCAGTAATTAAAGCATTTGTTGCAGCTACATGATAGCCCTTCCAATCTACGAAAACTACCGGTAGCTATTAGCCAGAAGAACCAAAACCACAATGGGCAGGCTGGCAGATAAACCAATTTCAAGCCTTTCAAACTTCAAAATAAGCTTAGGTGATAATTAATTGGGCCAAATTAAAAAAACTACACTGTACCATCCCACCAATTGGCATTTGACTGTCACCGGCTAGTAAACCAAATTCAGGCAGCAAGTTAGGACATACCTTGAACCCATGCCTTTACCTGAGGAGTACCTTTGAGGAGCAAAGCTCGTTGGTTCCACGGACAGCCATTTTCATGGGCATACTTGAGGCAATCCAAATGGCCATATTCAGCAGCATCGCTACATGTGTCTTCATTCCATGGACAGCCGTTTTCATGGGCATATGTGAGGCAATCCAAATGGTCATATTTAGCAGCAAAGCAGCATGTTTCTTCATCCCACGGACACCCATTTTCATGGGCATATTTGAGGCATTCCAAATGGCCATTGAGAGCAGCATATTGGCATGTGTGCTCATCCCATGGACACCCATTTTCATGGGCATATTTGAGGCATTCCAATTGGCCACGATCAGCAGCTTCACTGCATGTCTCTTCATCCCATGGACAGCGATTTTCATGGGCATATTTGAGGTTTTCCAAATGGCCATTCGTAGCAGCTTCACTGCATGTGTCTTCATTCCATGGACAGCCGTTCTCATGGGCATATTTGAGGCATTCCGAATGCCCTTTTTCAGCAGCATACGTGGATATCTTTTCGTCCCACGGACACCCATTTTCATGGGCATATTTGAGGCATTCCAAATGGCCAAGATCAGCAGCTTCACTGCATGTCTCTTCATCCCACGGACAGCCGTTTTCATGGGCATATTTGAGGCATTCCAAATGGCCATTTTCAGCAGCAACATTGCATGTGGTTTTGTCCCAGGGACAGCCTTTTTCACAGGCATATTTTAGGACTTCCAAATGGCCTTCTGCAGCAGCATTGCTACATGTATCTTCATCCCATGGACAGCCATTTTCATGGGCATATTTGAGACACTCCAAATGGCCATTTCCAGCAGCATACTCGCATGTGAATGTATCCCATGAACAGCCGTTTTCATGGGCGTATTTGAGGCATTCCAATTGGCCTTTCATAGCAGCAGTGTAGCATGTCCTCTCGTCCCACGGACAGCCATTTTCATGGGCGTATTTGAGGCATTCCAAATGACCATTCATAGCAGCTTTGATGCATGTCCGCACATTCCATGGGCAGCCATTCTCATGGGCATATTTGAGGATTTCCAAATGACCATTCTTAGCAGCTTCACTGCACATTTCTTCATCCCACTCACAGCCATTCTCATGGAGGTACTTCAGTAGTTCCAAATGACCGTATTCTGCAGCAATTTTGGATGTGTTTTGATTCCAATAGAATCCTTTATCTTTGGCCCATTGAATCACTTCAAGACTACCCACTTTGGCAGCAGCAGCACAGATCTGATTCTCATCGATCTGTCCACCTGTGCCAGTGTGGGAGTGGGAATACCAGTACTCTGCCCGAGCCACAGAAGAGAAAATTGCATTGTAGAAAGTCGCTGTATGCGTGGCCAAGCACAGTTCTCCATTATCATCAAGCTCATCAATCCTTGGAGGATTTCCCACGGTTTCACAGTATGCAAGGTACATGTCTTTCATTTTGTGGCTCACAGGTGCCACGAAACCATATTGTCCCATTCCAAGAAAAGGGAAAATCGTGTTCAGCCATACATCCTCATGTTTCAAAATGGATGGTGACACCTCCACATCTGCTTGCTTTGGCTGCTCAGTGTGTGTGTTAACGGTCCTTGCCGGTTCCATATTGTGCGCCAAGCTGCAGCCTGCATCTCTTTTTCCACTACTGGTATCTTCTTCCATCTTGCTTCAGCCTGTGTTTACTTTTTTTGATTTTTTGACTTCGCGATCTGCTGTTGTGGATGTGTCCTTCGTGGCACAGCTATCAGCCAGCCGGCTGGTGTTTTCGCCAGCTAATGTATGCACGAATGAAAGATACCCGTTCCGCACCGCTTGGACCCCGCCAATGCCAGCCCACCCCTTCCAAAGTGGCTTCAGCTTCCCCTTTCTCACTCCTTGTTCTCGGAATGATGAGTAATGTTTATTTCTTGCTGCTTTATACTTCTGATAATAAAAGCAAGAATCATCAATAACGTCTCCACCACACGGAACTACTCTAGGATGCCATTATCGATTTATAATCACCGTCTACAGTTGTCAATCGCATGTGCGTTTTTTCTTTGGAGCATACTCGTATGTTCTTGCCACGCCAAAAGTTGGGCCGATATTGCCGCCAATAGGCACAAGGCTCCAACCCTTCTCCAACCAGAAGAAGGCGTAGTCACACCAGAAACAAAGACCACCGCTGACAGTGCAAAAATTTCCAAGAAGCAGACGCAGAATCCTTGCGTCTACAATTGCCTACCAAAGGGCGTTTTTAAGGCAAGAGTAAAGTATGTCTATGACGGAGATACGTTGTGCTTGGTCGATGGCCGAAAAGTACGTTTTCTGGGAATTGACACCCCGGAGCTAAAGCCAATCCAGCCGTTTGCCCTTGAAGCAAAAGAATATGCCACTCGTCATTGTGATAAGAGGGAGATTTATTTGGAAGGAGACTCCACGGATCGATTTGGACGACTGCTATCTGTTGTTTGGACCAAGTTGCCAGATGGAAGATACCTGAACGTTTGCGAAGGATTGGTTGCAGCAGGATTGGCCACTGTTTATCATGTTTCTGGAGACCCCAATGGAAAGAGCCCGTCCAAGAAAATGGTATCTCTTCAAAATGAGGCTCGAAACACTCCATTGGGACTATGGAAAGACTTTGTGGACCGCAATGTAGTGGTTACAAAGTACGGTGCTGCTTACCACCTACCAACCTGTCGCCATTTAGCCCGATCTCGTAACACTCGAGTTCTCACTGCTAGCAAAGCCCTAGACCAAGGACTGCACCCCTGTCGAACTTGCCTTGAGGACTAAAACTGGAGTACTTGACAGACTCACGTTTCTCTTTAGAGAGAGACTTGCACATGTATGATTTTACAACTGCTAAGTTAATATTACTGAGCTTGGAAGTGGCATGTTGTCTATATCGAATTTTAGGCGACTTTAAAAAGTTGCTGTGGAGGGTTTGGAGCGTGGAGTGCACTGGTACCAGCTCGTCCTCGTGAAGCTTCAGTTACAAGAGAAAACCACTGAAGACAGCACGATGGGAGCCTTGCATGGGATCTTCCTTGGCTTCAAGCTGGACAAACAGCGATACAACCGAGATTGCATTCGACTGCAGTGGTCAATGCATGAAACTGCAAGCACCTTGTTCTTGTTGCTCAGCTGCTGTCTACGCAAGCTAATGTTCATATTGCAAGATCACACAGAGCAGAATCGAGGGACCTAACGAAACAGACCTTCAAATCAGTTAGTTAGCTATATCCTAACCTCCCTCCTCCCGTGATCATCCGTGGTCCCGCTCATTTGCCAGTAAGGATCAAAGAATCCTTCCACTCCAATCCGGAAATCCATCGAGACGCGTGTCTTGTCGCTGTCATTTCGATTGACAAAGTGACGACAGGAAGATCCATGGAACGAGATGATCTCTCCCCGGTGACACAAAATGGCACGAAAATCCCCCTTTTGAAATTTGGATTCGCAAAACAAATCTACTTGATTCAAGTTGCGATCCGTCAGTGGGAGCCAGAAATTCAGTTCGCCATTCTGATGTCCGTACTCGCCATCGTGGTGTGGTTTGACACCCGCACGTCCCGGTCCGGGTTGAATCCTCAGTGTGGGCGGTCGTTGAATGTAAAAGCTCAATGGCGTGTCTTGCTTTGCCGCCCCCGCCGCCACGAGTCGCTGCTTGACATGCGGCAGTACCACTTCTTCGACCAGTCTGTCAAAAATCTCCAAAAAGTTGGCATCCGCTGCCACGGCATCCGACATGTACGCTTGTGCCGATTCGCAGCACCCCCCGTTGACTTTTCGATGCAACGTGTTGGGTGGCAGGACAAAGTCTTCCAGACTATTATTGTCATTGTCATTACGAAAGGATCCCACCATGTCAGGATCCAATCGTTTCAACAATTCGGTGAATGCTTGGCGCAGATTGTAGGTTTGTTCATTGTAGCGAAAGACTACTTCCTGGCACATGGAATCCGGCAAGAAGGTAGTGTTGGTGTTCTGTCCCTTTTTGTCTTTTGGATTAGGATTTTGTTTGCGATGTTTAGGATTGGCCTTGACTCGATGCGCGGACGACCGTAGTGTGGCAATTCCCGATCGATACTTGACGTCTGACAAATCCTCATTGTCGCCATCGGTAATTTGTGTCAATGCCTTGACTTGTTCCACGGAAGTGCATGTGCGTGGTTTGTCGTTGTTATTGTTATTGGTGGAGGAGTCTCCAGCATGAGTGGCTGTTGTATCCTTGGATGGATTGTTGCCTAGAGTATCTGCACCCGACGAGGGCGCTGTTGTAGAACCATCCATCGCGCTGTTATTGTTGTTGGTCAGTGGCGGTATTATCCTCAATACGGCCTTGTGATTGTTGGGTACCGTGTACATGATTCCCGTTTTGGGGTCGACGACACCCCCTTCGTATTTGGACATGAGTCGAAAGGGCCGTGGTAATTTCCACGTCGTCACTCTGTTATTACATGCATCGTGTGAAGAACAATCAATTCGCAGCACGGATTCTCCCGAGAGTGGAATCCCATAGACGGATTGATCTGGATGACACATGACTCCATTTTGCCATTTGTTTTGACAAATGCGTTCCATATGCGTGTCGTAGAGATTGGGTCCGACTGTTTGAACCGTTTGGGTTTGTGTGTTTATTTGCAAGACGTGTTCACTCCCGGATGGAAAACAATAGACATGTCCATCGGGTCCGGCCAATGCCCCCAAATACTTGTATTTGTGATCGGTGCGATGTCGTCCCGTTTGAAGCACGTCGGACGATCCCAGTTGAAACAACGTGGGTGTATCTCCCGGTTGAATACAGAGGACGGTATCGGCATTGGCCGGTACCGAGACAATAATGCCATTGGCGGCGGCCGCGGCACCATGCCATTTGTGTCCTTGTGTTCCCAAATCTCCATGGGTCGTAATATGGTCGGCATTTAATATGCGCAAGACATGCGCGGCATTGTGAGGAATGCCATAAATGGCGCCATCTGTTTTCCCGACGATGCCTCCATAAAATTTGTATTTGCCCTCTAATGTAGGCCCGACAAATTGACATTCGTCGGTGGTAGGATCAATGCGGAGAACATGCCAGGCAGATTGTGGAATGACGTAAATGCATCCATCGTGGGGACTGACGGCGCCACCGTGGTATTTCCAGAGCATGTGCCGTTGTTCGTGTGCCGTTTTTGCGGCGTAGCCATTTTGGCTCGAATAAAACGTGTCATACGGCAATGGTAGTTCGGTCACTTGCTGTGTGGGGACATGAATCCGCAATACCGTTCCTCGATTGCAGGGCAATCCGTAAATGACATCTCCCACGACAATGCCGCGGAGCCACTTGTATTTGCCCGGAAACGAGGGTCCCATCGGAAACACTTTATCTTGATCGTTGGTAGGATCAATGACCAAGACACGATGCGCGTGTCCTGGAATACAGTAAATGCGACCATCGGATCCAAATTCGGCTCCCAAATAGAGCGATTGACCCGTGAGAGGATGCGACGAATAGAGATATGTCAATCGAGGTCCTCCTTGCGATCGATAGTCGACGTCATCTACGGGATGATCCTTTTCATTGTAGTAATCGTCCTTGTCATTTTGAACCGAATAGATTTGGGCTTTGTTGGACGGATACTCCGTGGGGGGAGTACTGGTACCAGTACTAGTAGTAATACTAGCAGTGTTGGTGGGGTTGTTGTGGTCGTTGTGGTCGTTGGTAGATCTTGCCATGGTCAACCAACACAGAAAAAATCTATGAAGGGGGACCATTGGATCTTTGCGGCTTTCCGCTTTGTGGATTTTCTTGGTCATCCAGTTTGGACGGTCGACAGCCAGACAAAGAGACAGGGTGAACGCTGGACGCAGACAAGCTCCAAAGTCTTCAACTTGTACCGCGGTTTCTAACGGGAGGGCAATACAGTAACGCAGTGTTACGAAAGAACTTCGGATGCTGGCATGGCAGCAGCAAAGCAAGACCACGATTCCTGCAGTACTACAATGTCCATTGAGCGTACCACCGAATTGGCAAGGCTTCGACATAATAACAACAACAACAGCAATAGACACACCAACCACAACAACACGACCATGACCAGTGCTCCCTACAAAGATAACGACGATCTAGGTTCGGATACCTCGAGCACCGGTTCCTCCAGTTCATCCGACGATAAACCATCCTCGCGGAATAGATCGAGTAGTGCCAGTGCTGCCACGTCTTCTCTCTTTGGACAGCAAAAACAACAGCAACAACATCAAGAATCATACCACGAAAACGATGATGATTACGACGACGATCAAAAAGGATTGTTGTCCAATATGGTCGGCAGTCGAAAAGAACGAGGCTACTATGATGATAACTACGACGATGACATTGACGGCAGTAAGAAGCCAGAAGCCTCGCAAAAACAACAAAAACGACAACAACGACGCAAAGTGGCCGCCGGAGTTGCCGGAGCGGCGGCGGGATTGGTCATGCTAGGACCTTGTACGGCTGTAGCGGCAGGAGTTGCGGGAGCCTATCTCATTCGTCGATTTGATAAGAAAAAGCAACAAGAAGCCAAAGAAAATACCAACAGCAGCGAACACGAACTCGCATCCTTGATATCGCCTTCCAGAGCGGAAGTTTGAGTAATGGAATGATCCCTGTGTAGGAATAGCGGCCCGGAAAACTATATATGTTTGTCCCAGGCCAAGACGAATCGAATGATCACTCAACCAGAATCGTATTTTTTTTAAATGATGGACAATCCATTCCAAGCAATCCACATCGCAAGAGAATAGGTAATCACAATTACTGCAGCAACAACAACAAATTAAATAATTGAATGCATGGCTGGTTATCTTCATACTTTAGCTAGCTACGGTAGCTATCCAACTCCGCACCCGTCCTCAACCTCCTTCATGCGGCTCCTTAGATAGATTGCCGTTATGGTACGGCACGGTTCAATGTCAGAGCTCCAAGTTGCTGGGGACCAAGGCAAGAGAGCTGGAGAGATGCAGGTGGTAGAGCCACCAGAAATTGGTTGTGCTTGATACCTTGTCATGATGAGGCTTCGAACCATATCGGGTTCACAAACAAGCTCAGTGAATAGCTGTTAATCGAATGAATCAGGCCGAAGCTCACAGAACACCGTCTTGGCCATCACTTCCAGACGCCACTCCAGCCCTGTAAGTAATACTTCCTTCAAGACAGCTTCAGAATCACCGTTGTAAAGTGCTTTCTCCACTTCCCTGCTGAAAAAAGATGTGCGCCACTAGGATCATCTGGATTTCAAGTTAATTCAACCACGAGTTCACGCTCATTCCCTTTTCGATGTCAATCGCCTTGACAAAAGGAACAACTTCTCCGTCTTTGCTTGCTGAGCTTGTGAGCATGGCGTCCAATCTGTGGGTCACATACATCTTCGGGCAGCATGGTGTCTCTTGCCATTCTGCAGTTCTGCACTCCTGCAAACATTTATTTTACCCAGATGCGACAGCACCTTTCCAGGCTCACCAGGTATGGTTCAGTGACGGAGCTTCAACAAGTTGCTGGAAAGCAAGGCAAGAGCTGGACAGATGCAATCGGGCGGGGCACCACAATTGCCTCAACCTTGGCTGCATTTGCGTCATTGAGTCGGTTTGGTTGTTGGTTGGGAAACGCTGGCTTGGCTACATGTACCTGTGCCCAGTTTAGTACCAATACCACACGCACACCTGTTGACTTTTTATAACGCCAGAGAGAGGCAACATGTTTGCTTTCACGACAAGGTCACTGCTTCTTGGGACAAATCTGCCATCCAATCTGCGGTAGCAGAACATCAGCGAGAGATCCATGCAGATGACGTCAACTTCAATGTTTATCCCGAAGATCCCGAGCTCTGCTGTAGACATAGAGCCAGTTCTGGCTGGAGCTAACTAGCTAGTGTACACTCTTTTCACTCACTGCTTGCATGCTGTGCATATTGGAGGCCAGGCAGGTTCTTTCTTCGTTGGTTCTTGGATGGCATCACCCAAGAATCAGAGAAGACTCTTCTGCTCCTTCAGCAGGTGGCTTGGCGACTGGGATGCAGCAACCCCCTGCGCCTAACTAGCTAGCTTCGTACTGGGGTTCCTAGCTTCTTACCGGAGACAGGCTGATCAGAGATAGTGCGTTGCTTCATCAGGGTTCCTTCTTTTCTCAACCATTCCTCTCCCTCAAGTTGTTACTCAGCTCTGGCAACCTTCCCTTGTTCCCGTTCCTCTCCCGAAAGTTCTGCTCTGGCAACCTTCCCGTCTTGCAAAACTTAGTTTGTCGTTGCACGCACATGATTCTGTCCATGGAGGTGAAGATCTTCGTTTGCGGTTTTGGTGCGGCCGAAGTTGGAGAGTGGGAGTTGGAATACATTGCTAGCTAGACTATAATGGAAGTTCAAAGCGAAGCATACTACGTAAGAGGTTGCAGTTGATTATGAATCCTGCACGGTTTTGAATACGCTTTTTCCTACTCAGATGGCCAATCAGTGCGCAAGGAAAGGGAAGGGTTGGCCGAGTGATCGGTCTGGGCAACAAAGGAGCCTCTTGGGCAGATGAGTGGCTCATCGATGCGTCGATGGAGCAATGAACTAGCTTGTGTGGATCTAGGTTGGCTGACAACTAACATCACCCCTGAAGGCAGTCACGGTACCTAGCAACCCAGGTCGAATTGAGCCACGCCCTGTGCTGTCACAGCGTTGAAAGATATGCATGCATTAGTGGTCAAGAAAGAGATGCATGTATTGTGGTCTACCGGTATGAAAAAACCTTTGCAGTTAAATATATTCTAGAGTTTATTAGTATGCTGTACAGTAGTAGTGGTGGAGTCAATCAAGCAAAAGAGTAGCTCGGCAGCAGAAAGGATTTGTGTGTCGCTTGGCCTTTTGGAGCGCAGCACTGGGTAGCCTCGCGGTTGCAATCCCCGTGCTTTCCTTACAAACTCATGCACATCGTGCATTCTGCGAAGTTGACCATTGGGGGGGTTGCTTGTTTTCCATGGTCCTTGCTTGATCTTGGTAGACTTGAAGCAGCATTTTCTCCTTTGAGCTCAAGGTTTTGATGAGTTCTGCTGGGGCAGAACCATCCACAGATTTGCCATCCACAACAATGGAATATGACTGATGGAGTGGACTTTCAAACAACATTCCTTCCCTTTCTTCCATGTCTCTCATGAGCTGATCAATGTCAACAAACTCCTCACTGTCAGTGTTGGTGTTGACTTTCTTGATGGAGACGTTGTTACCCATGATGTTCAGTGATTGCTTTGCTTTGCGTTGTGAATGTGTGTATTTGTGAATTTGTGAGGTTGCTTTCTCGAGGAAATAATTGTGAGCAAAAGGCATCAACTGATGCATTGGCCAGAGTTTTGCTCAGCTGCGATGAAGAACCGATGAAGGGGTGATCCAAGACAAGGTCGCTCCGAAACCAGCGAACCAACTGCCAAGAATGGACCAAACTGGATGCGACCAGTGGCCGGAACCATTTCGAACAGAAGCTGAAACAGCCAGTGGTTTTGAGAGCTGTTTTGAGACTCGGAAGTGAGTTTTTAAAAACATAGATCCCGCATCCCGCTGGTCAAAGTTGGAACTCGAGCGTGATGTTTTAAAACACAGGTGGGATCAAAGGAGAAGCCACACGTGATATTTGTTAATGGAGGTGAAGCTACTCGAGTCGGCAATTGTAGAAAACGAATTCTGAAGTGGTCATTCTACTCGAGTATGCTGGCATAAAGAACAAGGGCACAAGCAGTACTCATAGCTCGTAGACTACTACTGGAGTAGTAGTAGCTATTAATTATTAATAGTCGCAACAGGCTCTTTTACTCGCAACAGGCTCTTGCTACTGGCAGTAGGAGTAGCTACTGTAGCTCTACTGTAGTAGCTCAGCTACGGTATAATAGTAGCTAGCTTCTGTGCTTCTGTTACCGGTAGGTGATGCGCTGGAGCGGGTTTCCAAAGGAAGAATGAGTGACCGTCAGAAGTCGCAATCGAAAATGTCAATTCCAACAGCAACTTCGAGCTAGCTAGTACACTCCAAACTCAATAATAAGAAAGCTCTAACTGGGAGTCAGTACTCGAGCTTTCTTACCCAACTGCTCTATTTTGCTACTCGTTTTATTTCTAAGAAAACAAGCCAATTTCAGTATAGATGACTTTCTTACTAAGCTTCTATATCAAACAGGGTAGTGTTTGGTTACACCCAGTGCACCTGGGCCTTTGGGTCCAACTTGCTCAGGACTCTTGGGTCAAAAAGAGATGGTGATCACATTGTCTGCCGCGAGGCAGAAAATTTTGCAGTTTTAGGCACATGTTAGGAGAATTTTCATGGTCTCAGACTAGTATTATTTCTTGTGCTTTGAGGTATCAATACTGGGAGGTTTTCTTACAAGTCTGTGATATTTCAGTATAAAAAGATTCTTATCTTTTTCTAAAATCTGAGTACTCGCTTTCTTATTTGGAGTTTCTTACCTTCAGGTTTGGAGTGTACTAGTATTATCTATTATTACCGTAGCTGGTACAAGCTGAAGATAGACTAGCTGCAGTAGTAGGTCCATCGATGATGAAGTACATGAGCTGTATGGTACCAGGTAGATGGTACCGCTATGGTACTGACTACCAGTACTCAGATTAGATGATAGCTCGTGTGAGCTTAGCAATGCTCCAGTATCAGGGTACCGTATCAAGTACTACCACGCCATAAGCTACTCGTTACATTAGTCTACATCATGATATCATGATGTCCAAGTAAATAATGAGTTATAGTTTATCACCAGTGGTCGCCGCCACCTGTATTCCTTCTTCTCCACCCTCCACTTCTTCAAGCTCAAGGGGCAAGTGATGGAGCATCCAGTACCAACTCTGCAGTACCCTGATATTGCCCTCTGCCCTGTTGGACAGGCCGTGCCGCCGGTGCCTTCTCTCTTCTCTACTAGCAGTCTGCCATGTCACTCCTGAAAGCTGCCCGCTACTCGCTCGCTCTGGCAGTCTGCCATGTCACTCCTGAAAAGCTACCCGCGCACTGTGCCTGCACCGGTACTTACTCATCAATGAAACCAAGTTAAGCGCCTCGCTCCTACCTCGAGCTTCTACCAAAGCTTTTCACCCACTTACCTTGGCTGGAGCCCGGGGCCCGGAGCGCCGCTACTACATACATGACGAAGTTTCAGTACTAGCTACTCTGTAAAAGTGCCAGAATTGCCACACTTAATCTACTAGCTAGCTAGATCATAGTAAGAGGTGGTCAGAAGTCAGAAGTCAAGCTATGAGACAGGATGTCTACGACCAACCACTGTACAGCAACAAAGAACAGGGCAAAGCACGGAGCTCTTCCGGTGAGCCGTAAGTGAAAAAACCCAAGGCCTTCTCCTCAAAAGCTTCTTTTTTTACTCTTTCTGGTGACCTTGCTCTGTGATCACGAGCGAAACTTCCTCTGCATAGGCACTCAACTGGCTGCCACCACCCGCTCATCCACCGCAGAAAGCTGGAGTGTTGGGGGGTGGAGTAATCCAGTGTCATCTAATGCCAACCATACAGTATCGTTGCCGGCTGTGGTACATGTACTGGACTGCTCCCCATCTCCAGCAGTCAGCCAGTCAATCATATTATCTCGAAATCGCTTGGTTGGCTCGCTGTGGTTGCCTAGCTAAAGCAACCACAAGCACCGGAGATGATCCAAGATCCTCTTCTGTGCGATTTGCGATGATGTGCTGGTTTCCTCCCCCACTACGGTACTACTGAGCCTAGCTAGTACGTAGCACCTGCATTGCTTTGGACGTGCAGCTTCGTCCAGCAAGTCGCAACTTGCAACTTTTGATGCGGCAGAAAGCTGCGGTACCGTCTTGGCCTTTTACAATGTTCGCTGGAATTGTGTTCCAGCTGACGAGTGTTTCTCGGAAGTAAGTTGGCCCCGTTTATTTGTTCTTTACTCCGTGTAGAAAACAACTTCACTGGCTTCTTGTTTGTCCTTACAGTACCTCTACAGTAAATGCTGGATCTTCCCTGACTGCCCAGGATCCGGAACAGGAGGTTCTCGGAGATCCGAGAAGCGAAGTGAACCCCCGTGCTAGCGTGGGCTGCCGGTTCGAGAATGCTGGGCACCTCATTCGCTCCAGTAAAACTCTTTTCTGTTGTTGTTTTGAAAAGCTCACAAAAACAAATCTACAGTGCCCACAACATCACAAGACAACACAAAACAGAAAGAAACCTACAACTAAACAAAATGGGAAACAACGTATCCATCAAGAAAGTCAATGCCAATGGTGACAGTGATGATGAGTTTGTTGACATTGATCAACTCATGCGTGATGTAGAAAAAAGGGAAGGAAACTTCTTCGATCATCCACTCCTTGATTCCTCAGTGTCCATTGTGGTTGATGGAAAGTCTGTGGATGGCAACACACCTGCAGAATTCATCAACACCTTGAGCTCAAAGGAGAAAATGCTGCTTCAAGTCTACCAAGACCAAGCAAGGACCATCGAAAACAAGCATTCCCCCCAGCGGTCAACTTCGCAGAATGCACGATGTGCCTGAGTTTGCAAAGATTGCATGGGGTTGCTACCGCGAGAGACGACCAAACACAGCTAAAATACAGGCCGCCCCGCCCAAGAACAAACAATGAAGGGTTGGAAGGCCCCACCACCATACCGGCATCCCTGGTGGCTAGCAATGGGAAGAATAATACTGCCGCAACAAATAGAATATAATACACCACACCACTACTAAAAAATCTAGAGCTACATACATGTATCTAAAGGAAGAATAAATAAAGTTTAGACCATCACTTCCTTCCGAGGTTCTTTCTCACTATTTGCGACATCGGAAGTTCTGCGAGTTGCTTTTAGTTTCTGGCTCCAAGGTCTTTGGTACGTACGGCAGGGGTAGCCGCCCACTAAACGAACGACTAAGCAGGCCGAGAAACGCCAGCTTTCTCAACGATGTTTGGATGTTTTGTTTGGTGATCGTTCAATTGATGTCCGTGCTTGCACGGAGGATTGATGTGGTATCGGGAGGCCTGGGCTCGTTTCCTCCTTCAGACTTGATGAACTAACTGGCTTATATCTTGGATCTTTACCCAGGACCCTTCATCTCTTCAGGTGACGGAGTGATTTTTTGACACTCTTCACTCATCTTATCATCAGAAGGACCTTGGCATCACAATTACTGGTACTGTTGGATTTGGTAGAAGTATCGATACGTTTTCAAAAAACAAAGAAAGATGCTGCTGACAACGAAAGGAAGATGCCTGGTGGCAATAGCCTGGTGTTTGGTGGCACTTGGAGTGGTTGGTGCTGCCAGAATCCCTTTTACTACTCGTGTGGCATCCACCATCAGGGGTGGCGCCAGCAAGAGCAGTGCCGCTACAAAGAAGCACCTGTCAAAAGAAGAAAGGTACCGTACAGTAGTATTGCCAAGCAAAGGAAACTTTTCTCTTTAGTTTCTGAAGTGCTGTCTGAAAGCTCATTTTTTGACACTTGCTGATGTATTCATTATTTAGTGACGAGCTTCGTCAGCAAATTCTTGCTCTGATCTCCAAGAATCCAAAAGGTACGCATAGGTAGTGTTTGGTTGTCGTGTCGTCATCACATTTGCTTGTTTGTTTCTTTGTTCAGTAACTGGATAACGTCACTAACAACGGTACTTGTTTCAAATCTCGTTTCCTCACTTTTTCTATACGGTAGGCCACGAAGATGCCGACCTTCGAACGACGGTTGCCGATCTACTCCAAGAATACGCTAGTAGTTCTCCCCAAGTGGATCCTTCCGATATAGTCTTTGTGATTGGAGCCCAAGTTTATGGTGCCGAAAAGGTGGAGTTTCCTCATCACGAAGAGAGTGTTGATCCCGTTATTGTCGATTTTGACTTTATGAAACAATTCATGAAAGATGTATTCTTGTCCTACGGAGTGACGCCGGAACGAGCCGAGATTTGTTCCGAAGTTCTCATGGAAGCCGATCGACGAGGAATCGATTCTCATGGACTCGGCAGACTCAAACCAATCTACTGTGATCGAATGGATCAAGGGATCCTCTGGCCAGATAAACCCATTACCATTATCAAGGAAACCGAGACGACAGCATTGGTCGATGGCAATTTGGGATTGGGTCTCTACATTGGACCCTATTGTATGCAACTGGCCATTGACAAGGCCAAAAAGTTTGGTGTTGGTTTTGTGGCGGCACAGAATTCCACCCATTACGGTATTGCTGGCTATTACACGTCCATGGCCTGCGAACAGGGCTGCGTCGGTTTTTCGGGTACCAATGCCCGTCCTTCCATTGCTCCAACTTTTGGGACGGAACCCATGCTTGGGACCAATCCACTGTGTTTCGGTATTCCTTCCGATGAAGCGTTTGATTTCAACATTGACTGTGCCACATCGGTGAATCAACGAGGGAAAATTGAACGCTACGCCCGGGAAGGATTGGCCACACCCGCCGGGGCCGTCATTGATGATGCAGGGATCGAACGGACCGACACGGAAGGAATTTTGAAAGACATGGTTCTGGGAAAATGCGCCTTGACTCCGGTGGGTGGTGCTGGTGAGCATTTGGGTGGATACAAGGGATACTCATGGGCCGTCGTAGTCGAACTCTTGTCGACTGCCTTTCAGTCGGGACCCTTTGGAGAAGCTGTCTGTGGAGTGGATCGGGCCACGGGTAAACCCTGTCCTATGCCTCTTGGTCATTTCTTCCTGGCAATTGACATTGAAGCGTTGTGTCCTTTGGATACATTCAAGGAGAACGTGGGAAGCTTGCTTCGTGCCATTCGGGAGAGCCGGAAGAGCCCCTTGGGCCCTGGGAGAATTTGGACTGCGGGTGAAAAAGAAAACGATTGCCGGGTCGAACGTTACGCCCAGGGAGGCATGGTGGTGCCTCCGTCCCTTCAAAAGAATATGGAGCTATTACGCGACAAACAACAAGTGCTAAAAGAAAAGTACGCCGTTCTGCCTTGGGAAGAAAACAACTAAACTTACTTCATCTTTAAAAAAGGAACCTGTAGGCTGCATTGAGCGTTCATGTGCGGAGTACCGGCGCCAGTAGGAATCTGTGGTGGGTTAAATAGTCTTCTTCGTACGATTTAGCAAAGAGTAGATGGATTAAGTAAATTGTACTGAAACAGGTCACCAACTGCCAAGTCCCTAAAACACAGGCTTTGACCTCTGTGACAACTTTTTGGTTTTGGCATGACTCGACTCATTCATCTCCTTGGTGAGATTCATCAGTGCTGGGCTAAAATATGTACTTGTGAAAATTTGGAACGCGTTGGCAGGCCCCATAGATTTCGTTGCAGGTGTTGATCAGGTTTCTGGTGATTCTCGAGAAGGTCTTAGTAATTCAAGTCCTTCCTTGTTGCAGAGCTGGCAGTGTCGTGTCCCGAAGTTCTTGACGGTGCTGATGGGGTTGTCTTGCCACGGGACGCTCACTTGTACACTATTCCGAAGGATCCTTTGTTGATGGGTTTCAGTGTTTTGCCAATGAAACTGATATTAGGTCATTCTCCATGAAGTCTATAACATCTTTGAAGTGTTCGTTGGTTTGAAGTTTAAGGTTACGTTGGGTTGTGCCCACACATTTCGTGCCGGTGTTTATGCATTCGATGCAGTCCAGTACCACCTTGTTTCTGCAGACGTTGCTGTATAGACACTGGCCGTCCTTGCCCTTCTTACAGGGTTGGCAGTTGCATGATTCATTGCGGAAGTTCCTCGAGAGAGACCATGTCCCTTGTAAGCTTTCTTGGTCAACTTAAAGCATTTCCCGAAGATTCGTGAATCGGTGGTATGACATTGAAGTCCTAATCCACCCTAGCTAGACCATGGTCTTTCTTGATATCGTTGATTGCTTTGTGTATGGGGTTTTCCACGCTTTGGAGTGCCATTGCAAAAGAGCAATGATCTCTTTCGGTCCCTCTCTGGTTTTTGGGCTTTCCGGTTGGTTATGGTGTTTTGGTTTGTTGCCGTTTGGACATATGTTGTTTTCTTGGGTTGGGTACTGTATGTGGTATCTCTGTTCTACTTTTATCTATCCATATATTACAGGTGAATGTGAATACAAGGCAGCAGTCGCCTTCTCCTAGTTGTTTGACTTTTGATTGAAAATTTAGTTCTTCATTCAGCTATCGTTTCATATATACATATATGCATGGGTCCATGTTCCTTTGAATATTCATCCCCAGGAAACTATGGGATTTGTCCAAAATCTTCGTCTCCGCTTACTCTACTCTGCAGAAGAACTCCAACGGGAGCAACTTCAGGAAGATTGCCCACAATCTCAGTGGCAGCCTCGGTAGTACTGGGGTGTCCCCATCCACTGGCACTTTCACCTCGATTCAGGTCGAGAACCATGTTATCGTCCCCGGTTGGACTGACCCCACCGGGTATGTAATCCAGATCCAAGGCATCGCGAAGCTTCCAAGCGATGATGTGGTCAGCAACAGAGCTATCTCCGCTCACTCCAATGGCTCCTACAACTTCGCCGGTGGAATCATAAAGAGCCAATCCTCCACCAAATACATTGACTCCTCCTATACGTTTTCCTATCATGGGATCAAATTGTGTTCCAAATCGCTCCGCGGAACCTCCGTAGGCCACACTCGTGTCCACAGGATTGCTGAGCTGCAGACCAAAGAGGCTCTGGCCAGACTGGGTCGCGTAGTACAAGTTGGCTGTCGATAGGGCCAGGCCTGGTAGGCTAAAGGCATTCGCTGTGTTGGCCTTTTGCGCTGAAATGACTCGGCTTCCGGGCCACTGATCGCCACGGTCTTCACCTGACCTGGCTACCATCAAGACAGTGCCATCTCGGTCCACAATAGATGCCCACATGTGGAAGCCAAAGCCTCCATTCTCTTCAGCCACAATGGTTTGAAGTGTTGAAGTCAGCGTCTCGTAGTCGGGCAGCTGGGCCCTCGTCGCAGAGAGGACGAGAGAAAGAGCCGTCAACGTTAGAAGAGAAGAGCACTTCATCTTTCGGGAAAAGTGAGCTTCGGTACCCCCGGTTTTGTGGCAGCAACAAGATCTCTCTCTCTTATCTTCAGAGATGGATTCCCTTCAAGATGTCTCCTATCATACACTGGGCTAGTGTATGCCTGAACTGGCAACAAAGGTCTCTGCTGTGGTAAAAGTAGAGTACTGGTATGCTGTAGTAGTAGGTTTGCATGCATCGGCACTGCGTGTTAAAACACCAAGTCTCAGTCAGAGTCTCGAGCGCTGTGTTTTCAGCGACGATTCAATCGAATCAGCAGGCTGCGAGCGATTTTTGCCAAATCAAATCACATGAATTCAAAATTCAAGAACGTGAAATGTCACGAAGGCCGCATTCGCGTTTAACAACGACCTTCTACCGGTTCTTCTGGTACAAGTAGATAGAGTCCAACCATTACGCTACGGTACTACTAGTAGTTAGCTACTGGTTACTGGTACTATTAATAGTAGGGCGTTCCGGCAGCAGCAAAGACTCTCGTGGACATCGAACAAACTGGTGGGATTAAAAGATACATAGAGATCCCTGCCCTAGTTTGACCGACAGTTAAGTCAGCCATCATCGTACTAATACAAAATCAGCTAAAATCAAACTGCAATTAGGGAGGTACAATCCTCACTGTTAAACACTAGAACCAGTACTTAACCGCTTCTGACATTGAGTCCCTCCAACGGAAAACTCACAAGATTAAAATTTCAGTTGTACTCAAAGGCCTCATTCGCGTAAAGAGTTACGAGTGGAGAAGATGCACGGGAAGCGACCAAGCGCTTTGAACTGGTATCGCAGTGGATTTGGGCCAGCTACTTTGGGCCGCACTTGCGCTGAATCGAGTCCCGAGCCTTCTCAGATCGGGAATTAATAAGCCAGTGAACATGTTTACTCCCGCGGGTGTGTCTGTCTGATCTTACTTTTTAGAAGCTGTGTAACGGGTAGCTGTACCGCTATCACAAGGGTACCGTAGCACAGTCAGGACATGTAAATGTTGTTCAAGATTTGGTCCAGGGGTCAAGAGGAATTTCATTCAAATTCAACAAGCCAAGCAATATGATGAGGGTGTCAAACTCTTGTCAAGATGATTCCAATTGCATGTATGCACTATTTAGAATCACTTCTTTTCTACAATAGACTACATTTTCGGTCTAGTGCTCTCTCACCGCTACTTGACCGAGTTTGTTTCCGTTTTTTCGATCCAAAACCCAAAGCATCATTCCAGCGGCACTCCCCAGTCCGGCACAAACGACAAACAACAATTCGACATTGGGAATGTACCGAAAGTGTGATGCCCGATAAATGGCAGCGACGGCAATGGGGAACAAGGCAATGCCCAAGTTTTGCGCCGATAGAATAATGCCATAGGCCGTACCGGTCATTTTCTGCTCCACTACGAGTCCGACACTGGGCCAGATCACGGCCGAAAAGAGGGCATATGCCACTCCTTGTCCCACCAGTGGGATCCAGACGGGCAACGCCGGCACAAACGCCAATGCTAAATGCACCATCATGAGCACAAAAGATGTCCCACATGCCAACATGGCACGACGACCGACGCGATCGACCAAACTTCCAATGGGTGGAGAGATGATTGCGGACACAAAGTACGGAATCGACATGGTCCGTCCGGCTTGTTCCGTGGCTTGATGGAGCGCCAGACAGTAGTCTTGCGTGCATTCTTGCGCCCAAAAGGAATCGTCACAGGCAACCTTGTCCTTTTGCCGGAGAAATTCGTGGTCGTAGTCTTCCGTGGAAATGTTGAGTGGGAACGTGGGAAGAATGGGGGCATAGCCATGGCCCGGGCAGGAATCTCCATTGTGATTGAAAGAAGGATTGGGATCCTTGACTAAGCTTCCAGATGTGCATTGTTTTGGTAGAGTCAATTGACAATCCGATGGCGGTGTTTGAAAATAGTTTCTCTCCAATAGAATACCCGATGCGACATTGTTGAATGGGTTAATGCAGCCGTACACCACCATACAACAGATGCATAGCAACCAAAAGCTAGAACCCAAGCGGGACACATCGAGGAGGCTGATTTGTTGTTGCTCTTCTTGGTTGCCGGCATCTTGGCGTGTTGGTCTAGTATCGTTGTTGTTGTGTCCGTGCGATAATGATGACTCAATGGAATGTTCCATTTCTAGGAATTCTCCACTATTTGGGAGCAACGGTTCTGTCATTTGATTGTTGTTGTTGTGATTGGAGGGTGTCCTTCTACTGTGCAGTATGGCATGCAAGTACTTGACGACAAAGGCAATCAGGACTCCCACAGCGTTCCAAATGACACCCACCCAAAGAGCCCACGGAGTCGTCCAGGCATGTGCCACTTTGGGACTCACGACATTATTCAATACAGATCCCAGTCGACTGACGGCCAATTGTGTGCCAAAGGCAAATGCTCGTTCCGAGGGATCAAACCATTCCGAAAAGAGTGTGCTAAAGGCGACACAGATGGATTCTCCACCCAACCCAAAGACGGCTCGTCCTGCCAACATGAGCGTCCAACTATGCCGAGATAACCCCAGTGCAAAGAGTGCCTGACCCAAGGCTAAAAAGATGGAGTAGACTACCATGCAGCGACTGGGGCCCCATCGATCGACCATGACGCCTCCCACGAGGGGCAATACAATGTTGGGCATGGCATAGACGGTATACAGTAGATTGAAGCGTAATTCAAAGTTGGCGTCGTGATCTGCTGGTTCCATGTAATCTTTGAGTTCTTGGTGTAGAGCGGCTGGAATGTCAATACTAACATACATCATATCATATAAGCGGTAGAAGAACAAGAGAAACAAGAGGTATCAGGGGGTCTGTTGTGTCGTGTGTCAGTATACCCCCGCCGCCAGCCAGAAGTGTACTTACGCGTAGTATTCAGCCGTCATGACGAGACAAACAGACGCAAGTCCGAACCATCTTGCATGCCTGGTAAAGCAGCTCTCAGCATCACTGCCGTGGGAATCATCTTCGTCGTCGGTGATTGCTGTCAAGGATGACACCGTCCGTTCCAGTGGGTGGTTGCCAAGGGGGGTCGCCTCTTCTTCATCGCTACTATCTCCTTCGGCTATTAGTGGCGTGGTTAATGACTCTCCTGTGTCAACAAGAGTGTTGTCGGTGTTCGTCGCCATGGTCTCTCTTGATTATCTCCTTTGAGTCTTCTGTGGATGTTGGTGGCTGTGTGTTGGTGTTGTGGTGTGGGAAATTCTGGACGTTGCAAATTCTGAACGTTAGGGGATTACGTCAGAAGCGGGACCTCCTGGGCCCTCCACCGAAAGTGATTGGTTCGAATATTTCGATCCACCTACTAGCTACTGGTAGTAGCTATGCATAAATTTATTCGACTGTTGAAGTCACTCCTGCGGCGAGGGCGTGGATTGGGCTTTTTACGGATTTCAATCGTCGAGCAAGGTCGTCTGCAACGCTTCCCACGAAAACCCAACACGAGGTGTCGGTTCATATCATATCATCACTTCTCTTGCTTTGGGCGGGACGCCTCATAAAGTCAATTCCCAAGAGACTAATTAGTTAGAAGAAGTCAGAAAAGAACTCTTGCTAGCTTGAATAAACGAAAAGGAAAGGCCATGAACACCGCCACTCGTAACCGCATCACTACGATGATCGCGAATGCCCAGACCGCGTCCGAATGCCAAGAGATTCAAGCACAGCTGGAAGCGTTGGCGTCTGGAGCCAAACGGAAGCGTGCCGAGATGAAGGCAGCAGAACGTCAAGATGGCTTGAACTACAAAGGACGCGGTGCTCAGAAGTGCTCGTTTTGCACCAACACCGTGAATCCCGACGACGAGGATTTTGCCGTTACTTGTGGCGCCTGTAACAAACTCGCATGCGGCGATTGCTACTTGAGTTGCAAGGAATGTCAGGAATTAGTATGTTTCGACTGTTCTCATTACTGCGAGAGCTGCGAGGAAAACGTCTGCTCGAAGTGTGAAACCAACGAGTGCATGAGATGCAATAAGGAAACTTGCTCGGACTGTGTTTTTCTGGTCGGGCCTCCACAATGGAAATGCTGCGAGGGGTGCCGTGATGGATGGGTGGACGACGGATGGCGATCTTATTAGGTCTAACCAGGTTTCTAGGAGTCGCGACGATGTGATTTCACTGTCCATTAGCTAGCTAGTCGCCGATGGACGAAAGGTGATTTCTCAAGTAAGTTGTTGGAGGTACGGTATGTTTGGATACAGGCATTGCGAGCGAAATATAATTATGCATAATAAGTAATAAACTTGGAGACCGAATACATGTACCGGTACTCGAGTACTCTCGAATAACGCAATAACGCTACGCACAGGCACAGCTTTCGGACACATAGATAGGAAACAGAATGTAAGTTATCTGTGCTTTCGACGTTGATTATGAGACCTCTACCAGTACCGGTACCCAGCTAGGGATCCGTGAGGAAAGCCAACTAGAAGACCTCTCGGCATTGACTTGCTGTGAAGTCTTGGCGCTGGTGACAAGCAAAAAAGACTATCTCCTGGGGCGGTATCCTAGCTAGCCTCCTTCGCTTCTACAAACTTCTTCTAAAAGTGTTCACAGGCAACCAACATTTCCAAGCTAGTCGTTTGAAAGAAATCTCACTGCATCACTGATGTTATTCTGTTTTGGTTGACGTTTCTCCATCGTCATCAGAAGATTCTTCTGCTACCATTGTGTCGACACCATTGTACACAAAAACAATGACCGCGAGCGTCGCAATGAACCCGGCTGGCATGTAGACTCCACTGGCAAAGTATTTTTTCCCCATTACGACGGTCAGCAGGAAGGAGGCAATGCCTGCCATTTTGTAGCCAATGGCATTCCGATTCCGAATGAGCGCTGCCGATGCGAGTAGGACCAGACCAAAGGTGGATCCTGCTGCGAGACTGGCCTTGCTACCCTTCCGGATCAAGCCGGCAATTCCCCCCGCCCACACCATGGCTCCCACACCAGCATTAAGTAATGCGGTTTGCTTTCGTGTCTTTTCATCTTCTTGTTCTTGTTGCTGGGACTGTAATAATAATGGTGGGCGAGGAAAATATTGATCCAGATGCTTGCGAAAGAGGACCGAATTGGTCGGATGGATGTCCTGTATTCTTCGTTGCGAGACAAAGCCAAACGATGGTTGGAACAGAAACAACAACGAGAGGATGGTGTAGAGGGCGGTGATAGTTCGTCTGGAGGAGATCATTTTGGATGAAGGTGGTGATAGATGTTGTACTTGTTCCGACGAGTTGAGTTTTGGGCAATCTTTGGGAGGAAATGCAGGCTGGATCTTTTGGATCTTTCGAGGGTTCGGGGTAAATGTTTTCTCACCGTTGGAGGCAGCGGCAGCCACACAATTTCTCTTCCTTCCTTTCTTCTACGGTAGTCTAGTACTAGCTAGTACGCCTTGCTGCTTGATGCGGACATCTCAACAAACAATAAAAGCATCTGCACTTTTTCTACTCCATCGTTCTCGGAAAAGCAATGATGTAGGAAAGCGAGCAATGATGTAGTTGTATGTAAGTGACTTTGGTGTGGATCTGTCCCTCTACCGGTATCAGTTTCTTGTTGCATTAGGATTATATTGGCAAATTAACGAGAATAGGCCGAATCTGACAGGGTTTTGACTGGCCCTTCCTTGTGATTATCAACCCTCTTATGAATGCAGACAGAAGGATGCTCTTTGTGTACCGGTATTGGATGCTGCTGTGGCGACGTATCTAATCTTTTATTGTTCATTCGTTCTACTTGAAGTGTAGGTGGGCAAAACCGCGTTTCTTCTTCCCGGGCTTGCCACAAGTCAAATCAACCGACGATTTTCTCTACAAGAAACCGTCCTGATACAGCCAGCTAGGTGCTTTGAGCCTAGTGGTTGACTCGATCTATTGATGCCCATGGCCGCGGCTGACGAGTACGATGTCCTCTCCGACCCGAGACAGCTTCGTTTCAACGGAAACATCTTGGGCAGAAGCGACAGGGAGAGAACGCGTAAAGGCGCCAGTTGAAGGTTTCTTTGTCTCTTGTGCTGCGGCAAGCAAGAATTTTGGCCTAATTGGAACGGTTATGATACCAAGTTCATTGCCTCTCTGGGTTTACCCCACAAAGAATCACCGCACCCGACCTCAGAACAATTTAGTACCCAAGGTATTAATCGTGCCCTAGTGAAGTTTAGCTTCTTGTTGTCTTGCTGCCCTGAGGCATGACCTACCAGCCAGCACCGCAGTCTCGACTGACATCGACCAATAACGAAATGAGCAAATATGTACCACAGCCGGAATCACTTGTATAGCTAGCTACAGGTCCTTTCCTAATAGAATAATAATGGGCCAACTTGTCAGAAGAAAACTCTTTACAAATCTCGGAAGAAAAATGACTGGAGTAACCTCATGCATTGCTCTGGGTTTTGAAGTCTTGAACCCAAGCCTTGACCTGTGAAGTTCCGATGCTGAGTACATAATCTCCGTCCCATGGACACCCATTCTCAATAGCATATTCTAGGATTTCCAAATGACCCTTGTGTGCAGCATTGCTGCATGTGCTTTGATCCCAAGGACAGCCATTTTCATGGGCGTATTTGAGGCATGCTAAATGGCCATTTTCAGCAGCAAAGCAGCATGTTTCTTCATCCCATGGGCAGCTGTTCTCATGGGCATATTTGAGGCACTCCAAATGGCCATTGCGAGAAGCACAGCAGCAAGTGTCCGCATGCCATTGACTGCCATTTTCATGGGCATATTTCAGAACATCAAAATGCCCATTTTCTGCAGCAACTTTGCATGTAGCTTTGTGCCAGGCACAGCCATTTTCATGGGCATATTTGAGGCATTCAAAATGGCCATTCTTGGCAGCACGAAGGCATGTGAGTTTATCCCATGGACAACCATTTTGGTGGGCATATTTCAGGACTTCCAAATTTCCAAATGCAGCAGCACCTTTGCATGTACCTTTGTGCCAGGCACAGCCATTCTCATGGGCATACTTGAGGACATCCAAATGGCCATTTTTGGCAGCAGCAGCGCATGTGCATTTATCCCATGGACAACCATTTTCGTGGGCATATTTCAGGACTTTCAAATTTCCACTTGCAGCAGCAAATTTGCATGTATCTGGATTCCATGGACAGCCATACCTATGCAAAGATTTTAGAGTTTCCAGCTGCCCGCCTTGAGCAGCACCATGAGACGTCCATACATCCCATTGGTGTCCCTTTTCGCGAGCCCATAGAAGAAGATGAAAACTCCCAAGCTTGGCAATTGTTGAGCAGACAACTTGTGAACATGGGCCTTTGTCTTCAGAGTTGTCACTGTTCCAGTATTCTGCACAGGCCATATTGGCAAATGCCACGCCGCAGAGCGTATCTGTGGTGGTTGCTTGAGACTTGGCTCCATACTTAGAGTACTTTACATTGGGTGGATTCTTGACACTGTCACAAAACTCCTTGTACAGCTGATTCATTTGTTTGTTGACAGCTCCCACAAAGGCATAGTGCCCCATGCCGAGGAAAGGGAAGAGCTTGCCCACCCAAATATCTTTCTTATCTAGAAACGCGTCAATTTGGTCTCCCAGACCACGCTCCTTTTGGTTTCCCCCTCAGTTGCACTCTGAAATCGATTGGCTCGCGTTTACTGTGTAAATTAGTGTACCCGCACTTCAGTTGCAGAATCAACGGTCATGTGTATCGTTAAGTAACAAGTTCCCTTTCGAAAGATTTAGATTGATTCGTGGATTCGTGGAATAAAAGTGTGTTATTATTGAAGGCGCAGCACTGACTTCTCTCCCTCATTGTATTCCTATGGTAAACAGGAGAGAAATACCAGCTTGGCCAACAAGAGTACTCCTCGTGGTTGAATCGATCGACGATCGAATCGATCACAATGAGGTAAGCCTATTATCAAGAGTGTTAATTGAAGGTACAGCGCTGACTTCTCTCCCTCATTGAATTTCTATGGTAAACAGGAGAGAATTCCAAGCTCGGCCGTCAACAGGTGAGTTGTTTTAGTTATTCGAATCGATCGATCGCATCTCTATTATCTCTGTTATCCAAGCCTCACTCAAGCCGGTTGACTCTGGTACAGAAGCGAAAGCCATCCCTCATTGAATCCTATGGACCATGGGATGGCAATCATTTCTCGGCCCATGACGGCCAAGTTGTGAAAAACAAGGGTAAGTCTCGGTCGTCCACAGTATCAGAATAGAAGAGAAAACCATATCTATATCTTACTTTCTGTTCTCTTACTGCTGACGGCCGAGGAAATCCCATTGTTGAGTCCTTTTCGAACGATCAGAAAGAAGAGGCTACCGCTACGGAGGAGTCTGTTAACTCAAGCCCTACCAACAGCCTGAACGGAGGAGATGGTCCTCGAGTCATTGAAAAGGCAACAAGAGGAGGAGGCGACACGACAACTCGAAACGCACAGAGGAGAGTGGATCCTACTACTGGATTCATCCCTCCAGTGTTATTTCCTAGTGATTTGGTGGTGATTCCTCTGTCGGCACCCATTTTCCTGTATGTACAAGTCGGTTGTCAAGGATTTGGCTAAGTCGATGACTACCACTACGGAGGAGACTGTTAACTCCAGCCCTACCGACAGTCTGAACGTATCGTCGTCGAGTCATTGAAAGGGAACAGGAGCAAGGCTAGCTACTCGACAACACACAAGAGAGTGCATCCTCCTACCGGATTCATCCCTTCTTGTTATTTCCTACTGTTTTGGTGGTGATTCCTGTGTCGGTACCCATTTTCCTGTATGCGCAAGTCAAGTACTGTTGCCACTAGCTATACGGCAGCTGGCTACAATGGCTGGATTGACAATATTCGGTTGTGCATGTATTCATCATAAGGATCCAATGCAAGGTACCGGTAACGGAGTGTAGCCAGTAAAGCGGAACCTGAGTGTTTTCGGTACTGTTGCCACTGTCACCGATTGATGTAACTCTACGGCAACTGGCTACAATGGCTGGATTGACAATATTCGGTTGTGCATGTATTCGTCATAAGGATCCAATGCGAGGTACCGGTAACCGTAGCGAGCAAGGCCGAACTTTCGGTACTGTTGCCATTGTCGTCGATGTAGCTATACCGCAGCCGGCTACAATGGGTGGATTCATAATGTTCGGTTGTGCATGTAGTCTATTCGTCATAAGGATCCAATGCAAGATACCGGCAACCGAGTGTAGCCTGCAAAACGGAACCTGAGTGTGTTCGGTACTGTTGACACTGTCGCCGATGTAACTGTACGGTAGCCGACTACAATGGCTGGATTAACAATAGTCGGTTTTGTGCATGTATTCGTCATAGGGATCCAATGCGAGGTAACCGAGTGCGGCGACCTGAGTGTGAGTGTCTTCGGTACTGATCGATGAACTCTACTGTAACTGGCTACGATGGCTGGATTGACAATGTTCGGTTGTGCATGTATTTGTCACAAGGATCCAATGCAAGGTACCGGTAACGGAGTGTAGCCAGTAAGCGGAACCTGAGTGTGTTCGGTACTGTTGCCACTGTCACGGATCGATGTAACTCTCTGCCTACGGTACCGTAGCTGGCTATACAATGGCTGGATTGCATCTATTCGTCATCCAAGTAGCGAGCAAACTGAGGAAACAGGAGACCAACGCTGAAAAAAACCGAATGTCAGGAGGGGACCCTTCTTGTTGGATAGGGTTATGGGTTCCAGGATAGGAGGACAGACTCACAATCTAGTTCATCACCCACCATTGGTATGGGTGATCATAATCTTTATAGACTCTGGTTTTGTATGCAATTCAACCTTCCTAGTAGACCAAGTCTTTATCTAGTTACCTGAAGGGTACTTGGAAACTTGGAGAAGCTAGTGAATTCAACAGTCTATAAAGATTACCAGCACAGGAATCGGTGTCGATTGCAGTTAACTGTATCAAGAGGACACCAAGTGCAAGCATGAGTTCCACACCGGACGGAACGAGGTCCGGAGGAGATGCTACAAGTGGCAATGCCCGACCTGGTAATAACAACCGGGGAACCAATAATCGAAGAAGCAACCCACCACGTCAAGGAAGATTCACTGGGAGTTGTGATGAAATGAAAGGGCACATCTTTGACTGCTCTGGATACAATCAAACCGATGTTTTCACAAAGAGTCTCGAGCAGCTTTCCATTTATGTTGGAAGTAATTACTCACACGGAGGCGCCATGTCGAAGGCAGTCGAGAAACTTGAACAACCTACGGTCGTTATGCCTAATGCCCCTGATCACTATGGAACAGACCAATGTGATCCCACTGAAAAGTACATGTGGGAGCAGGAAGCCAAGGAAGTAATCAAGGACCGCAAGATGATGACCAACCAAGTCCAAAAACTATATGCACTTGTCATTGGACAGTGCAGTGATGCCCTAGTGGCAAGAATCGAGGGACATACTGACTTCCCTACGGTATCCGACCAAAGGAACGGGATTGACCTGCTACGCATGATCCGAGGGATCTGTTTCAATTATCCGGACCAACGTTACCGTGCACAGTCAATTCATGAGGCCAAGAGACGTCTGTACGCTCTTAGGCAGGGCAAACACGAGTCTGATGCGGCATACTATGAGAAGTTCCGCAATCAGGTGGAGGTAGTCCATCAATGCGGAGGATCGATCGGACTGGAGGATGGACTAGTGGACAAGGTCTGCGAAACCTCCGGTATCGATCGCACCCAGATCACGGATGATCAAATGAAGACCGTCATCGAAACATGCAAGGAACGAATGTTATCAATGGGACTACTCCAAGGAGCAGAAAGATCTAGACACGGCAATATGCTCACGTTTTTCGAAAACCAGTTCATTGCTGGGAACGATCAGTGGCCAAAGACTCTATCAGGAGCATACAACAAAATGGTCCATTGGAAAAACGAATCCACTGGCAACAATCGCGGCCAGCACCAAGACGGCGTCTCATTCACCAATGACGGCGATGGCAGCTCGAACAACCGCAACAATCGGCGCAGAGGACGCAACAACAACAACAACAATGACAATAACGACAGGGATAACGCCCATTCGAACGTGACCGACGGAACAATTGGAACTGAAATTGAACAGGCCCAATTCCTTCTCGACGCTGTCGAAATCGGTGAGTCAGAACGAGTAGAGTACTGCTTTACGGTATCCGCCGTTATCCAGACGATGTTGAAGGAAGGAATTCCATTATCGTGGATCCTCCTAGACAACCAGTCTACGGTCGACGTGTTTGCTAATCCACACCTCCTTGAAAATATTCATCAGGTCGCGGAGACACTTCGAATCCACACACAGGCTGGTAGCGTCACCACCCAAATGAAAGGAACACTCAAAGGATACGGACTGGTCTGGTATTGTAAGGGAGGCATTGCCAATATCCTCTCGCTTGCCAACGTCCGAAGGCGACACAGAGTTACATATGACAGTGAAGCAGGCAACACGTTCATCGTGCACAAAGAAAATGGTGACCGACTCTTCCAGCAATCAGCAAAGGGTCTGTTCTATACGGAAATGGATAGCGGCAAAGGCAACGGGACCGTTCTCATCAATACTGTAGAAGAGAATAAGTCTAAGTACACCAATGATGACTACCAAAAAGCTGTTCTCATCAATACTGTAGAAGAGAATAAGTCTAAGTACACCAATGCTGACTACCAAAAAGCTGTAAAAGCCCGTAGCATCCAGAAAATCATAGGAAGGCCTAGCCTCAAAACATTCCTAGACATCATCGACAACAACAAGCTACCAAACTGTCCCATCAATCGCGATGATGCCATAGCCGCCGAACACATATTTGGTCCGGATCTAGGATCCCTGAAAGGAAAAACAGTCAGAAAGGCACCGGATGCAGTCGCAAACAGAATCATGCCGGTCCCTATCCAAATCATGCAGCGGTACAAAACTCTCACGTTGAGCGGGGACATCATGAAGGTCAATCGCATCCCATTCATGGTCACGTACAATAGTGCAATCAAGTTCGGAACTACGGAAATCCTCAGAAATCAAAGAGCAACAACAGTTATGTCAGCCATTCACGGTGTTGTCAAGATCTACAGAGGTCGGGGTTTCCAAATCACGACAATAAACATGGATGGCGAGTTCGAGCCAATCATGGGAAATCTTGCGCAATCGGCGTGAAGCTCAACACCACATCTAGGGATGAACATGTCCCAGAGATAGAGCGACGAATTCGCACAATCAAGGAGAGAACACGAGCGACATACAATACTCTTCCCTTCAAGAAGATGCCAGCACAGATGGTCAGCCAAATGGTCCATCATGCAAACTTCTGGCTAAACGTGTTCCCACCAACTCCAGGAGTGTCCGGAGTGATAAGCCCTCGAGAGCTAGTCACCGGGCTGAAAATAGACTTCAATAAACATTGCCGACTGGAGTATGGGACCTACGCTCAAGTCCACGAGCAACACGACAACTCAATGGCAACCCGAACAACAGGGGCCATCGCAATGCGACCAACCGGAAATTCACAGGGTGGATATTGGTTTTACAGTCTGCAGACCGGACGGATCCTCAACAGGAATAAATGGACACAGCTACCAATGCCAAGCGAAGTGGTTGACCGCGTTCACCACCTAGCCAAGCAAAGCGGCAACGGGGTGACATTCACGGATCGCAATAATCAGGAAATCACTGATGACGCGGATGACGAGGACTATGACCCAGACGACGACAATGATCAGGTGGACAATGACGCTGAGCACGATCTCGATCCCGACATTACAGGAGTGGATGACGACGAAGTCCGTGATCTACAGCAACGAGAAGACGGCCTCAATCCACCAGAACCACGTACATTGGATACGAGTCGCAATAACGACCAGAACCAAGACAATCAGCAACAACCTCCTGATGACGACGACGGAGAAGAATCCAGCGACAGCGAAGCTGACACCGACAGTGACGGGGATGGTGACAACGTTGTCACAGAAGACAGTGACAACGATGACAACGACGACGACGACGCTCAGCAAGAACCGTCAACGCAACTGTCTCGCGAGCTGAACCGAATCGCCATCAGCGGCGAAAATCCCACCGTCGGCACGCGCACCAGAGGCCAAGCACGAGCAGCGCAAATGCACAGTACTACACACGAGCATGTACACTTGATCACCGCCCTCAGACACGTTAAGGCTGAAAAGAAAGCCGAAATAGCAATGGAACAATCCACAAAGACCTTTCAGACGCCGCAAATGGGCATGAAAAAGGGGCTGAAGATGTTCGGAAAGGCAGGACTGGAGGCTGTCCATAAAGAAATGAAACAGCTCCATGACCGTGCAGTCATGAAACCAATCAGACCGGAGACTCTTGATCGTGAACAGAGACGACGCGTCCTGAAGTACCTCATGTTCCTGAAGCAAAAGCGATGCGGCCGCATCAAAGGGCGTGGCTGCGCAGATGGGAGGAAACAACGTATGTACACGGCCAAGGAGGATGCCAGCTCACCAACAGTGTCGATCGAAGCGGTTATCCTGTCCAGCATCATCGATGCAAAAGAGAATCGGAAGGTGGTCACGGTTGATATTCCAGGAGCATTTATGCAAGCCGACAACGATGAGCTCACTCATATGAAGCTAGAGGGTGAGATGGCTGAACTATTGGTATTGATCGACCCCAAGATGTACCGAAAGTACATCGTCCTGGAAAAAGGGAAGCCAGTGCTGTACGTCGAACTGCTTAAGGCGCTGTACGGCACACTGAAAGCGGCGTTACTGTTCTGGAAGAAGCTATCGGCTCAGCTGGTCGAGTGGGGTTTCGAGATCAATCCCTATGATAGGTGTGTCGCGAACAAAATGATCGATGGAAAGCAGTGCACCATAGCATGGCATGTTGATGATCTAAAGATATCACATGTGAGCATCGATGCCGTGAATGGAGTGGTGGCAGATCTTCAGTCCGTGTTCGGCAAGGAAGCCCCACTAACAATCAACCACGGAAAAGTCCATGATTATCTAGGCATGAAGCTCGACTACACAGAGGAAGGGCATGTCAAGATAGACATGCGTGACTACGTGGAAGAAATTCTGGCAGAGGCTCCGGACGACATGAGTGGTGAGAGCGTAACTCCGGCTGCAGCCCATCTCTTCCAAGTCAACAACGTGGATCCGGTGAAGCTTCACGAATCACTGGCACAAACGTATCATCATATTGTGGCCAAGAGTTTGTTCCTGTCGAAAAGAGGACGACCAGATATCCAAACTGCCGTGGCATTTCTGTCCACAAGAGTTAAGAGCCCAGATGAAGACGACTACAAGAAACTGTGTCGCATGATCAAGTATTTGAGAGCGACCAAGGATCTAGTCCATCGCCTCAGTGCCGACAACACACAACTACTGAAATGGTGGATCGACGGCTCATATGCTGTCCATCCGGACATGAAGAGTCACACTGGAGCTGCTCTCAGCCTCGGGACTGGAGTGGCGTGTGGAGCATCTACACGACAAAAACTCAACACTAGGAGCTCTACGGAGGCGGAATTGGTCGCGGTTGACGATCTAATGCCTCAAGTGTTATGGACACTTAGGTTCCTAGAATCACAAGGGTACGACATTTGCGATAATGTGGTATACCAAGACAACCAGAGTGCCATCCTTCTGGAAAAGAATGCCAAAGCATCCAGTGGAAAGCGCACCAAACACATCGATATTCGATACTTCTTCGTATCTGACAGGGTACGTAAGGGCGACGTTACCGTCGAGTACTGCCCCACAACAAAGATGGTGGCTGACTTCTTCACCAAGCCACTGCAAGGGAGTCTGTTCATCCGAATGCGAGACATCATCCTCGGAACAACAACAACCAATGACGCCGATCGCTAGATGAGAACCTCATCAGGATCGCAGGAGTGTGTTGGATAGGGTTATGGGTTCCAGGATAGGAGGACAGACTCACAATCTAGTTCATCACCCACCATTGGTATGGGTGATCATAATCTTTATAGACTCTGGTTTTGTATGCAATTCAACCTTCCTAGTAGACCAAGTCTTTATCTAGTTACCTGAAGGGTACTTGGAAACTTGGAGAAGCTAGTGAATTCAACACTTCTAGCTTTTTGGCAGTGGGCTCGGTAGAAGAAGACATGCCAGGAATGGTGATGGCTTCTACTTGTATATGGTTGATTTTGGGCTTGCCCGCAAGATGAACTTGCCAAAACGTTCCGGTCAAATACTCCTATCGTCGCCGCTGAGGTTGTTGGTTGTGTTGTGGACTGTAGACGATCTTTTGAAGCGCTCGGAAACTCAAAATAATAATGCGATATAGCATAATTAAATCAGCTAGATCCAGGTAGCTAGCTATTAATAGTAGAGCTACTAGCCAGCTAGCTAGTAGTCTAGGGGGGTCTACTCTGCCGTTCGGGCCGGTACCAGTGGCATACGGTATTCGAACCGCTGTGCATGGTGGAGGCTGGTCATCGTACATGTACTCGTATGTTGTGTGTGAGATGTGTGAAGACATTACAAAGACTTGTACCAGTAGACTCTAGTTGTTATGGTCTACAACACAGCTACCATCGGATCACTATCCACAGAGGGTTCGAGCAACCACTAAACGCAAGACTGCGTTGCAAACCTATTCCTACTTGCCAGTTTAGCTATACCGTACTCCTACCGGTACCCTACCATCATACCGGTACCAGTTGCTCATCATGATGACGTACTCTTCTGCTTGTCATCTGCCGCCGATTGTCGCTTCAACGCCCGTTCAATCCGCGCTCGATCTTTGCGATCTCTGACTTTGCGTTCCTTGAATTTCTGTACCAAGTCATCAAATCCAATATCGTTGAGTTTCATTTTAGCCAATCGTGCCGCTTTGGTGACGGGTCCTAGCATTTGGATGGCTTCTTCGTCGCTGACCGATTGACACTTTTCCAAGGGCCGACCACTCAATCGTTCGGCCGCATGGACCAACGCCACATCAGATTCCCCCACCAAACTAATGGCGAGTCCTCTGCGACCCGCCCGTGCCGTGCGTCCTACGCGGTGGATGTAGTTTGTCGTGTTGTGTGGGAGTTCGGAATTCAAGACCAAGTCGACGGTGGGAATGTCCAATCCGCGGCTAGTAATAGTAGAAGAAAGAAGATGTCAGTATGGAAGCAAGCAACAACAGCAAAAAGCACTCAAGTTTCGCTCGTTCGTGCGTTTGCTACATACCTGGCAACATCCGTGGCGACCAGGACTCGTACTTGTTCGGATTTGAATTTCCCCAGTGCCGCCAATCTTCGATTCTGCGACAGTAGTGAATGCAATGCCACATTGGAGACTCCGACTTCATCGAGAATACACGAGACCAATGCCGCTCGTTCACACGTGGATACAAAAATGATGGCCAATCGCGCCTTTTGGAGACTATTATCGTCGTCATCCTGCGTTCCTTTTCGTCCCTTTTTTCTAAAACGTGGTGGTGGCAGCGCCTTGGGTCTTCCCCCGTGAATCATGAGCTTGCGAATGGCCGCGAGAAGGTAGGCATCTCGTACTCGTGACGGCATAAAAATGTATTCTTGCGTCAATCCTTCTGGTATCTTGGGTGTCAAGGCTTCATCATCATCATCATTGTCACTATCCTCTTGAGATTCTCCTTCTAGTGTTGTTTCGTCATTATTGTCGTTTGTTTTCTGTTTCTTCTTCTTTTGTTTCGTCTTTTCTGTATCTTCTCGAATGACAAATTTCTGCAGTGGCTTGTTGTTGTTATTGTTGTTTCCTCCTTTGGCACCGGCAGCAATGTCTTGAATTTCTTCCAAACTCCGTGTCATGGTGGCACTAAAGAGTAGTGTCTGACAATTTGGGTTGGTGGCGTGCAACAACAATTCAGCGACATCCCGTTCGAATCCTCCCGGTGCCAACAATCGATCGGCTTCATCGAGTACCAAAAATCGCAACAGATGCAACCGGGGTGGATTGGGTCCTCGCAACAATTCGGCCAATCGTCCCGGTGTGGCGACACAAAAATGAGGACGAGCATCCAATGCCACCGATTGCGCCACGGGATCCAATCCACCAATGACGAGCGCCGAAGAAACTTGTGTGGAACCAAGTGCCAAAATTTGTTGATGAATTTGTTTGGCCAATTCGCGCGTGGGTGTTAAAATGACGGCAAAAATCCCATAGGGATCTTGCATTAAGTGGTGGATAATGGGCAAGACAAAAGCGGCCGTTTTGCCACTGCCCGTTTTGGACAAGGCGAGAATGTTTTGCGAGTTGTTATGAAGGAGATGGGGAATGACGGTGCGTTGGACGGCCGTAGGACGGGAAAAGCCGAGATTGGCACAGCGTGAAACAAGGGACGAGTCCAATCCGAGATCGGAAAAGGATGCCCAGGGAGATAATGTTTTTTGTGATGAGGTAGCATTTTGATTGTGGGCTTTCTTCAGGGTCAAGGGGGCATCATCTTCTTCTTGGTGGGTTGCATCTACTAGTAGTAACTCAGCTTCCTGGTTGCTTCTTCTAGTCTCGTCAGCATTCTCTGTCCTGGCTCTCTTCTTGCGCGTGGATTTGCCAAACAGGGTCGACATGGTACATTCAGTTTGTGATAATTATTGATGATGTTGGGTGTTTTGTCTTTTGAGAAAATACGGAGATGCTTTTGAGAAAGAAAAATGAAGTTGAAGGAAAGGCGAAAACGAGTTGGATGGTTCGGAAGCTATTTTCGCGGTTGACGGCAAGACGTTTCCGAAGATCCTTCCCACACGGAGATCCGCCGTTTCATTTTTCCCCACCACCCATGCACTGCTGCATGCATAGAAGTGATTAGTACCATACATGTAGAGGATGAGCTCTGATGGTCGGTCTCGTCGCAAACGCCGACATGAATCCTCTTGCAACAATAATAAAAGCACCTATGATCTCTTTGTTCCTCTTCCCAAAGAGGCGGCAGCCGTACAAATTCCTCAATTCCTACAACGGTTGACCAACACGGGGTATACCCACGTGGCGCTCACCCACACAGTCTATGGAGTTCCCCGCAAAGACGTCGATGAAGCCGACACGGCCATTCCCAAAGAACTATTTCGTCAGTCCAGCGCCAACAAAACCATCCAAGTACTAAGACGACTCCACGCCGTTCTGGAAAATCTATCGGATGTGGCACACTACGTCCAACAACACGCAAATAATGATAATGACAATAGTAGTCTATTGCAAGGATACGATTTGATATCCGTGGCGCCTCGCAACGATGCCATTTTTCAATCCGCCTGCAAAAATGCCACGGCGGCCGATATCATTGTCCTCGACTATTACTCGTCCTCCACGCAATTGCCCTTTCGGATACGACCCACCGATATTCGAGCCGCACTCGCACGGAACGCCGTCTTGGAACTCCCTTATGCTCCTGCCATTCTCAACCCCAAACGCCGCAAAGGACTTGTGCATGCGTCTCGATTGCTACAATTTGCTACTTCGTCCAACAAAAGTAATCATTTATTGGTCAGTTCGGGTCCTCGACTCGGCGGCAGTAATCAGGAGGATGTCGGGGTCATGGCCTTTCGGACCCCCGGCGATCTCGAAAATGTCTTGCAAGTCGTCCTGAAACTCGACGATCCACATGCCACAATACATTCCACGGGTGCCTTTGTTCTACAACAGGCACACGCACGACGATGGGGGAAACAATCCATTACCGTGACGGACATGGTCATCCAACAAGAGACTGATGATCTCCAGGAAACCACCACAAAGGATGATTGCTCGAAAGACGACGAAGGAAAACACGACAAGAAACCTCCTGCCAAAACGACGAAAAAGGACGACAAGAGGCAGCGAAAAGAGACTGATAACGAAAGTGATGATGATGGTGCCCAGGAGGAGGAGAAGGAAATTGACGGGGATGGATTCATTGCATTCTGATAATGCACGGTTTGAAAGAAGCCAACGTGGAATGTACACCTGCGAGCTATTCTTCAATCGTCACTCTGGGAGAGACAGCCAAAAGAGAATGACACTGAAAGTGATGAGGACAAAGATAATACAGGGATGGATTCGTTGCATTCTGATGATGGATGGAATGAAGAAGCCAACGGGTACCATGCCAGAGATGCTTGCACAGTATACACCTGCAAGCAACCCTCTTCAATCATCAGTCCGGGAAAATGGATGGTAAAGATGCTACAGTTGTTTACTAGCTAGCCAGCATCTATGAATTTAGTTTATGTACATCATGAGGTGATCCTCACAGGGCAGTCAGTCAGTCACTCAGAGCCCGATCAAGTTTGTTTGCTTATTGTCCCATTGTTGCTGCAACAGTGGTATTCTGGCTCTGACAGTGTCCTTGCTCTTGCTGTTCCAGAAGAATGGCATCTTTCATGGCACGAAAGGCTTCGGCAGCATTGTTGATGGTCTCATCAGTCTTGCAAAAGGCTATTCGGATAAAACCATCGGCAGCACCGGCTTCTGCGGATTCGGTAGAGAAAAAGGGACTGGCAGGGATGCACAAGACACCCTTTTCTTCCGCCATCCATTGACACAATGCCCAGTCCATGCGGGCTCTCCCTCCTGGAGCGGCGGGATTCGCCGCCATGATGCGTTCCTTGGGAATGGCATTGGCAATATCCGAGCCAATGCGAGCCAAGATGAAAAAGCCACCACCGGGTGTCTGGTCATAGTCCGGGACGGCAAAGCCAGCGGTGGTCAACGCATTGGCCAACAAATCTCGTTTGCGGGTATACCGATCCATCAAAAAGTCATAGTAGGAATCGTGACCCTTGTAGGGGAGATCTGCCCGTGGCAGTGCTCGAGCCAATGCTTCTTGGGACACGGTAGAAGTGCAGAATTGCACATAGGGCAGCAGCTGATGAATGCGCGATATCAGTCGCTGTGGACCAATGCACCATCCCACTTGCCATCCCGTGGCAGAAAATGTCTTGCCAGCCGACGAGACAGTAATGGTGCGATCCCACATACCCGGCAGAGAGGCAAAATGGACGTGTCCTCGACACAGAGGTGATTCATCCTTGGCTACTTGTTTGGGTGGAGAATGAACAATGTACTTGTACACTTCATCTGAAATGACAATGCAGTGAGGTCCTGCAAACTCCAAGCCTTCCGCAATGTATTCCATTTCGGTTCGAGTAAAGATCTTTCCCGTGGGGTTGTGTGGTGAATTGAGCACAATGGCTTTGGTTCGTGGAGAAACGTATTTCTTCAGCATGTCTGGTTCCAACACCCATTCTCCGCCAGTAATTACACCCTCCTCTTCACTGTAGGGTTTGAATGTCAAAGGAACAAACACAGGTTTTCCACCAGCAAGCTTTACTTGGTTCACGTACAGATCAAAGAAAGGTTCAAAAAGTACAACTTCGTCGCCTGCAGCAGCGACCCCGCGCCAACGTACGATTGCAAAAGTGAGAAAGAAAGAACCTTTACTCCACATCGGGCGGGATTCACTTTTGGCTACTAAAGAAACTCACCTGGCTTGATCACTGTTTGTAGAGTCAAGTAGAGGGCCTGGCTGGCACCGACAGTGACAGCAACCTCTGTCATGGGTTGAATCTCCCGGCTCATGTGGGTGGAATATCTCCTGGCAAGCTGTTGTACCAGGTTGGGATGCCCTGCCGGTCGAGTGTATTGATGTGGTGAGTTCATCTGATCTTGAGCCGCCTCTACCAAGGATTCTACGGCAAATTCGGGTGGCAACCAGTCGGGAAACCCCTGTCCCAAGTTGACGACTTGGTTTTCCTGTCCAATACGACCAAATTCCGTCCAGACCGTGGGAGCCGAGTTCAAACCGAGGCGTTCCGTGGCTTCTCCTGCACTTTCTGTGGCAAACGACGATTCGCTGGTTTGTGGCGGTTCATTGCGTTCCGCATCCCATTCCACTCGGCCTGACTCTTGCAGGACAACAACATTGGCGCTGCCAAACTTTGGGTGTTGCTTCGATTGGGGTAGCAGAAATGCAGAAGCACAGTGCACCCCAAATGCCACGGCACAACAGTACTTCGATAGTCTCATCTTGTATCGATTGTATTCCTTGCCCTTGAGCCCTTGTTTCGTAGGATTCTATCTATTCTACCAGCGAATTTTGTGAGGGTATCCTACCAATCCTGTCTTTGTATCTCGTCGTTTTGTCGAGCTCAGCAATTTGTTGTCGCAAACAACCTCTCAAGACCCCATTGCTCTGATTCTATCCTGTGCAACCAGCTTCGATTCTCAACCGAGCCCGAGTCAGTCCTCTGTTTTCCGTGGTCGCTGTATCCACCAGGCAACTCGGCTCTGCGTTGTTTGTTTGGGTCCACGTTGCTTTGTTTCACAACGTTTTCCCACTTTTCGGAAGCTACCCAAGCTGTCTGACGTCAGATATTGCGACCAGTCCTGGAAACCCGTGACCCAGCGGCAACAAGTGCATCTGTCTGATCCATCCAGGTCCCAGCCATTAGTGTGTTCCAGAACACAGTTTCTCCCTTGACATTTTTTTGTGTCAACTTCCAAAGAGAGTGTTCCAGGCAAGCAATACTGGAGCAACCTGGATGAAACTGGCTCCTGACTGGTATGGCCAAAAGGGCTGAAGGAGAAGCCAAAGTGCACAAAGATGAAACTTGAAGAGTACAAGCTGCTGGCTGCTGCAGGCAATCTAATGTTATGAGGCCAAAACCTTCAATCTTTCCAATGACCTCTTCCTGCACACTGCTCGCTGAACCTCAAGAATAGAGCATACAAGCTTGTTTAGAACTCAACCAAAGCAAGCCTTTTCCAGCACATGCTCTTCTTGAAATTGCATTAATACCTAGCTAAAATTTGAGCAACTTGTACACATAGATGTAAGCACTGTTTTCCAAACCAATTTCACCTGATAAAGAAACTGAAATAGCTAACTGTTTCATCAGGGCATAGTAGCTAATAACAACAACCTTACACTACTAGCAATGAAAAAGCAGGAAGTTGCCTATCCTGATGCTCAGTAGTGTTTTCTCCAATAGAACTAAGCAAAAGCTGCTCTTGCTTATAACTTCTTCTAAGAAACGCATGTTTTCAATACAATCTAAACCAACAGTCAGTTTTAACTGAATATCAAAATTTTGCCATAACAAACACATATTATTTCTGTTCAGTCAATAAAGAAGCATATCTATTCTTCATTGTAGCTAAAGTAAATTCCAGCTAGTTTATTCAATAGCTAGATATTCCAACAGCAGCTAGCTAGCTAGCGAGCTAGCTAGCTAGATCCTCAACCATCACTACTAGTAGCTAATACAACAATATCAGTTAGAGTTCTACCTAATAATTACTTTAAATCTAGTTCAACCTTTGTTTGTCTTCACTTATTGGACACTCCATCGATTCTAAAAAAGTCTACTCTTCTTTTTCTTGTTTCCACACTTCCTAGCTACATGTAGTAGGGCTTGCAAATAGACGCATTTCTTTGTTCATTGATTAAATACCTCTTGCTTTAATACGCTTTGCAACTGCTACTAAACGAATTGCTCTCACTGAGCTTCTCATTCAACTTCGAACATCATGGAAATGATGTTGGCTGATATGTACCGGTACCTACATAGATACTGACAAACTCGGACCTCCCTATGTTCACAAACGCCAGTGATAATGCAAGCTCGTTGAATTGCTTGAGCCTTCACCAGGAATGCCAATTGTCAGCGACATTCGGCCATACAAGAATTACCAACCTTGTGGGAGACCACCAGTGGGTATCACGCGCAACTCTCAATTCGAGACTTGTGACCTCTCGTGCCACTCATGCCACTCATAGTCGCAAGATGTAAACGCTTTCCAAAACCCATGGCTCTTTGTATAGAGAGTCGGCAAACTTTCGTATTCTGAATGACAAAACTCGTGTCACGAGAGTTTCATGTCACTCTCGTGTAAGCACGTCACGTCTATTCTAACTCGTGATTTCCCGCGAGTATTTTGATTCTCGTGCATCCCGTGAATTCCACCAGAGTCGCAAGACTCTCCATAAGAGCCGTTTAAGTTAGCTCTTGTCATCGCTAAAGTGACGTCACATGTGTTCCAGAGAGGCTTCTGATAGGTGAATGAAACGTCACCATGGAATCAATCGAACGCCAATTCTGATCCCAGCAAGACTGATAGAAGCTCCATCCAAAACCGCAACTGATGTGGTCTTTATGACTTTCCCCAGATAGGTTTCTACAGTTATATTGCAGTTAAAGAGGTCCTCAAATTCTCCCCAAAGAGGCTTCTTTGGCTCTCAATTGGTGGTTTTTGGTAGGGCTGTGAAAAAGGTGCACAGTTGATCCAAGAGCCTGCCGACATGCTCGAGAAAACTTTTGAAGTTGGCAGCAGAAAGACGCGCCACTCGCTCGCCTCATTTGACGTCCAAGGACAGAGGTAGCATTGTTGGCTTCCATGTCAATACCCATAACCACCCCTCGGTAGTGGCGTCAGGTGTCTATTATCTCGCAGGAACAGTCCGGATGAGTACCATCGAAATACTTGAAAGTGACGATGACAGCGATATTGAGGTTGTCAAAGTTGAAGCGGGGCAAGGAGGTTCTCTCGACGAACGGTGTTTTGCTGAGAAGGTCTACGATATGATTGTGGAAGTTGAGGCGGAGGAAAAAGGTAGAAAAAGCAAGCTGATTCAGTGGGAAGATCGAGGACAGGCATTTGCGTTTCAAAGGTACCATGCCCGCCTTCCTGAAGTTCTATGGGCCCATCTTGAGATTGCATGTAAGGAAGAGCATCGGTTGAATGGGGTGGCTGTGGGTCAATATTGTCACTAATAACCAGCCTTAATGTTGCTATCCTTAGTGAAGAAAGAAATGGCCGTCAGAAAATTTCTAGACAAGCTTGAGTTGCATGGATTTCGCCGTGAGAAGCCCGAGAATGGAAAGTAAGTTGTTCTTCTTGTTTCGGTGTTTCTTCTTTAGTGCCATCGTAGCATCGTAGCTCACAAAGAATGAAACGCTACCTGTGGAGGCCTGGAATATACCTAAAGTACTCGCACGAGCTGTTTCAGCGTGGGATGAGTAAGGATCAGTTCAAACAAATCGAACGGACTTGTGGACATGATGGCAGCGAAGAGACAGTCTCAAGACCAACACAATCTGCCCAAAGCTGTAAGGCATCACCTTCTGGAAGCACTGATAGCAACCGGAAGCACGCTCACTCTGGTGGATCACCAAGATATCGGAACTCGCAGAAAACTGAAAGCCCCCATTCACACGGAAAGAACACAGAAGTTGGACCAGGGGATCGGGAATCTTTACGGTCACCTGGTCGAAGGAAAACACTCAATCGATCATCAGAAGAAAGAACTAACCCGTACCGTGCAAACCGAACGAATATCAACACTGGTTCGGGAGACAGAGCGTCCCAGCCCAGTGGTAAGACTGATCCCAACGAAAGGGGCATGGGCTCGTTACGCGACCAGCAACCGCAACGAAACACCGCTAGGGGCTCACGGAGTGTGTCCCCAGCTAAGAGGGGAAGAAGCTCCTCTGAAGGGACAGGCAAGCGTGCTGTATCGCTTGGGGTATCCTCTAGAGATCGGAACCGCAAAGGGGAGGGTGCCAGAGCCAAGGATAGCACAACAAACCGCAGTCAAGTGACGGTAGCCCGCAAGGATAGCGCAAGGAAACAGCTAGAACTTTTTGGGAAGTCTGAAGACAGCGCCATCTCCATTGATGACGACACTGACGATGAGGACAACAGAAACGACACCAGCAAGCAGGATGGAAGGAAGGATGATCAGGTGGACGAATCCGACGACGAACCTGTAGTGCTGGCTGTATCCTCCCCAAACGATACCCGCTTACCGTCTTCAAGCCCAGCTTATGCTGCTGCACGCACGGTGCCCGTGGCAAAGGCATCCAATACTGCAATGAACGCAGGGTCGCGAAAGCGTGGTCGTGGGTTGCCTGCAACGTCATCATTTCGGGCATCGGGATCGACGGCTCCCAAACGGAGTGGAAATGCATCCCGCAAGGGGGGGACAAAAAGTGATGATGACACATCATCGGCCTCGTCTCCGTCTCGTTATGGCATTAAAGATGGCAGACACACGAAAGCGAGCACTCCCGAAGAACCTTCACAGTCGCCAGCCTCGATGGGTCAAGCTTCCATATCTCATGAGCGTCAAGCTGCCGAAAGGAAGCGCCAGGTAGAAAGCTCGCCGATGTACAGCTCGGAATCAGAGGACTCTATGTCGGGATACTTGATCGGGAAAAGCGTAATCAACACTGTTAGTTCGGAATCAGATGATTCGAAGCCAGCAGCTCAGATGAACCACGAAGGCGCTTTAGGAAAGGTGCTTACGCAAGTATCCACGAAAACGAGAGGCAAACTGGTCGTTGAACTAGACTCTGATGAGTCCAGCACAACTGATGTGTCCCATGATTCTGATCTAGAGGGCACAGAAGCCAGAGGCCCATGTCTCGGTGCTAAGTCGGGGTCGATCGCCCCACGAACATCACTGCTGCAAGATTCTGGAAGGACTCTCTCGGGAAGGGTTAGCGTTGAAAGCTCCTCTGAAGTGGCTGAGTCTGGGGACGGGTCTGGTTCTGTAGCTTTAACAGAACGAAGGCCCTCTAAGGTGGTAACCCAGACAAGAAATGAAGGGATCAAGTCTTCCCATGGCGTTCGACATGTTGACACCAAGGGTGGCGCTGTGGTGGTTAATGCGCCCAGTCAAACTAAGCCTGCTTCACGCGAAACGCTTCCTGAAGCCAAAACATCGCAAGAAAAAGAGGGGAATGTTGAGAGATCCAAAGCATCCCTTTCGAGTCTCAATGATGAGAATCCTTCTGCAGGTTTCTCTTTTACCGAAGACGGCGTGCCCGACACGAGGCCACGGAAGGTGCAGCGTACTGGAAGCTTCACGTCGAAAGAGAAGCGTTCTACGACAGATGATGATTCTCCTCCGCCAGTAGACCTAAAACTGTTCTTTTCGCCCCGCCTGGCAGAGTCCATTGAAGACAAAAAGAAACTAAGCAGGCGTGTCAGAGATCAGTGGAGGTTGGCTGCATTTGAAAACTCCCAGAAGAGGAACAGTCTGATGCAGAAACTATTGCTCGAGCGCGACGCCACATTACGCAAAGCATCAACAAAACGAGCCAGCAGAGGCGGCCTAAGCTTCTTTTCCAACGCAACCGTCCCACCAAGCAGTGATGCTTCTACGAAGAACAGGTCAGAGGAGCAGCTTTTTGTGACGCAAGGCGACTACGGCGACAGAGAGACCGTAGGATTGGAGTGCAATTTCTTGGAAGGAGCGGAGGAACCGCAACCAAAGCACACTACGCCCATGACCTTAACGTCTCTCTACGCTGTCGATGACGACACAGATTTACGTTTTGTGCCCCATTGCAGGGAAGGAGTTGAAGGCATTCTCGAAGGGCTCTTCAACATAGATGAAAGAACGAAGCGATTCACGAGGGGAATGCCGCTCTGCAGAGAAGAAGAGTTGACAAAGGACCTTGACTTGGCGCTTGTGCGACTCCGTTACGAATATTGCCCAAAGGATTCTGATGGGCGATACAATCCGAAACAAATAGAGGCTTTGCGTCATTTCCTATGCTGCGCGTTCAAATCAATTCGAGAGATACATGAAGATTTCTTTAATGAGAGGTTCAACGCGCTGGTCGAGAAATCGAACGACAAAACGGAGCTACCATCGGAATCTCCTCCTGATCTCGAAGGAGCAGCCTCGGAATGGAGTGACTATCTCAAGAATGCAGATACTTATCGCGTCTTCTTTTGCAATCGTTGCTTTATCTACGGTTGCAACTTGCACCCAGACCTTCTAAACTCTGACGCGAGAAGCGAACTCGGCATGACGTCGTTAGAGCTGCAATATGAAAGGGCAATGCAACGAGAGGAAGACGGATATTGGAAGGTATGAAAGCTGGATGTTTCTTGAGGATACAATTAGACATCTCTAACTTCTTTCTTTATACTTCTCTCTTGCAACAAAGGATGTGGAGTTTGATATTCGACTTCCACAAGGAAGTCGTGCAGTTTTGCCCTCTCAAGACAAGAATCGTTCTGGATCGACTGTGACATTGAATGCCTCTCAAGAGGCCCTGTGCAAGCGAATGTTTGTCATTTTCCAAGGCGACGCCTCGAAAATTGCCAAAGCTTTGCAGCTTCCAGCGGAGAGCATATCCAACTTTATTTCATCGAAGAAGATGACTCTACCGCGAAGGACTGGAGCCCTGTTCAAGAAGAAAGCTGTTGGGAAGAAACCAATGTTATACCATTCGATGAATCACTACAATCAGCGTTGGCTAGGAAGGATACACAATAAGAATGGCAACGATTCAGACGACATTTGGTGCATGCCATGCACCCACGACGGACCTTGTCGTGATAACTCCTGTAGGTGTGTTGACAATGCATTCTTCTGCACAGCTGCCTGTGGACAAGCTGAGTACAGTGCCAATTTCTTTCGTGGGTGCGGCTGCAATAAAAGCTGCCAAAGTCAATCTTGCCCCTGCTTTGCAGCTGGCCGTGAATGCGATCCTGACCTCTGCAAGAAATGTGGTGCATGTACTGACCCACCAAATGCCGACGCAACGACACAGGCAAGTCCAGAATTTTTTTTCACGCCCGTCGCAACGCCATCATTTATGGCAGCATGCCGCTCACATATCACTTTTTCCTGCATCTCCCAGCCGTGTCGCAACGATCATGTATCCATGCGGCGCCACCAACACTTACTTGTGGGCATATCTACCATTCCCGGTGCCGGGTGGGGTCTGTTCACGAAGAATTTTCTGAAGAAGGGTGCGTTTGTTCACGAGTATTTGGGGGAGTTAATCAGTCAAGAAGAGGGTGATCGAAGGGGTCACTTGTACGACAAGAATGGCCACAACTATCTCTTCAATCTGACTGAAGACAAATTAATCGACGCCGCCCACAAAGGCAACAAGTTGCGATTTGGCAACAGCAAAGATCCTCCGAACCTTGAAGCCAAGAAATTGGTTGTGAATGGTAACTTGAAGATTGCCTTTTTTGCCAGGGAGGATATTCCTGCTCAGGGTGAGCTTTTCGTGCATTATGGCGAAACATTCACGCAGGATTTCATGAAGGGTGGGAAGAGACGTGCCTCATATGGTTAAGCAGCGGCACATCTTTCACCCACATCCGATGGGGGCTTATCGACTGCAACCGTATTCATCGCACTTGCTTGGCCAAACTGGTATGTTCATGGCTCTGCGGTCTGTGGTGTACCTGAATTTGTAGTCGATCTCTATTTAGTTAGTTCTTTCTGGGTAATCTATGTAACTGAGCAGCTTGTTGCTGTATGTATGAAGGTATTCAGTTGTAGGATTCAATACACCACTCCGTTGCATCGTTTTAGAGATACCTTTTGTTGTTTCTACCTCCAATTGTTGTTCTCTTCTGCCTGGCGATCCGCTGATGTGATATCTGCGAGTTTGGAACTCGGACAACGTAGTTGTCATTTTCTTTCTGAATGTAGGTGTGCTTGTTGTTGCAAAAGAAAACACAAGGAAACACAGTGAGGAAACACGAGGTAACGGAGTGAGAAAAAGTGCTGCCTCAACGTATCTATCTTTCGAGCACCACACATCGCTCGTCATCTACACATCATACCGGGAGCTTACCAACCAACCAATCTTGAGGACCGTTCCCGTGGTCCCGTCTTGCAGACTGACGATTTCCCCTTCATCAAAGAAATTGGACGATTGAATCATGAGACCACCGACAAACTCGGCCGCCACGTCTTTGCTTGCCAGGGACAAGACGAGGGTCCCAAACGATCCCAATCCAAAAATGGACTTGAGCGCGAATCCAATTTGAATCCCCAGCATGTCCACGACCGTGAGAAAGGCACACATGTAAATAAGGACATCCAAGATGCGGTTGGCAAAACGATTGTAGGCTTTCATGGAGCCTTTGCCGGTTCCATTGACTCGTCGTTGTCGGTCACGTCGTTGTTGGTTGCGAATACTCGCGATGGACCAGGAAGGAACTCCATTCTTGAGGTAATAAAACTTGAGACGGGAGACATTGTTGGCCAACCAAAAACTGAAGATAATGGCACCCGCCACTTTTTGGGCTTGGTATTGTTGCACAAAAGTAAACTTCATGAGTTTCAAGAAGAGCAAGGTGACATCGGAGATATAGAGTGTGCATTGTAGAATTCCGAATTGTTGCAGCACGACGGCTAGCTTGTGGAGTTTGGTGGCAGTGAAGGATTGCTTCCATTGTAACAATTGTTGTTCTTTGGCTTCTTCGTCGTCTTCCTCCTCCAACGTAACAACAGTGCTGTCGGCAATCATGGGTCCATCGGATTCTTCTTCTTGCTGGCGTTTTTCGTTTCGTCGTTGCTGTCTGATAAAATACCACTGTGCCATGGGCATGGCATTGACCGTGGCCCCAATCAAAAAGACTTCGGGCCAATAGGTATTAACCAGAAGTTGCTTGATCACTTGATAGTACGTTACCGGCGCCACGAGGAATTTGCTCAAGATTAACAAGATTTTGCCACGCAGAAAGTTGTTGGATTGCATGGCCAGCTGCACCTTTCTCGAGGATACCGATAATGCCGTGGAGGATGGTGGTGTTGCTGTGGTGCGTGGGAGAACGACCAAGCCATTATCTTGGGGTAGTATTAGCTTTGGGGTAGCGAGATGGGTCGGGACAAACGCGTCGCATGTTGGCAGAGCGAACAACAGAAGAAGCACCAAGAGAACAGGGGAAACCACGGCGGCAGCGCGCCTTGATCGAGTGGATAGTCTCATCATGGTTGGGTTCTTGGCAAGCCCAAATTTGCAATGTAGGATGGCCACAGGGGCTTCTGATTGTCCGAAGTCTCTTGATCTCTGCCCACGGAACGGTCCAAAGATCTTTTGTCCTTTTTGGTCAATCGACGACGTCAAAGATCCGGTATTTTCACGGAACACTAGAATCCTCCTCACGATCATTATTTATTTATTACCTTTTGATGCCGTTCGGGAACCACGTCAGTCATGACTGAAAGATACCCTCAACCATCCCAAGCAATTGAGATCAGAAGCGGAGCATTGTGATGTCTCTCACAAAGCCGATGGCGGAAGTGATCATTCAATCACAGAAACCATCAGCCGAGGCAAGGAATCCCTCTTACCAAGCCAATAGCAGAAGTGTGATCATTCAATCACAGAAACCATCAGCCGAGGCAAGGGAATCCCACTGAACGCCCCTGATCTACAAGGAAGGAAGTGAAGGTTTGGCCCCCAAAGAGCAAAATAGAGTCAAAATAGATACCGGTAGCGTAATCAATCAGCTCACAATCTAAGACAACCTGAACTAATAAAGACAAAGCAAACAGCCAAACATCACTACTACCCACTTTCTACTACCAACGTCCCACGAGACCGACACGATACACACAAGAAGAGATGACAACAACAAGGACACTGCAGAAAGAAACAATGACATCTTGGACAAGAGCGAACGTCAATATCTTACTCCTACTGGCATGTTTTGTTGGCAGCAGCTTTGCCTTTGTGGTGTCACCGCCATTGACATACAGTCGAGTATCCGAGCCAACCTCGTTATCATTACCCCACAGCACTACTACTATTAATAGTAGCAGCAACACCCGCCTCTACTTCTTTTTCGGCGGTGGGAATGATGATTCCCAATCCAAAGACAAGGAACTGGCGTTTTATCCCAAGCTAGCCACCAGTGCCAATGCTGATGTCAAATTCGAAAGTTTGGCCACATTCATATCCACATGGGCGCAAAAATTCGAAGACGATCGCAAGGGAATGGGCCTCACGACACCCGTCAAGATTAAATCCACACTGGAAGAAGAAGCAGAAGACGACGGCACGGTTGTCGAACAAGCTGGAGTCAGAATTGTCTTTCAACCCACCAAAACAGGGTACAAGAGCAAGAAAGAAGAAAACAAGAAGGAGGATGGAGAAAAAAAGAAGAAGGGACCTCCCAAGGAGGGTGGTGTACAACTACGAGTCATCAAGCTTGACAGTGGGGAAGTCCAACTCAAGGCTCGACGATGTGATATTGATGAAGATACCACGATTAAGGAAATGTCCGAAGAAGCCATCGTCCATGAACTCAAAGAAGCTGTGGACGCATGGAAGAAACAGTAACTTGCTACATGTAACAAAAAGAATCCACGATAGCTAATGATCAGCAGTATGCAAACATAGAGGGAGGCATAATCTATCATAGGAACACATGAGAGTATGAACAACAAAACCGTAGCTTACCCATCTTGGCAACGGAATCTGAATCATGATAGACCACTCTTTGGCTTCCGTGTGGTCGAGGCCATTTATTGGTGTGATTGTATGACTGTGCTTTTTCTATTCATTATGATGTTTCCAAAAATCAATCTAATACAATCCATCTTCCTTGATCCATTGTGCTGCTTGCTTGGCATAGTATGTCAAGATGATATCAGCCCCAGCCCGCTTGAAGCAGGTAAGTGTCTCCAAAACAACATCCCGTTCGTTCAACCATCCATTTTGACAGGCAGCCTTGATCATGGCGTATTCACCCGAAACGTGGTAGGCGGCAATGGGCAAGGGAGAGTAATCCTTCAGACGACGAATGATATCCAAGTAGGGCATGCCTGGCTTGACCATGAGCATATCGGCACCTTCGGCAGAGTCCAAAGCAGCCTCAATCAACGATTCACGTCCATTGGCAGGATCTTGTTGGTACGTTTTCTTGTCGCCGAATCCGGGGTGGCTGTCAAGGGCATCACGGAAGGGTCCATAGTAAGCAGAGGCATATTTCGCAGTGTAGGAGAGAATGGAAACATCAGTGAAACCCTCGGAATCCAAAGCATCACGGATAGCTTTGACACGGCCGTCCTAATGTGGCAGAAACGAAAGGAAGCAAATTTGTTAGCCACGCCACCCACTGTGAAAAGCCAGCACATGAAATCATTCACAACTAGTTGGATCAGCAACCTACCATCATGTCACTAGGAGCAACAATATCAGCTCCAGCTCGTGCCTGGCAGATGACTTGCTTGCAAAGCTGATTGATGGTAACGTCATTCAAGATCTTTCCATTTTCTACAACACCATCGTGTCCTTGATCAGAGTATGGGTCCAAGGCAACATCCGTGACGACAATGGCTTCAGGATGAGCTTCCTTGATCATTCGAATGGCACGTGGGACAATTCCCTCTGGGTTGTAGGCTTCTTCTCCATAGTTGGTCTTGAGTTCATCAGGGACCTTGGGGAAGAGAACAAATGTCTTGACACCCAATTCGAAGGATTCTCCGACTTCACGCAACATGCTATCCAGGGAATGACGTTCACATCCAGGCATGGAGTCAATGGGTTGATTGAAATCTTCATCGTGGATGAACAGAGGCAAAATAAAGTTGGAGGGGGTGACAATATTTTCTCGGACCATGCTGCGAATGGCGGGGGATTTTCGGTTGCGACGAGGGCGTGCTCTCTACAGACGGGGAAATTTATTGTAATATAGGAACAACAAAAAAGTGGCTGGTGAGTCCAATATCTATTTCGACAGGATCATTGCAGGGGTATCCATTCCATTAATCCCAATGAAAAATAAAATTCCACCTACCTGGGACACCCAAACTTCGTCGTTATTGTTTCGTTGCAAAGCACCGTAGTCTCCCTCGGTGGGATCATAGGATCCTTCGGCATCAATTCCACTCATGGTCTTGTCCACGGGATCCGTGCTGGGACCAGTGGATGCAGGAGTGGATTTGGGTGCAACCGCAGAGAAAGCAGTGGCATTGCCAGCCAAAAGAGCAAACAGGGAGAGAGCAGTGTAGAACTTCATGGTGATGACGATGATAGACAGCAAAGAATATTGTGTTGAGCTGATGCAGTGGGAAGGACGCTTTGGTCCACAACGTTGAAGCCCCAAAGAAAAAGTGGCTTGGGTTCAAGGCCGTAGAAAGCTACGACTGTTGTGTACTAAGAAAACTTCAACTTGCGGTGTTGCACCATGCTTTCACGTGGAAGCAGGGGTTCGACCTCCCTCTTCGCTTGTGTGTGACGTTTGGGCAGCCTTGCCGTGTTATATTTCCACGAAAGGGCAGAACTCGTCGAAAGACAAGATCGTGTACAGGCATCGTCGCCCAACAGCGTGTTGTTGTTGATTGAAGGTCACTCTGTATAGTTTGTCTGCTTGGAACCATGAGCTGTAAAGAGACAACTTCAAAGAGGCAGGGAGTGCCCGAAACACCCAGATCTGAGGACGATTTCCTAGAGCGAAAGTATATCTGGGTTGGTGGGATCCTGCCATTTTTGGGAATGGGGCACTATGCCTATGTCGCCCCAGTCTGCCGCAAAATGAAAGACATGTACAAAGCATACTGTGAAACAGTGGAGAATCCTCCACAGATCAATGAGTCTGAGGATGATGAGCATAATGATTTTCGCTCAGCAACCCCTACAGATACTTTTTACGGTTATACATTCTCCTCTGTGGAACGTGCAGAGTATTGGTATACCCACCGCCACACTGGAAGTGGTGAAGAGATGGGTGACAATGAAGTCTGTGCTGCAGCTGCCAAAGTGGGTAGTCTTCAAGTTATTCAATGGGCCCGAGATAAAGGATTTGATTGGGACGAAGACACATGTGAGAGTGCTGCAGCAAATGGCCATTTGGAATGCCTCAAATATGCCCATGAGAATGGCTGTCGATGGGACTGGAGGACATGCTCCGAGGCTGCTGAAAATGGCCATTTGGAATGTCTCAAATATGCCCATGAAAATGGCTTTCCATGGCATGAAGACACATGCTGCTTTGCTGCTCGCAATGGCCATTTGGAGTGCCTCAAATATGCCCATGAAAATGGCTGTCCCTGGGATAAACACCACATGCCGATTTGCTGCTGACAATGGCCATTTGGAATGCCTCAAATATGCCCATGAAAAGGTTGTCCCTGGACTGATATGACTTGCTCCTGTGCTGCTGAAATGGCATTTGGAATGCCTCAAATATGCCCATGAAAATGGCTGTCCTGGGATAAACACACATGCAATGTTGCTGCTGAAAATGGTCATTTGGAATGCCTCAAATATGCCCATGAAAACGGCTGTCCATGGGATCATTACACATGCCGATTAACTGCTGAAAATGGGGATTTGGAATGCCTCAAATATGCCCATGAAATGGCTGTCCATGGCATGTGGACACGTGCTGCTTTGCTGCTCTCACTGGCCATTTGGAGTGCCTCAAATATGCCCATGAAAATGGCTGTCCCTGGGATAAACACACATGCCGATTTGCTGCTGTGAGCAACAATTTGGAAATTCTGAAGTATGCCCATTGAAGCGACTGTCCATGGCATGAAGACACATGCCGCTTTGCTGCATATAATGGCCATTTGGAGTGCCTCAAATATGCCCATGAAAATGGCTGTCCCTGGGATAAACACACATGCCGATTTGTTGCTGAAAATGGCCATTTGGAATGCCTCAAATATGCCCATGAAAACGGCTGTCCATGGCATGAAGACACATGCAAGGAAGCTGCTACGAATGGCCATTTGGAAGGGCTCAAATATGCCATTGAGAATGGCTGTCCATGGGACCAACAATCTTTGCTCATCATTGGTACTCCTCAGGTAAAGGCTTGGGTTCAAGCTATGTCCTAACTTGCTGCCTGCATTATTTGGCCTAGCCAGTGACAGTCAAATGCCAATTGGTGGGACAGTCATTTTTTAACACAGCCCAATAAAACATGTAAGCTTAAATTAAAATTAATTTGAAAGGCTTGAAATTGGTTTATCTGCCAGCCTGCCCATTGCGGTTTGGGTTCTTCTCGCTAGTACCTGCCGGTAGTGCATAGATTGGAAGGGCTATCATGTAGCTGCAACAAATGCTTTAACTACTGAATATGCTCTGTGGGTTCGCCAGCAAGCTCCATGAGTTCCCTTCAAAAGCATGGTGGTTATCTTAACTCCAAGGGCAATCCACCGGCAAGGGTGTTTATGGCTGTCCGTCAGGTGAAGTGCCCTTGCCCTTTCATAACCTTTCTGTCGTTGTCTGCGAAAGTAGAATTTGATCACTGGCGTTCTACAAGAATCGTCCAATGCCAGCTAACCTACCACCGAGTAGCTGCTTTGCACAGGGAGGCTACCGTGTCATGCACTAATTTTAAAAAGAGTTTTTCATACTTGGTTTTATGTATCATCAATTGGGAAGGACATACAGCGTTATTGGTTGTCATGGAACAGACAGGATCATACAAGGATACAGAGCCAGGCAAAGTGCTGCAATCGTTCCTTGCGGAAAGTCCCCCAGCTCTTGGGCAAGGAATTGGTGCTTGATTTCTATTCTATTCCTACTCCCGCACATCCGTCACAAGATGTCAATCGCTGCTTCCGTGGTCTCGTGTCGTGACTTCACGACAGTTTGCTGTTGACTGCTCCTCTCCGTGCCCAGTTGAGCCGCATGAGACCATGAATTGGATCTGTGCTCGCCCTTCCAACAGCGCAAGGAACTACGGGATGCTGGATTTGCTCTGGTTACGCCAGGATCCGTGCTGAAAGAAAGCAAAGAATTGATCACATGGGTGAGATTACCATTGTCACGCAATCAAACTCATGAACGACGCCAACACAAGGGACAACAAAATGAATCAGTCCATCTAGTAGCTGTGAATGGGTTATCCACATGCATAGATATTCAGTCAGCAATTGGACTAACAATATTTGGGTATCATCATCTTCATTTTACATCGTACCCTTTTCAAGAACGTGAATATATCATCAAGCATCAAAGAGTAACTCACCTCGTGCGCCTCACTCATTCTACGCACATGCATCCATGAGAGGAGCCACTCCGCGGTTCCTGTGGTTTGAAACGCGCAAAGGATTAGACCAGCAAGCCCACGGCAGAAAGATTTGTGGTTGGTTTCGTCTCTCCGAAAAGAATCAGACAAACCGTGAAATGTGACTCAACACAAAGTTTCAGACAGCTCCAATAGTTGTACAAAATGAGGTTGTCATCCTGTTCTCTCCAAAATAAATATACCGACAGGGCTTCTCTGAACGGTCGAGGAACAACATACCTTTGTTTTCACCACACCACACAACGTCAGCTAAAGAATATACTAGTACCGTACTGCGAGAATACAACAAAAAAAGACCAGTAGTGTGAGAACCAGGTTGTCGCAGTGACAAAATCGAGAGAGCCAGAAATCCATCCATCCATCATTGCGCACATGGAATTGTTCGTCATGAAGACGTGCTTCCACGCCTCAGAAACCGTAGTAATTTGCTTCCAGCTTTGTAATCACTTGGGGGAAAACGAGATTTGATTTGAATTAAATGATTCTCCTGCACACAGAGCTCACCTTTCTTGTCTCTGTCGTCGAGTCAGTCGAGTCACAACCACGCCCGTTGCCGTTGTTTGTTACAGCTTGTACAGAATGTAGTTTTGGTAGTGTATACTGCCATTGGCCACTCCCGTTTCGTGCCACCCCGGAATGTACAGCGTCCGATGGAGCGTCGATGTGGTCTTGTCGGCATCCAAAAAGGGAACCTTGGCCACAAGGGTAGCCGACGCGGGGACGCGACAATCCGACGATGTTTCCAAATCAATCACATAGGAACAATCTTGTAGCTGGGAGTATCGTTCGGGTACGTGTTCGTTTTGATCATTAAAGGGTTGCAAGACCCGTCGCGAAGCAGCCGCGCTTCCAAAGGGGGAGAATGGTTGCGGCAATTGTCCTCGAAAAGAACTTGGCAAAAAAGCCAGTTCGTGATTCTTCGGCAATGTAAAGCTGGAGGGGAATCGATACCATTCTCCACACGTACAGACTTTGGTTTTCGTGGAAGTCGTACTGTCTGTGGCTACGGAATGAAGCGCGGCATAGATCGAGAGAGGCGCCGCATAATACTTGTGGAGGGCGAGAATGCGCAACATGGACAAGACTGCCATGGGTATCCAGACAATACCATGAAGGGCGATTCGGTAGTGTGGTTCCTTGGCGATTTTGACCAATACGGAAAAGAGTGCATCCAAGAGTCCGTCGGCTGTGATGACAGCCCCGAAACAGATGAGTGGATAGATGGGAAACAAGAATCGTTCCTCCTTGTGCGGTCGTGGCACCAGAATGGCCAGCCAAATGTAGAGCGGGGACAGCAGTACCAAAAGGATGGACTGGTTCTGTTGTTTTCCCATGGCCATGGCAATCATGACGACGACGGCACTGCACATGGCCAAAATGGCGACTCCATTAAAGTTCAATAGTAAATTCTTGATATAATACGATGTTGGTTCGACGCCATACAATTCATCACCGCCACTTTGGGCATTGTATCGAAAAATGTTGAGATTGGGTGACGTCCAAATACCGTACTGTTGAAAATCCACAATCAACGCCACGGCTTGGATGGATACCGTCACCATGACGGTATAGAGTAACAATTTGACCACGTGTTGTACATGCACTGGAGACCCCCAAGCTCCTGGAGTCCCGTTATCGGGTGGTTTGGTTTGTACAAGTAGCACATGCAAGCCAAGTGGCACCAATGTGAGTACGGCAAAGGGCCATCCAATGCCAAGAGTCGCCGCAACGGCGAAGAGGACAAACCGTTCCTTTTCGTGACGCAAAAAGGCGGCGGCCGCCCACAACCAAACCACGGCCCAGGTGGTCGAGGGCAAGAGGGCCCCACTGGCATGGGCCATTCCGGCACTGGTCTGCATGACAAAGAGCGTCCATCGTGCCACGGCCGGGGAGACAGTCTTTGTTGTTTCGAGTGTCTTGCAAAAAGAGACTTCCGCCAGGGCCATGGTGACGGCGAGTGTGGATTTGAGCATGACAAAGACCATCAGTTTGTCATTATGGCTGTTGTCTGAAGAGCGGATTGGAAAATCGACCAACAAGGACGACGGAATAAAGCTGGCAATAGTAGTCAATTCATACAAGCGTGCCACGGGTACCCATGGTACATACAGATAGACATATGTTCGTAACGCGTATTCGTGCGCGTATTCCCAAGTTTGCAACCCTCCGCCGTACAGCAAAAAGTGGAGGGGTTCCCAATAATTGTAGACTTCATCGCAATCCATAATCGGCATGCGATTCGACAGCCATATTCTCCAACAGAGACACAACGGCAAGAACACGTACGACCACCATTGTTGTCCTTGTTGTTGTTGTTCTTGTTGTGGAGAAGATAATGAGGACGATGCCATGGTGTGTTACACACAAAACGAAAGACAGCTCTGGCTAGCTCTAGAGCACCCCGGCAAATACTAAACTAAATTGATGGAGCTCCGTCTTCCATCTGGAATGAAGGAAAATCCAACGGCGAGCAAAGATCCAACGGTGAGGAAAGATCCAAAATAATACAGTAACCCTAAATTAACCTTCTGTTGCGAACTCCAAGGTCCGCCGTTTTCGGGAGAAACTGGCGTCACACAAAACAAATGAAACTGATCACAAAAGAGACCATGACCATGACAACCCCATCATCATCTTCTTCTTCTTCTTCTACCGCCTCCTGCACTATCGTCTACTCGACTCAGACAGGTCGAGCCAGAGCTTGTGCTCGTCGCACGGCTCGTATCCTGCGCGAAAAGACCCAGTTGACCCTGCTCGGTGGAACACCCTTTGACGAATTGGTTCCTTCCTTTCTCGACTATCCACATGGCCAACAACAACAACAACAAAATCACTTCTTTCTCTTGTTTGTCTCCACCACAGGAGATGGTGTCCATTGCGATTCCATCGCCCAAACATGGAAGTCACTCTTGAAAAAGTCACTTTCTTCCAACAAGTTACAAGGCGTCCAATTTGCATTGTTTTGTCTGGGAGATCGAGCGTATGGACCGCAGTTTTGTGCGGCCGGACGAAAATTGGCCGTCCGATTGATGCAATTGGGGGCCACTTCTTGTTGTGAAGTGGGATATGGAGATGACAATACACCCAATGGAGGATGCTTTGCCGATCTCGATCGATGGATTCAACAGCAATTATTATTGTCGTCAATAATATTATTGGAACAACCAAATACTAGTACTGTCGCCGTCATGACAAACAGCAATACCACGGATACAACCACAACAAGGGTCGATACTTCGCACTACAAAGTGACGGTACTGCAAGAACAAACAAAAGATGCCATGGATCAATGGCAACAAGACTGGTGCCAAGAATCTTATCAGGCTTTTTTTGCACACCAGAGTCCAATGACGGCATACAGATATGATTCACAGGCCAACAGCACCAACAACACACCACCACAGCAAAACAAGCCACTGATTGCCCAGGTAGAATCCAACACTCGATTGACGGCACCCGATTGGGATCAGAATACAAGACACATTCGACTCCAGTTAACGGGCTATAATAATAATAAGAAGCAAACGACACCTACCGAACGACAGCTTCCCTATCAAGCAGGAGATATTGCCACCATTATGCCCTGCAATCCACCCACAGAAGTGGAACGATTCATTCAAACACTGCCCACGGCATTGCAAACCATTGCCGACAAGGTGCTGCATCTCGACTACTACCAACAACAACAACAGCAACAACAAGCCAATCTACTAGGAGATGCCTTTCCCCACTGGCCGGCCCACTGCACCCTCCGTGGATGGCTCACGTATTGTGCCGACATTCACGCCCCACCAGAACGAGAAGATTTGCGGGCGATTAGTCAATTCTGCAGTCATGAACATGACATGGGAGCCGCACAACGAGACAAGTTATTGTCGTTGAGTGAAACGGCGGCGAGCGCGTTGTATGTGGACTACATTTTGCGGGAAAAGCGGTGTTGGACCGATGTCTTGTACGACTTTGATTCCTTGCGGCATTTGGGGAGTGGATTGACCGTGGAAGCCTTGTTGGCGATTGTGCCACCCATGCGGCCACGAGACTTTAGTATTGCCAGTGCTCCCACCACGTCAACTAAACCAGATGGCGACTTTGTCGTCGAGCTTTGCGTCGCAGTCGTCGAGGGGACTACACCGTTGGGACGGTCCTATCATGGACTCTGCTCGCACTATCTATCGACACTACTCCTCCAGGATTCTACTACAGTGCTCCAAATGTGGATTCGACCGGGTTCGTTTCATGGTCTGCCTCTCACGCCGTCCCAAAACGACACCACTTCCGAGAAGAGAAGGTGGTTTGAGAATCCCGTCTTGTGCATTGGTGCTGGGACAGGAGTGGCGCCACTCCGCGGTCTCATCTTGGAACGGGAAGCTGTCCGAGCGGCGCAACAAAAGAGCGATGTGGCTGATTCCTCGACAATAGCTCCTTTCGCCGCCACCACCAACGGCGATGCCACAAACGAAACGCAGACACTCAACCAATACGACAACCTACTCGTATTTGGATGTCGCAAACGAGACGCGGACTACTATTACCAAAACGAATGGACCCAGCTGCAGAATAGGATGGTGGTGATTCCTGCCTTTAGTCGAGAACAGGCGCGAAAGGTCTACGTACAGCAGTTGATCAAGCAGAATGGTGAGGCCATTGTCAGGCACATTATGGAAAACGATGGGGCCATTTACATTGCTGGAGGTCCCAGTATGGCACGGTACTCCAAAGAGGAGTTGATAGACGCCACGGCGCGGGTCTTGCTGGACGGAGATGAGAAAAAAGCCAATCTACTATTCAAAAAGATGCAAGCCAGGGGTAGATTCCGCGTAGAAGCATGGAGCTGATAAACTAAACATTAAGCAGCAGGTTGTGTATCTCGTGTGATTTGCTGTTGAACGGGCAGCAGGCAGGCTAGGCATTCCTCTGGAACATGAAACCCTGAACCCAAGCCATTACCTCTACAGTAGCACTGTTCAGGACTCGTTCGTTTTCCCATGGACAACCATTCTCAATGAGGTATTTTACCATGTCCAAATGACCAATTTCTGCGGCAAGTGCGCACACCTCTTGGTCCCATGGACAACCATTTTCATGGGCATAAATCAGAATTTCAAAATGACCATTTCGAGCAGCACTGCTGCATGTCTTTTCATTCCATGGACAGCCATTCTCATGGGCATATTTGAGGCAATCCAAATGGCCATTACCAGCAGCCCTGCTGCATATATATTCGTCCCAGGGTGCCTTAAGCTAGATCTAGTAGACTGTTTGGGTAAATTATGAGCTATCTAAATTAGGTAGATACAGAGCCACTGGCTCCGTTCTATGACTATGTCCCTGTAGAGGGTATCCAGGGATACTAAGATCCCTCTCCAGGCATACCAAGACCTCTCTTGGCATCCTTACAGTCAGGCCTATTGCATCCGCTTCCCCAACTGCACTCAAGCTTCAGGGGTCTCTGGTTCAGAGAATGGTTGCACTCTACGGATGTTGATCCGTTCAGAGATAGCACCTTGCCTTATGCGGATAGTGCCGTTGGTATACACGTGCGTGACTGTCATAGACATGCGTGACTGTGAATGGTCCATCGTCGTTGCGTCTAAGCTTGCGGAGGATCCCGGGTCTAGCCTTTGACACCATGTCTCCTATGAGTAGGTGTGCGCAATGCGCTTGATGTTTTCCCGTTCATTGTTCTTATTTATCATTGCTTGTCTGCGTGCCCTTATGGCTTCCCAGTCAGCCTTGAACTGGACTGGTAGGAGCATATTGCGTCCGAAGATCAGTTCGGCCGGCGTTGCCTCTAAAGTAGTATGGTAGGTACTCCTTATGGCATAGGCAGCAGCAGATAGGAAGGAGTACCACGGATCATGGCCGTCTAACTCTTCTTCTTTCGAAATCTTAGTTTCCTAGGCTTGGTGACGTTTCACACACTGCATTGCTTGGGTTGTACGGGGACTAGGCTTCTTGGGTCGCCAGTTTCGACGATTCTTCAAGATGACTGTGAATCTTTTGCATTGTGACAATGTGTGGTCTTGTACTCTTGATCCAGCATGATCAATGCCTTCTGGCGCGTCGCTTGGCCTCTCAACTGACTTAATCTAAATCTGTGAAAGATGGAATCATCATTGTTACATGGTCGAAGCATCAATTTATTGCGTTTGATATTGCCTTGAACAGGATTATGGAAATACTGGGGTACAACTTGACTATATATCCAGAAAGGTCAGGATGGTTCTAAGCATTGTGAAGAAAAGAGTGAGCACATAAAATATTAGCTGACTGAGATATGCAGGTTGGGCATATTCAAAGAACATTGAACAACACGAGAGAGATATACAAATATAAGCGTACTATGGACACATAGTAAAATATATTGAACCAACTATTAGTTATTATATTCGTTGTTCTGGATTGCACTAAGTATGAGGTGCACCATGCACTATTCGATTCGTATCCTCAGAGTACATTAAGTATTTTTCATTTCATAGATAGTGTATGTCCTCTATGTCTTTTTTAGGTTATCTTCTGTTTGTGTTTAATTTTCTGAGAGGTTCTTGTCAGCGGTTGCGTTGGCTGGTTTTGGGGTTCATTGACCTTAGTTCTGAGTCCTAAGCGCTTGTTGGTTGCTTTGTTGGTCTCATCATTGAAGCAATCTTCCACGTTCTCCTCTGAAGGTTCGTGTATTCTCAGTAAGGTGGCCTACATGGTGAGATGTGTGCGTGGCTGGGATGCTCTGGTTCTTGTGCCTGCCAGTGACTTTTGGCTGTCCGGTGTCTTTTTTGTTAAGATCTTTGGAGGGTCCGGAATATATAGAGGCAATGATGTATCAGGGGCAATCTTTTACAACAGTCTCATGACAATGTCATGGTTAATTGATATATATTTTGGTTGTATGTATTAAAGCTGTTTGTTCCAGGAGGATTGTTCTGAACTCCTTGAGAGTCTAAACAATGGACAGTAGTTCCTGTTCTCCTGTTGTGTAGCGCTTTTGAGCACTATTGAGCTTGCGGCTGTAGAAAGCCAATGGTTTGCCTTCTTGCATAATCACTCCGCCTAGTTGATAGTCACTGGCATCTGTGTATATATGAAATGTCTTACTAAAGTCAGGGAAGGCTAACATAGTGCCTTCACTCATGATCCTTTTCAATTCTTCAAAGGACTCCTGACATTGTTTGTTCCAGTCCCACTTTCTCTTCTTGGAAAGTAGTTCTGTCATTGGGGCTAACAGGTGGCTTCGACGTCGCCACATGTCTCGGTAATAGTTAACCATGCCAAGTAATGTTATTGTTGCTTCTTGGTGCTTTGCAGCCTAGTATCGCTTCTTCTTTGGTTGTGGTTTGATGGCGTTCCGAGTGAGTTGGTAGCCCAAGTACTCTAGCTCTTCCTCTGCAAAGAAGCATTTGCGGAAATTGGCTCTGAAGCCTTTTCTTTCAAGCCTACTAAGTACTATTTCGAGTTTAGTAAGATGGTCCTCGGTTCATCTGAGTGCTGGGATTTCATCATGTATACTTGGCAAATCCAGTCCTAGGGGTTCATCATAATCTTTGGATATGTCTGGAGCAGATGTACACTAGGTAGTTTCCTGTATTATTGCCCAAGGCCGTGGTTGTGATAGTGCTGGTTCTCATCAGTGGGATGTGGTAGTAACCCATGCTTAGGTCTATAGCCGTTGCATATTTGAAACCCTGCAGTTTGTATAGCAGGTTAGAGATTTTAGGTAATGGGTAGGGCTTGCGTTTGAGCACTTCGTTTAATTTACGGAAGTCTGTCAGCACTCTTACATCCCCTGTTTTCTTAGGTTGGATGAAGCTGGCAGCTGCCCATTCACTATCATGGTTTCTTTCCATGACAACAATCTCACAGAATCGGTCAATCTCTTTCTTAGTTGTTTGCTAATAGGCTTTTGGTATGGGAAAGGCTCTGGCATGGAATGGCTTGGCACCTTCTTTAATTTCTAGATGGACAGGCTTGATATTCAATTGTCCAAGGCCACCACCAAAGAGTGTGGGATGGCTCTTGAGTACTGCCTTTAGTTTCTCTTTTTCATCCAGGTTTAGCTTAGCCTGACTATTGATATACTCATCAATGTCTACACTGGAATAATTTGCATCTAGAATCCGCTTTTGGCGTGACTCCGCTTCCTGGAGGATAGGTGCCTCTACATTCATATGGTAGAGCGCTTCCATGAAGTGACTTTCACTGAGTTGCCCACGTTGCTTGAGAACCCCAGTGTTTTCTGTCTTCCATAATACCTTTATCTCGGTTACATATGATACAAGTTCGTATGGTCATACATGATGTGTATGATGCATGTTGTTGGAGGGGTGTAATATCTCTTGGCTCCATTGGACGTTTTATTGGCATCTAGTTGAACTTGAGGTCTCCACTAAACTTTTGTTTGGTTTCGAATTGTCCACCAAGAGTGTTCCATTGAACCTTCTTTCCTTTGTAGCCTGCTCTGCCTTTGCGAACAAACTCCTTTAGGATGAGTGTTGAGGAAGTGCCAGTGTCGAGCAATGCTCTAGCTGGGACAATCTCCTCATTCCGATTATTATTGGACTAGAATTCGCTGTATAGTGCCGGTTTTGACTTTTCTTTGGTCTAGTATCTCTAGAGGGATTGTTTGGTTGGTTTTACTACTAGGATTTATTTGCTATGTATGTTGCTGTTCATTCCTCTTACTGTTTGCTGTGTTCTGGCTAATGGCGGTAGATCGTATCAATGGTCAGTACGTCAGTAAGGTGTGTCGCCAGTCTTTGTAGCATGCTTACCCTTGGGTTTTGTTTTTGTCAGGAATGGTAAGGTAGACTAGGATGTTTCGAGCTGTTACGTTTTCTTATCTGCGGCGAGCGCGGCTTGGTTGGTTGAAAAGCTTCTTGAGAGTTTGGTTCCCTCATGACCATGGGAGCTTTGGGCTTACTCTTATTTTGTTGGAATGGACTTTGGCACGTTTTTTTGGGCGGTCTCCGTTCAGATTTTGTGTGCCAGACTTGGTCCACCGTGATCTCCCACAGGTTTGGGGATGCCGTCCTGTTCTATTGTGGTTCTTGTTAGTCCACGGGTTAGGTTTTGCACCACCGCACCAGGACCACCTCCACCTCCGTTGTTGCCTCCATTGAAACCATTGGCTTCGGAGAGCTTGCGGGAAAGTAGGTCGGCTTTGTAAAGTCGCTGGTAGTATGTCACAGCCTCATTGAAGCTCTTGAACAGGTGTGGCTGCTTGCCCTGGCTGGGCATCAAGGGGTGCCAGCGCCTAGGCGTGGAATAGTCCATGATGTCAACCAGTTCATCCCAATCAAGTTTCTTGTTTGGGGGATGTTCCATTTCCACCTTGTCAATGGGGAAATATTTCAAATAATCGTTTAGCTTTTCAAGGCGGTCCGCAAATTTCTCCGGATCCATGTTGCCCATGAATAGATTATTGCGCATGTAGCGCTTCTGGGAACGAGCTGCCCAGGCTCCATCAGCAAAGATTTTCAAGGCCATGTCATTCATGACTTGGCTCAATGCCTTCTTCTGTTGGTCCTCAGATGTGACCTCTTGGGTGAACCGTTTGATGTAGAAGCTCTGGTAGAGCTCTGCGCTTTTACCTTTGAGAAGGCTGCGCTGGACACGAACGATCTGAGCCGTCTTGGTGTATCCCAATGTTTTGATTAGATCATCAATGTATTCACTGACATTTTCTAGGTGTATCCCCTTTCGATGGAGTATTGGGACGTGTGAGTACTGTTCTTTTGATCATATTTCGGTTGTGTCTGGTGCATGGACGTGAAGGTGCGCACGTGGTGGAGTCTCTCTCGTACCTGGGATGACTTGGCCTTTTGGCTTTCTCGGGAAGAGTGATTAGCGGAGCCAATCTTGGCAACTTGTTGCGCTTTCGCTTCCTATCAATAATTGGAGTACGGAAGGATGGTGTTGAGTCATAATTGGATACAACCCAAGTAGAAATTACTTGCGAGAGGTGACACATTATTTTCTGTTGTGTAACTTTTTGCCTTGTTGCTTGTTACGGTGGCTTCAATTTTCGCTCAAATTTGTGGCGGAGAGATTTTTCCTCACGGGAAGACTGTGTCGGCGTCCAGTTTGTGTTTGTCCTGAAAGCACGGCTGGCTGATGAGAGCAGGACCGGTCGGTAGCAAGTTCTTTGTTGTTGTCGCAGAAGGATGGAGGCTTCTGTTGTCGCAAAATACCCCTCAGTCAAAGGATCGCAAAATCCTTGTCAAAGGAGTGATATCACTATGCCTTAAGCTAGATTAGTGACTTTGGGTAAGGATATGAGCTATCTAAATTAGTAATACAGAGCCACTGGCTTGTTCTATTGATTTCCTGTAGAGGTATCAGGGTACTAAGATCCTTCCAAGGCATACAGACCTCTTTTGGCTTTACAGTCAGGGCTATTGCACAGGGACACAATTTCATGGGAATATTTGAGACAATCCAATCTTTTAGAGCATTTGGATTTGTATTCTTCGTCCGGGCAGCGTTTTCATGGGTATTTTGAGGCATTCTAATGGCATGCGAGGTCAGCAGCAAATCGGCATGTGTGTTTATCCCAGGGACAGCCATTTTCATGGGCATATTTGAGGCACTCCAAATGGCCATTGCGAGCAGCAAAGCAGCACGTGTTCACATGCCATGGACAGCCATTTTCATGGGCATATTTGAGGCACTCCAAATGGCCATTGATAGCAGCATTGGTGCAGGTGTTTTCCTCATCCCAAGGACAGCCATTTTCATGTGCATATTTGAGGCATTCCAGATGGCCATTCTGAGCAGCATGGCAACATCTGGTTGCGCTCCACAGGCAGCCATTTTCATAAGCATACTTGAGAATCTCCAAATGGCCGTTTGCTGCTGCATACTTACAGGTATCTTCGTCCCAATCAAATCCTGTATCTTGGGCCCATTGAAGAACTTGAAGGTTACCTGCTTTTGCTGCTGCAGAACAGACAACATCGCCATGGATCGCTCCAGCAACACCAGTATGACGGTGGGTATACCAATACTCCGAGCGGGGCACAGAGGAGAAAACTGCACTGTGGAAAGTATCGGAAAAAGTTGCTTTGCGAGAACCATAATTTCGTCTACCGTCATTGTTGACCAATGGTGGATTCTGCACAGTTTTGCAGTACACTGTGTAGAGATCTTTCATTTTGCGGCTGACAGGCGCGACAAAGACATAGTGGCCCATGCCAAGAAAAGGGAAAATGTTGCTAATCCAGACATCTTCGTGCTTCAAACAACAAGATTGTGACATTTCCACATCTGATTGTATTTTTGCTCGTGTGTGATGCTCAGGTGCCGACATAACCAGTAAGCTGACTCTTTTGCGGTTGTCGTCCTCCATGTTCTCTGGGTACTATGCTGTGGGTATCTACTAGCTTGCTAGCTTTGAAGCTACATCTACTAGTACTTCTGTTACTTCTGTTGCCTTGAGCGGTCAACTGTGTGGTAGAGGGCCTCGCGAAGCGGTAAAGCAAGGCAGGGCAGTGGAGCAAGCGGAGCAAGCCTGGCAAGCTGCGGTGGGCTCAGGCGCATTCTTTACAAATAACAGAGACCAGGTTATGAAGATCAATTGTACATCTGCTCCAAGTTTTCATAGCTACCTGGTACAGAACTGTAGCGGGTTGCTTCGTCCTATGCATGGACAACCATGTATGTGGGCAAGTGTATACTTTACTCGAGGTACCGGTAGGATTGGATCAATTGTGCATCTGTTCCCAGTTCTCACAGCTTCTGGTACCGTTACCGGTAGCCAGGCAAGTTGCCAAGTAGCCTAGCTAGCTAGGTGCAGCAAAGGACAAGTAGATTGACTCTGGCTCGTTTAGTGATGGGTTGAACAGAGCCCGGCCTCCTTCCCTTCCCACGATGCGATGCGAGGTGCTTCTCATCAAGGAATCAACTTAAGCTGGACTCTCCTCGTTGCGGCAGCTTCGTCGGTCGTGCAGTAGATCCGCACTATATGCCCTTTGGCCATCGCGCACGCTTTGTTCTGCGGATGAAGATGAGTATGGGTGACTTGAAAGGAGACGTGAAGGCGCGTAGCTTCAAATCAACCAATAGTCTACCTGAACTGTTTCCGCACGATAGGCATGCCACGGCCAGGTATCGTATCCAGGACTGCTCAAGAGTCCAGATAGCAGGAGCAAGACTTGACAGGTCGTGATAAGATGCCATGCCCATTCTCTTGGTTCCTGGGACCACGATTGGACCATTGAATGGGGGAAGTGCTGCCAACCAGTGCGGTGTCCTTTCGTAGCTATCACTCAGCAAGTTTGGTTAACCCATGTTTATGTTTTTAATAGTAGTCTTTTTTCAATATGTAGCCAATTGATTGGGAATATGCAGACCAGTGGTGTGTGTGTGTGTGTGTGTGTGTGGTGGTGGCAATGATGCGGTGCGTGCGATTTCAGAGTAGGATTATGATGGGAGCTTATGATGGGATGGATGACGACCAAAACAGTGCCCAAAGAGCAAGCATGGTTGCTCAGGAGGGTAATAACTGCATCATTATCTTCATCAATCCGTAGCGTTTCAGAAGCCGCGAATTGCGGGAGCAGAGACGCGTCGCGCGTGATCCTTGTTGACATCCGCGGGTTGGGCAGCATCCTTGATTTCCACATGGTATAGTTTCCCATCCCGCACCATGGCCGAGGCGAGCATTTTGTGTGCCTTTTCACGAGGCTTTTTGACCATGTATTCGTAGGCAAGGCCCACTTCGTCCTTTTCGACCTTGATGAGCTCCATTGTCACGTTGTTCTGAACGAGTGAATCCATGTCCTTCATGACACGGGGTTTGTTCAGCATGACTTGGCCATCGACTTGCATGCGGCATTCATCGTGAAAGAGTGCATCGGCCAGTGGGCGGACTTCTTCCATTGTCTTGTCTTCTTCGGCCAAGACCAGGAAGAGTTTCATTACTTTGCGCATGGGGTCGCTCATTTTGATGGATGGGTGGGTAAGAGAGGAAAGGGTATCTATTAGTCACCGATTGGCAGTGGTGCTGGATTTGATTTGATTGCTTTGAGTATGGAAAATCTTGTTTTGTGTCACAACAACAAGTGGCTCGTCTATTCCTTGCTCCTCCTCTCTCTTCGCTTTGAAGACACAACCAGCAAAAAGTTTGATAGAAGTGAGAATACTCTACCCAATCAGAGCTCTATCAAGAGACGAGAATCATGAATTTGTGAGTGTGTTCGCGTCGACTTTGCTTCGTAGAAATTCTACGGCGATAGCTACGGCGATCTAGCTTGGTTCTGGTGAACATCTGATTGATCACTGTTCCCACCCGCAGATCCAGAGGAAGCTTCCTGATGGCAGGATCGTGCTGGTTGGGCCTGCGGAAAGGGATCTTTGACAAGAGGCCTGAATTGACTGGTATCGTAGGCAATTGGGGGCGTCAATGCACATCTGTCTGCGAAAGAGAAGCTCAACTTCACATCCTTCGCAACGTAAGCATGGGCTTCCCAAGCTCTGTCATCAATTGCCTTGATGGGAACAGTGTCAATGAGTGAAGTCGTCACAGCTGTTGATAGCAAAGCGTGACATGGATGCATCAAATCAAGGAGCTTCCGTGTGGAATGTTCTTGGTGTCATTTTGTCTCGTTCTGCGTTATTCAAAGCTTTAGTGACCGGAGGGGCGTTATATCCTCAAAGTATCCACGTCTCGACCACTACAGAGTACTTGATGCCGGAACGACAACCACAACACAAGTCATTGCAAAAATGAAACCTTTCTGGTTGCGTTGGCACCAAAACCTACTAGCTAGCTACTCAAGCTAGAAAGAAGCCTCCATGAGGATCTTGTTTGGCCAGGCAAAGAGGTGCGGCAAAGGATTGGAGGTGCGTACGACCTAGCCAATGGTCAATTCTGTCTGCTCTGGCTACCGTAGGGTTCGACTTCACTGCCTAGTGCGTAGTTAGCATGTAATGTTCAAAAGTTCGTTGATACCATACTATTTCACTGCTGGTCTCGACTTCACTTCTAAGAATGGGGGCAACAACTTTTAAAATGTTGGTGCACAACATCCTAGTTTGTTTTGACTTTGTAAATGTGAGAATTTCTCTCGAGTCGAGTCAATGAATAAACTGTATTCGTGCATTGAGGGTTGACGGTTCCTTTGTGCATCCCGATAATGTTGAAATTCTATCCAGAGAGCGCCTTCATTTCCCTTATTAGTCGAATGAGTCAAGAGAATCACTGCATCTACCGGTAACCAGCATGCTTGTGCCTCCCGTGGATTGTTTCGTTTGAGCAAAGCTTTGTTGGCTCCGCACGACCATTATTTTCCGTTTGCATCTAACGTATATAGCTACCTAGCTGTCCATCATTTCGGCCAGAGTCACCGCCACGGCCACTCGCAAGGTCCTGGTGGTTCTCGATACGGTGGGTTGTTGTTCTGTAGTAGCACCATCACTGTTGCTGTGGACGGCGTTCATGAGTCGAATGGTTCTAGTGGCCACGGTGGTGGGGGTGGCAGCGTTGTTGTTGGATGTTTGTTTATTGCAGAGTAGTATTTCTCGTTCCGCCGAGGCAATCATTTGGCACAAGCCCGTGGCAATCTCTCCACAGACCCAATGGTGGTGTTGGTACCAGTGTCGAGTGGAACAATTTAAATCGCAATAGGCCGTCAAGAAACAGCCCTTGCACCATCCTTGAGTCCGAAGTCCACAATGGACACATCGTCTCCCCTTCCAAATGATGGTAGGAGGTGGTAATTGCGGAGTGTCGTCTGAAGTTGTACTTGTCGTGGCAGTAGCAGTAGCGGTAGAATTGGTAGTTGGTACTTGTGCAAGTGCACTATTCCACCAACGAACCACTCGGTTTGCCTCAGACATTGCCGTGTGATCTTCCTCCTGCTCATTAAGAAGACGGCAATCCCCAATATCTTCTTCGTCTTCGTCTTCACTGGCAATTCCCGTGGATGCCGTTTCATTGCTTCCACGTCGTTGTTGTTGTTGTGGCGTCTCGTTATTGCTTGGATGATGATTGGCCGTCAAGAGATCCTGAAGCATCGTTTCGATTGGTTCCAGGGCTTCATAGAGTGCTGCTGGGGGCTCCATCATGGCGTGGTGTGGTGTTGCTTGGGATAAGCGAACGTGTGCTACCATGCGGCAGAGGGCGAAGGTATCATGTTGGATGGGGAGGTGAAAAGTGTATTGCTTCTTGCCGTTTCTTTCTTCTTCTTGCTTTTTTTCGCAAACTAACCCTAACCCCACTGTATTCCCGCACCTGCCGCCATCGCCAACAGTATCCGGCACAGAGCAGTACAGTACGGTATCTTTTTAGGTTCCAGAACGTTCTCGGATAATGCAATGCCAACAGCCAAAGCTTCTTCATGTTGCTTCGTCTAATATCGTCCTCTACGGTTGCTTCTTCCATACTCTCCTCTTCCAGAAGCTCCGTTGTCTTTTCAACTGCAGCAGTTCTGCCTCGAAAGATTACCTTTAGTAGACCTCGTCCCTATCACTCGTCATTATTTTCTTATAGTACCTCAAAAAGATCCAACCAAACCATGGGAGACAACAACGATAGCAACAACAATGATTCGATTGTCCAACAGAAAAAAGTGTTGCGAAAACAAGTCCGCTCCAAACTCAAAGCATTGACCAAGGAAACCATTCAAGAACAGAGCATCAAAGTGTGGGATCGCCTCTTTCAACTGCCACAATATCAAACGGCAAAGTCCGTCGGACTCTTTCTCTCCATGCCCAAGGGCGAAATCGATACCGATCCGGCATTGAAACATGCCATGGAACACAACAAAACAATATACGTGCCGGAAGTGGGCAAGAATTTTGAATTGGCCGATATGGAGTTGCTGCAAGTGATCGTCAACAAGGAAGAAAAAGAAAAAGATAAAGAAGGAGAGCCAAAGGAAAGCAAGGAAGAACCACCAGGTATGTAGGACTGAGCTAGCTAGCCTGGAAAGTCCAAGAAGAACGAACCATGATCCTTGCCATGTTTTCTCACACTTTCTCATTATCTGATTTGTTCTTTGCTACCTAATCCATTATCTGATGTGCGTACCCTTCGTGACAATCAACAAACCAATCAACACAAACCACAGTCAAAAAGCCGCGTCTTGACGAAGAAGAAAAAGAACCATCCACAACGACGACGACGACGACGACAACTAGCCAGGATCTATTCCACAAGAATTGGCCACGCAACAAATGGGGCATCCCAGAGCCTCCAGCAGACATGCCGATTGTCACGGCCAAACCCGGCGATATTGATTTGTTGGTGGTTCCCGGACTAGCATTTGATCGCAACGGAGATCGATTGGGTCAAGGCAAGGGATACTACGATCGATTCATTGAACGCATGTGCCAGGGTGACCAAAAGGGGCCGTATTTGGTGGCGGTGGGGTTACAAGCACAAGTCGTGGACGAGTCCATCCCGGTGGCGCAATACGATCGTCGCATGGATATGGTGCTCTTGCCAGACGAAAGTATTGTAGTCAGCAAAGAAAAGGACACTACGACTGATAATAAGGAAACGTAGTAGATTGATGCATACAATGGGCTCCACTAGCTAGTAGTAGCGACAGTCTTGGATTCACTTCTTTTTGTGTGTGTGCTATATTGTCTCTTCATCCTCTATTGTTGTGTCTTGTGCAGGGTCGGCAATCATTTCTATTGCTGCTTTCCATAACTTGAAATCCAAAGGGAGAACCATGGCCAGAGGAAGTGGTTGATCCTCATCGGTGCCTCCCTCTACCAGAATCAAATCATTCTCAGTCTTCTCAGTGCTACTGCTAGTAGAAGAAGGCAGGAGTATTCCACCGGGGCTGGTCGAAGTAGTACCTGTTGGTATACTGGCCATGGTCATGATTGATTTACTGACTTCCACCAATACATTTTGACTGACACACTCAATTGCCATTCCACTCCCCGCCACGGTATCGTGCCTCTTTGGATTGTTGTCGACGTCGTCATCACCATTCAAGGATTGTGTGGTACTGGTAGATGATCCCACGAGAAATGTCATGAGACTGTTGACTTCTTCCAAGAATTGGGCTTCCTCCATGTCATTTCGGTTGTGCTCTAGCAGAACCCATCCCCCGTTAGTCATGACAATATCCAATGCTAGTACTGGATTAAAGAGCCCTCCGGCTGTCGATCGCACCACTTTGCCACAGGGGAACGATTGTTGGTTGTGGGAAACCACCAATTCATCACCATTTTGGACATATAATAATAATCCACTGTTATCATCACTGTTGTTGTTGTTTTGAATCAGCGTGTCCATGGTTTCGGGAGACAGAATCATCCGATCAATCAAGACGTGGATGTTCGCGTTGTCCACATTCTCCGCCAGAATTTCCACGGCCGATTCGGGAGACAGCGCAGTGTCTCTCAAGTCGAGCCATAGTTCCATGGGTTTCGAGTTGTTGTTGGAGGATGACGGGTCGCAGTCTGGATTCTTGCTGGAAAGGGTACTTTCATTGCCATTCGCAGCATCATCACCATCTGTGGTGGTCTGATGATGGACCAAGCCACGGTGGAAAAACGCTGAAGGGTGACGTCTCTGTCTTGTCACAAATCCAAAGCAAAAAAGGTAAGGAGAGAAACACAAGCCAATAATGCAAGCCACCCACACGAATTGAGGGAACATCATTGCTCAATATTGCTGTATTATAATAGACAAAGATCACACAAGAAAGGGAGTGGCTGATGAACATCAGATGAGAGAGCTTGGTTTGGATTTCAAAGATCGGAACCTTTGGGCAGGATACAAGCTCTAACCCTAAACAATGAGAACAAATGCGACTGTGCGATGACGTGGTTTCAGAAGCCTTCCGAATGACAACACTGACGTCAACGCTGAAGACATGCAGTCATCATCTGGCTGGTGCTGCAAACTAAAAGCGCTTCCAATGACATCCGCTCCATCATCACAATTATTCTGTTCGTCAAAGAACAATTGCTTGCTTGTCCTCTCTTTTATTAATCCCATCCCAACTCTAGCTAGTACAGTACCTTTATCATCACCATGTGGAAGTCTCGCCACCAGCTTCTCTTGAGCTTGCTATTCTTGCTTCATGTCTCCAGCAATGGATTTCTCAGCCATGCCCCGTCCGGTCGCTCTTCTTTGGCCCTGTCCATGATCACCAGCAGCAGCAGCGACGATACCCAAAAGTTGCTGGAACGGGCGGCCCAACTTCGCGAAGAGGCTAATACCATGGAAACGCAATTGCGAGCCGAACGAGGTACCAGTCGTCCCGTCGTCATGGATACCATCCCCGAGCCGAGGGCACCCACTATCAAGTACGACAAACTTCCCAATTCAAAGTGGGAAATCAAGTATCGCTTTGCGGAGGAACCGGTCAAGGATCGAGACGAAGATGCGGGTCCACTCGAGTACTATCGTGGCAAACTGGTGCTCCACTTGAGAGATGATGGATACACGGATATTTTGTCGGAGGAGGGCGGCGACGACGACGACAATCGCATTCGAGTCACCAAAATCTGGGGATGGGACGAAGAACTGGTCCAAGAAGATAATACGCGCTATTTATTGTTTTCCATGGATGCCAAGACACCCAACAGCTCCAAGCTACGATTCTATTTCCAGGCAAAATTGGAACAGGAGAGTCGGACATCCATTGCGCTCAAAGGCGGGACCGTCACCATCAAGCAGGATTTGGCAGAAGAACAGAAAATGATGGCATTTGGATTCTTTTCCGCCAAGGGCATTTTGGCCCGATTCCGATATGTGGGCGAATTCGCCGCATCTCCCTATGGCGGTGCTGTGGACAATAGTGAGGAAAGTTATTAATCATTTTATGAAGTTGGCAGGCAAAGGATCTTTGATGTATGTCACAACTACATTATGGATCTGAATGATGATGATCAATCGGCGCATTCATGCTTGGCTGGAGGCACTGGTGGGAGGCAACGCCATGGCTTGATCAGGACAACAAACGGCACAGCTCATAGCAAAACAAGCAACTCCGAGAAGTACATTCATTGGATATCTCATGCGAGACCGGGATCAAACAATTACACAATGCATAATATCATTAGCTGCTATTTACGTTAGACTCTGCCTAGCTAGATTCACTACTTGACGGAAGTGTATCCTTGCCACGATACGTTCGGATAATGAGATAGCTCATGACAACAAAGACAACACTGACGATCAAACCAGTCCCCAAAAAGTCAGAGTCGTCTCCTGGACTCTCCTCTTCCGCAGTGGTTGTAGAACTAGCAGTAGTGGTAGAACCCAAGGAGTCTGATGGACGACTTCCAGGATCTTCGTCCGGAAAGAGATGAAAGATCTCCACAAGGCGAGACTTGCCATCAAAACTGGTTCCAACCAAGACTTTCTTGTCATCGGGGTGGCCTTGAAAGAGCTGAATGAGGCCGGTCTTTGCCGAACCCACGCAGCATCCTTCTCCGGCAGAGTGCGAAACAATCAACATGAATGATTGCTTCTGATTCGTATCCAGTTGCGGCAATGGAATCATCTCGATACTGTTGCGATAGTCTTCGTGGGCAGACGTCACATCGGGCCCGTATGAAATCACAGCACGCCTTGCGAGCGGCTGACCTTGGTTTTCAGCAGCATCCAAAACAAGCAGTACCCAGTCAATTTCGTGTGAATGGAGTTCCGGAGGGATGGATAGAGAGAGATACTCGTCGTTGGAGATATCTATCAGTTGCTCTCCGTCTGGTCGAGCCAGGAATTTTGACTGCTCATGATGATGGATATCCACGTCCGTCAAGCCAGCCTTGGAGCCAATAGCCATTCGTGTATCCACAGTTCCAGTGATGTTGGCGTGGCCCAAAAGACTCAATCTATACAGGCCCCCACTTTGCAGCACGAGGCTACCAGTCACACCTTGGTCAAAGTTGAGGTGTTGGCCTGGAGCAAACGTAGCAACAACGGCGTCTGCTTCGGGCAGGTCCAGGCGTTCTACTTGAAACCCAATATCAAGTTTGTCGCCATCCCCGTTTGCGTCATCCATTGTGATCAAGACTGGCACAGTTGCCAGCTCTCCTTCGATGACAAATGCATATTCCTTCTGTTGCTCGAATTGGCCGTCTCCCGACACCACCGTGATCCCATTGGCATCCATCAACACGACTTCAAAGGCAATTTCTCCAGCTTGCTTCGCAATGCCATCCCCGTGACTATCAATGATTGCAAAAGTGTAGACTCCAGGAAACAGTGAAAATGTTTCTTTGACCGTCGTATTCTCGTCTCGGAACTTTCCCGGAGCAACGTCCACTAGAAGCCGCCCCATTGAATCCGAAATCTTGTATCCAGTTTCGTAAGGATGGTCATCTAGCATTACGATGACGCGTAGGGAGACCTTCGCGAGGGGATTTGGAGATGTGTTGATGAGCGCAGGTTGAATTTCGGTGCGGTCATCTTCTTTTGATACTCCACCCAACTCCAGACCGAACGAGTACGCTTCTCTGGCGGTGTCGGTGAAGGAACTGGAGACGAGAATCTCACCATTTATCGGATCACCATGAAAAAGTACATACCCGGTACCTCTCAGGCGCCCTTGCCACCTGCAACACAGTCCGTCTCCAGAGGCGTCAATCATAATCAAGGAGAAATGATGAACAGACGTTGAATCTCCTTGCGGAAGAGGAATCGTTTCATGTACAACCTGGTTGGTGTGACTGGCGTTGTAGAACCTAGGAGGGCGGAAGAAGATAAGATCGCTTGCCCGTTTCTGCACAGCCACTACTCCCTCGATAGTGTCGGCCCGAACCTGGAAGCCTATTTCCTCTGGATACAGATCCATTCTGATTTCCAATGTCAAGAAGTCGTGATTACTGGCTGGGAGCGGGGCAGGAGGTTGGAGTTGTCTTTGAGAGGCAAGGAAAGTGTGGTCGAGGGACGAAGTGAAGGAACCATCATGATTGAACACAAGCGGTGATATCCCTTGCGAACTGAAACGCCCAATAAATATACGTACTGAGATGCAAACACCCAAGGGTACGGAGTAGTGTTAGAGACAAGCACACGATGTCAACGACTATGCTCTGAGCATAACATAACGTACTTCGACCACCATCAATTCCGTTGCCGCCTTCATCCAACAAAACGAAACGATAGAGCTCATCTTCCTCGAGATCCATCTCGACAATAACTTGTTCATGTGATACAGTATATGCGCCAGTTGGCATTCTGGCAACAATTTCCGTGTGGAATCCTATTCGCTGAAGAATCCAACCCGTCTCAGTTGGGTTTTCATCTAGTCGCAGCAGTATCCTCATAGGTACCGTTCCCTTGTCCAATTTCAAGGAAGAGATGACGTCCCCATCATCTTCTTCGTCTGTATTGCCATCGCTATTTGAAGCTGTCGGTACCACGAACCTCTGGGCCTCGGCAGCTCCAAAGTCTCCCATTCCATAAATGAGCAGTTTAGTCTCCCCTCTCGCGTTCCTCGTTGCCAATGCATAGTGCCCCGGTTGCGTACAACACAGGCCGTCTCGATAGCTGTCCTCAATGATAAATGTGTATTGTCTCCCCTCCGGTATAAAGAATGTTCTAATCGCTCGAGTGCGACCGTCCTCATACGAGTTATACGGCATGGCAGCAATAGTCTTCCCACTCGAATCCTTGAGCGTCCAACCAACTTCTGAAGCATAACTATCGAAGCGAATCTTCAATGTCACTGCTACCAATTGAGACGACGATGTTGTGGATTGCTGTCCCACATTATTGGTTCCAGATCCCGCCAAGAGGCCATTGATGCCTGCCATAGCATGACACTTGAACCCCAACGGCGGCTCCCTGGATACTGAGCACACCTGGGAAGCAATCCAATCCCAAAGATGGCTTACGCGAGAGTATACTCCAGGAAAATCCGGATGGGCACACCGAAACCCCCAACTGGTAATGCCCACTTGTACATCTTCCCCAATGGTTCTCCCCTGAGCAATCATTCCCGACCCCGAGTCCCCTTGGCAGGCGTCGACGCCGTCTCCCCAGGCACATAGCATATCCTCTGTGATGCGCCCTTGGTAGGTTTCATCAATACCCGGTGATCTGGCTGCATCACAAACATCATTCGGGACATGCTGAACGATCCCCACCTGCATGGTTTCAGATGCAAATAATGACAAATCTCCTCCGACTTGTGTCACTCCAAACCCCAGCACCAGCAAGTCATCATCCGAGGAGGGGATTGTTGGGTCTCGATTCAACGTGACGGGCGGAGTGTTGGATACCCCTGACAGCTTGAGTATCATAATGTCATGATCTAAGCCATCCTCCTTGTATTCGGGATGTGATATCATCTCTTCAATTGTGAATGATTCAAAGTTTTCACTGGGGTTGGTTCGGTCGTATCGCCCAACGTGTACTGTCCTTAATCTGGAGTTTCTGTAACAATGCAATGGAATGGAATGGCAAGGTCAGAGATTAATCCAACCTTTCCATTGATTTGGCCACTCCTTTGGGAGCCTTCATTCATTCTCACCTGCAATGAGCTGCCGTCAGTACTATATCCGGCGCAATCAGGGTACCTCCACAAGCTGGTGCCATGGAGTCGCTGCCACCTTCTGTTAGAATTGCAACAATGTAGGGGTATCTCCCTTCTTTGGCGGAACTGCCACCAATGATGCGAGTCGCATACTGGTTGGGCCGTGGTTTTCTCAAGAGAGTATTAGATTGTCGGTCTCTCAAAATGTTCGATGGGCCTGGATTCTGTTCAGAACAAAGAAGAAGTTTGAAAATGTGAGAAAGAACCCCCGCGGTGCTTGCTACTAGCTATAAAGCTGGTTACGATACCCAACCAACATTATCCAGAGCTGGCAGAGACACTAGTCTATGCTGGACAGTTTGTACTCACAGAGCCGAGTTCTTCCGAAGCAAACACATTGGTGGTGGAAGCCTTTGCAGCGACGGCGGCTGTGCTCAAGAAGCACCACGCCACGATGAGAGATTGTCTCCCACAACATAATGAACGAATTCTACGGCTGTTTCTGGACCTCATTGCTGCGATTTCCTCGCAGTCTTCTCGTCTTCTTTGTTCTCTCCAAGCTTCCTGAATGTCGTCGTCTTACTCCATGTATTGATGGACGAGTTTGTAAAAGGGGAGATTACTTCTGTGATGCTTTTTTGTGGTACATGTAGACATGCACAGAGGACAAGGTTTGGAAGGGGAGGGCCGTGGGAGAGGTGTTTAAGTGTGAAGCATCCTGTGAATTGAATCCCGGTTACGCGCGCGTCGACGTGGCCAAAAATACCCAAGACGCACAAATTTCGCGACGACAAACCTTGGAAAGTCCGGCGTTGAAGGCCTCTGATATACTACTGTAGGGTAACAATACTACCGGTAGTACCGTACCGGTACCGTCCCTCACCTCGAAAGCAAAGGGTGGGGACTTTGGGTTGGGTGTGTACAGTATGGGTGTCAGTTATCCAGTTCTGGTGTGACAGCAAGTAGACTAACGATCAATGGAATTTCGGATACTCCAGTCGAGTCAAGCCTCGAACAGCAAGGTTATCCTCCCTCAACATGGTACATGATTAAGGGCTATTTGCTTCTTGCAAAGACAACTATGACTAGTTAGAGAATAAAAGGCTTCAAAAGCAGGCCCACCAACAACTAGCTAGCATTCAACTACGACGACACTGGGATCTTCAGGCATTCCTCTGGGCGATTAAGTCTCGAGCCCAAGCCAAGACCCCAGCATCCCTGCTATTCAGCAAAGCATTTTCCTCCCATGGACAACCATTCTCAATTGAGTATTTTAGTACCTCCAGATTGCCATCTCGAGCAGCATATTTACATGTGTCTTCGTCCCAACCACAGCCATTTTCATGAGCATATTGCAGCACTTGCAGGTGACCATCTTGAGCAGCAAAGGCACAGGTATTCTCATCCCATGGACAGCCATTTTCGTGGGCATATTTTAGGATTTCCAAATGACCATTCAAAGCAGCGCTGGTGCAGGTGTTTTCATTCCATGGACAGCCGTTCTCGTGGGCATATTTGAGGCATTCCAAATGGCCATTGCGAGCAGCTTTGGTGCAGGTGTTTTCCTCATCCCAAAGACAACCATTTTCATGAGCATAAATCAGCATTTCAAGATTACCGTTCCCAGCAGCGGAGACGCATGTCCATCCATCCCATGGACAGCTGTTTTCATGAGCATACTGTAGCAGTTCCAAATTGCCATATCCTGCAGCTTCACTGCACGTTTCTTCATCCCACTCATAGCCATTTTCATGGGCATATTTGAGGCATTCCAAATGGCCATTGAGAGCAGCATACTGGCATGTGAGCTCATCCCATGGACACCCATGTTCATGGGCAAATTTGAGGCATTCCAAATGGCCACCATAAGCAGCACAGCGGCATGTGTTTTCATCCCACGACCACCCATTTTCATGGGCATATTTGAGGCATTCCAAATGGCCATTTTCAGCAGCAAATTGGCATGTGTTTTTATTCCATGGACACCCATTTTCATGGGCATATTTGAGGCATTCCAGATGGCCAAATTTTGCAGCATTATAGCAGGTGTATATGCCCCAATGACAACCATTTTCATGGGCATATTTGAGGATTTTCAAATGGCCATTACTTGCAGCGTTCTCGCATATGGTTGCGCTCCATGAAAATCCAGTTTCAATGGCATATTTGAGGCATTCCAGATGGCCATTTGCAGCAGCATAATGGCACATCCGTTCATCCCACGGACAGCCGTTTCCATGGGCATACTGGAGGATTTTCAAATGGCCATTACTTGCAGCGTTCTCACATGTGGTTGCGCTCCATGGGCAGCCATTCTCATGTGCATATTTGAGGCAATCCAAATGGCCATTTTCAGCAGCAGTTTCACTTGTATGTGCATCCCACGCAAACCCTCTCTTGTAGGCCCACTGAAGAACTTGAACATTTCCTGCTTTTGCTGCTGCAGCACAGATAACAATGCCATGGATCGCTCCAGCAACACCAGTATGACGGTGGGTAAACCAATACTCCGATCGGGGCACGGAGGAGAAGATGGCACTGTGGAAAGCATCGGCAAAAGTTGCTCTGCATGCACCATAATGCAGGCCATCGTAATTGTGGACCATTGGTGGATTCACCACAGTTCCACAATACTGTGTGTAGAGATGTTTCATTTTGTGGCATACTGGCGCAACAAAAATGTAATGCCCCATGCCAAGAAAAGGTAGAATCTGCTTGATCCAAACATCAGTTTGATTCAGGAAATCATCCCCACCACATTTGGGCGTTTCATGCTCTCCCTGCCCACGCGGTTGCCTCTGTGAGCAGATAATGGGTTTATCGGTAGCACATGCGGAAGACATGATGTATTCGGTACCAGCTGAAATCGTTATGGACAGTGCCGAATCTTGGATTTGGTTGCATCGTTTGGGCTTGGCAAGCTGATTTTTGCTTGACCTCGCTCTTTGCGCTTCGAGCGAAAGCGCCGAGCGTGGCGCCAGTTTTCTTCCACGCTGAGTCACAAATACAGACTCAACGCTACTATACTAGCTAGCGAGATAAGCCACGCCAATACATTACAGACCCAAGTTGGAGTCGACTTATTTACATTAGCTATTAAAAATTATTAATAGTCTATCCCACTCGAACTTGGAACATGCCACTCTTGGTAATATTCCGTACTCCCTTGTAGGGTCGATATTTTTCTCCCTGGACAGAGAGTCCACTGACAGAGAGTCCAGAGACGGACGCGAGTGGAATTTTCCAACTCATGGACAGATTAGGTGCCATCGTCATGCTGGTAGTCGCCGTATCACTTGTCGTATTCAGTGTGAATTGTCCGGTCAATTGTGGTTTTTTGGTGACATCCAGTTTCCCCAAATTCCATTGGACGACTTTACCGGCTTCATCGTAAATGAGTGACCCGACGGATGCCGAACAGGAATTGGCAATGCTGCGTACCGATTTGGGAAATGGAATGGTAATGGCGACATCTTCTACGATGAGAGCTTGTGATTTGTTGCGGGATGCCGACAAAATGAGCGAACTGGACGGCGTCAATCCCATTTGTAGTACGATGCGTCCTTTACTAGAGTCATCTGGATCGTTGCCTTCATTAGTACTGGCCACATTCCATTGAACATGACAATAAATGGGGGGTGTAAAGTTGGCGACGGAATCTCGTTTGATGCGATATCGCATAAGTTCAAAGTTCCCATCGGGTGGAACAAAACTAACGACGTGATCGTGTTCATACCTCGCATATCGGACACACGGATGAAAGGAGCAATCATCAATGAGCGATGGATCTTTAAATGTCAATAACAAATCGGGAATGCCACTGAGATGGGATTGACATTGAATACTGCCACTGACATCGACACTGACGAGTCTGCCCGATGCATCGACAATGGCATCTACCGCTTCAATGATATCCATGTAAATTTCATTTTGATTGTAATGAACACCCGCCGCTCTCCAGGGCATATTGGAGACGGTTCCACTGGGCAATTCATCCGAAACAGCACTGGTACTCGTGGCGAGTAATTTGCTCATGACGGTGGGTGGTCGAATCATGGCTTTGAGGGCATTTCCTTCGGTCGTTAACGGCCATCCGTAATCCATCATTTCTTCTAGTAACTGATAGACGGTGGAGAAATTCTCTTTAATGGTGGATTCATCGGCGGGGTTGCCAAAGTAATCGACCAGTGTGTCGGCAATGCGGTGCAAAAACTCCAAAATGAGGAGGGGACTCACTTCGGCCGGACACACCGCCAAATAGGACAATCCATCGCGGAGAATGCTAATGACGTAGAGAAGCGATCCTGTGGTGGAGGATATTTCCATGACGGGAGTGATGGAATCGTAGTGATCGTCTTGCAGTAAAATAGACGTAGTCGTCGACAGACCGCCATGGTGATTCACCGACTGCGAGGCTCGATCCCAAAAGGTATCACAGACCGAACGGGGGGTTACTACGCCACGGAAATGACGTTCAATCAGAACTTCTCCTGTGGGAGACAGCAAAAACAGAGTTTGAATCATACCGTATTGATAGTCGTAGATGTTAGCTAGATGAGTTGTTGGTTGTCTTGTGTTACTATAATAATGAGCACAACAACAGAGGGTCCAGCTGCAATGGCCAATGGCAAGAGGTATCAGTGGGAAATCGCAAGGATTTCGGTTGGATCGTCGATGGCCATGGAATGCTGATGAGGGTTAGAGTTCCAATTGATACCGTTTGAGCCCGTGGAGCTGTGAGACACTTCGGCCCCAAATGGTTTTTGATCCTTTCTGATCCGGTGCTTTCACCGAACACACAACCTCACACTTGCTTGTGAGATAGACGATGGACTTTGTGGTGAACCGAGAGCGTTTGGAGCAGACGGCCACAGTGCCAGCAGCTCCCTTGACACTGGGAGAAGGAGATATTCTCGTCAGGATTGAGCAGTTTGCCTTTACGGCCAACAATGTCTCGTACGCTGCCACGGGAGATGCTCTCGGGTACTGGAAGTTCTTTCCTACTAGTACTACTGACAGCAATAGCAATGGCCGTGTGCCCGTGTGGGGCGTGGGAACCATTGTGGCCAGTCGGTGTTCTGGTCTTTCCAGCAGTAGTAGTCAAACAAGCAGAAAAGTCTATGGCTATTTTCCCATGTCCCACTATGTGATGCTCCATCCCGCGGCCATCACTACCTCATCGTTTGTCGATGGAATGCCGCATCGGCGTTCCCTTCCAGCCGTGTACAATCAATATCTACTCTGTGACGAAGATCCATTTTATGCACCTCGTACGGAACGAGCCATGATGGTACTGCGACCGCTCTTTTTCACGTCCTGGTTGCTACTCGATTTCTTTTCCAATCAAGACTTCTTTGGAGCCACTGCGTGCATTCTGTCTTCGGCATCTTCCAAAACGTCCATTGGATTGGCATTTTTGTTGCAGCAGTATAATCAACGGCAAAAAGACAAGACGTCCAAGAAAATTCAAATCATTGGATTGACCAGTCCCCGCAATCAAGCCTTTGTCCAAGCATTGGGCGTTTACGACCAAATCATTCTCTACGACACTCTGGAACAAGACTTGACGAAGAATCAGCCATCGTGTTTTGTCGACATGGCCGGCAATACTCAATTGACGACACGATTGCATCAACATTTGAGAGACAACATGAAATACAGCTGTCTCGTGGGAGCGGCACATGTCGGACAAGGGGGCAAACCCACACAAAAGCTGCCAGGAGCCCGTCCCAAGTTCTTTTTTGCACCTTCTTGGACGGCACGGCGTATCCAAGAATTGGATGCGTCCAAAAGACGCGGCATGGAAATCCTACTCCATCATGTCTTGTTGGACTATCAACGATTTGTGCAGTGGTGTTTAGTGGAACCACAGCCATGGCTGAAGGTGAAACTCTATTGTGGACCAACTCAAGTGAAAGAAGGGTATCAAGCATGTTTGCAAGGAAACATTCCACCCGATACGGCAGTGATCATGTCCCTCTGGGAGGAAGCAGCAGCAGCAGAGCAAAAGCAGAATCCTACCGCTGCTAATACTAGATCCAAGCTATAGAATGACTATAGACAACTCTCTCGGTATTCTTACAAAAGCTACTATACTGTTCTATTTAGCTGCTTGCTAGAACTACTCGACATGGTCGCCTTTTTGCTTTTTGCCATACAACTCTTCGTCAAATTGGGCTTGCGTAATCTTGCCACGACGAAGCTTCTTGTACAGTCGTTCCTCTTTGGCCAACTCGTCCCATTCGTCCATCATTTGTGCATTCTTGCCCCTCTTCTTGTCGGGATTGCGACCCTTCTCGACGGCGTCCTTGCGACGATCCTTTTCCCATTGCAATTTGGCAGCTTTGCGTTGTTCCGCCTTGATTTGTTTGGCATTCTTGCCACCCGCGGCCAATTCCGCAGCCAGGCGTTTTTGACGAGCCGATTCCCGGACTTTGTCCAAGTAGGGAATGCCGTAAATGTTCACTTCTGGACCGGCCGAGCAAAAGTTGGCCAATCGGCCCTTGTTGTCGCGCAATTCGGGCATTTTGGGAAGTCGTAGCAAACAAAAGCTAGTGGCCAAAAAGCCCAAATCCAACGAGGCAAACCTGTGATTGTGTTTGGAAGAGAGTTCATGAATATATGAGTAAATGTTTGGTCCCTGGGTTGCTACATCTCAACAAAGTTTTGAAAGATGCAGTGAATTTCGTCCACGGAAAAAGCAGGAGCTACTGATTTCCCCCACAAATTCCGCATCTTTTTTGTTGCATTCGACAATGACGACCATTCCGTCATGGTGTGTTTCGTTGACCATTTTAGTCGTTCGTCCACACGTACAGAATGGTACCAATTGCCCGTTGCGTTTTCTTTGAATCAATCAACGAGCGATACGGCGCGACTTACCGAAAGATAAAGGCACATTGATGCTCCTTGTAGGCACGGATGTACGACGTGAAGGCTTTGGTGCCCTTTTCCAGCATGTCTCGATCTTTCAACACAATTTCTCTGACTTTTGGGAGGACATTTTCAATCTCCATGTCGGGATCTGCCGCACTACGAATGACGCCATCTTTTGGTTTCTTGTCGTGTTGTTGTGAGTCTTCGTCTGGCAGTTCCTCTATGGGAGGACAACACACTTCCGTGGTGGGGAGTGGTGACAATGGCACTTTGCGCATTTTCAGCAAGTCCACGTACGCCTCTTCCTTGCGCGTCAAGAATATCAAACTGGATCCCTTGCGTCCCGCTCGAGCAGCTCGTCCGACACGATGGACGAAAAAGGCGGGATCTTGCGGTGCATCATATTGGACCACCCAATGCAAGTCGGTGACATCCAATCCTCGTGCCGCCACATCGGTACAACACAAGACGCCACTGGTGGTGTCACGGAATCGTTCCATGGCCTTTTCGCGTCGTTTTTGGACCAGTTTGCCATGCAACAATTCGACGTACTGCTGCTCTTCTTCCATGAGTAATTTTTGAAGAGCAGCTCCGTAAAATTCGACGCAAGCGCACGTCATGAAAAAGACGATAATCTTTTCGTCTCGATGGGATTTCAAAAAGGCAGTCAGACGCGATAATTGTTCCTCCATGGGTGCCACCAAATAGTAATTGGTGAGCGAAGCGGGAGTGGCTTGTTCCTGCTTTTTCTGTTGTTCGTCGCTATTTGCCGCCGTGACGGCAACATTGACCCAGACTGGATTTCGTAACCCTGCCCGGGTGACCCATTGCTTCAATCCCATGGCCGTGGCACTGAACAATCCGGTCCGTCTCATTTTGGGTAACTTGGACAAGATACTGGTCAGTGTAACGGTGAATCCCATCCGTAATAGTACATCGGCTTCGTCCAAGACGAGACATTCCAGTTCGCTGACATCGACGACGGCATATCGATTGAGAATATCGTCGAGTCGCCCGGGAGTGCAAATAATGATATCGGATCCAGCTTGTTGAAAGTCTTGCAAATCTTGTGTCACGGGTCGATGATTGCTGTTGCCACTGCCATTTCCACCTCCAACCAGCAACAAAGGAGGGGGTAGATTGACCGCTTGACACAATTCTTGTGCCACGCAAAACGTTTGCCGTGCCAATTCTCGTGTCGGACTCAGAACAATACCAGCCACTTGGGATTTTCGAAATGGTTGTTGCTTGCGCAAGATCATTTCCACCATGGGGATTAAAAACGAGAGTGTCTTGCCACTGCCGGTACATGCTTGCACGGCTACATCCTTGTGAGATAAAAACAGTGGGATCGTAGCGGCTTGGACAGGTGTCATGGAATGGAAATCTTGCTTTTCCAGGTATGCCAGAGTTCCTGCGGAGAGAGCTGCCGGTTCCTTCAGATTGGTAAATGCCAGTGGGTTATCTTCTTGTGTCTTTTGCTCATTCGTTGACGCTGACTTCTTGAGGGACTTTTCCTTTTTCTTGTTGGTACTTTCATTGTCCGTTCTTACGTCTGCGTCTTTCTCCTTCTTGGCACGCTTTTCCTGCTTCACTTCTTCTTCCGCGGCTGGAGCTTCCTTCTTGCTGCCGCTCGACGGCTTGGATCGTTTCTTTCCCATTGTCACTGTGCTTTTCCTTTTCTTCCGCCGATCAGTTTTGTGAGAGCAGTGTTGGTACCGAAAAGGTGGAAGGGAGCAATCGAAGATTGAGAAATGGTTGGTGACGGAGGGATACGGTCGAAGTACGGACGTTGGATGCAGAATCTTTCATACGTGGATACTGTACTCGTATCCACCACGGTCGTTTTATACCGGTACTACAGTATTAAGTTCGCACACAGTTAAAATGTAGTACCTTACCTCCATTTTTGTTTGTGTCAGCCAAACAAAGACAGCAACCACTTCTTGTGACGACTCCTCACGAGGTCAAGCTCCGCAAATGGCAACCATTACTCTTGTACTGTACCGTACGGTACCCCCTCTGTCAACATGAACCTGAAAAGCACAAGTCCGGTTTGCATTGCTGCTGCCTGCATATTATGGTCATTTGGAACCATATTATGGTCATTTGGAAATACTGAAATACGCCATGGAAAACGGTTGTCCATTTGAAGGATACACATAGCCCAAAACTGTTCCACAGAAATCTTTGGTGATGGCTCCTGAACATGTATGTTGGAGTGTGATGGCTCTTGAGAATGGATTCTTGGAAGATAACCGCTCCGAGGAGAAGAGGATGATGTGGGTGGATTGTTTGGGTCCAGAGTACCCTGCCCTCACTCTGCTGCCAGGAGCATTTGAGCACGAGGATCGCTTCCTGTGTGAGTCATGGAACTTCTGGCGGCTCGTCAATTGCATAAACAAGCGATAGTAGTAATTTTGTGGAGGAACAAGCTCTTATTGCCTCGTGTGTATTCCTCCAGTCTACTCGTCGTCGTGCTTCAGCCAAACTAGAGTTCCCGCTTCGGCTGGCGAGAAAAGCCCCACAAAACTCCATTATAAAAAGTCCAGATAGCTATCGTACTGTAGTTACTAACGGTAACGGTAGCGGCCCTTTGATGCAAGCGCATTGGCACAGCTATCCACACAAGAATCAAAATAGATCACTGACCGTCTCCAGGTTCCGTTCTTCAAAAAATGGCATACGCCGATCTTTCTTTCCCTTTTTCAAAAAGGCACTCATTTGCGCTTGCTGTCGTTTTTTGCTGGCCATATCCATCAACGCGTCATCGTCCTCCTCTTCATCCGCTTCAAAGGCCACCATCGCTGCCACGTCTGTGAGGAGTGTCTTCTTTGCTGGTGCCCAACTGAATCGTACCATATCCGGCCACGCAAAGACGGGGTCGTGCAGGTTGTTGGCCATCCACTGCTTGCATTTGGGATCCGAGGGATATCCCGATCCAAACTCTCGCGAGACAACAGTTTTGGTGGCAGCGAGTGGTTCCGTGAATTGCCAGGTTTCACTCATGCGATCCCGAAGGACCTTGGCGACTGTTCATTATTTTGAGAAGGGGAGATAAGATAAGATAAGACAAGACATGCAAGTTTTGTTAGGTTATCCAATAATAACTGTCTGTCTGATCCAGAGACCCATACGATAAGGTACGTACCTACAGAAGCCGCCGAACAGGTAGCATACTTGGCATCCGCTTTGCTTTCTACGACAAACTCCAAATTGGGAAACTTGCGTTCCAACTTGCGCTTGTAATGATCCGCATTCCCTACGGTATCAATGTAGCAGGTTTGAATGTCGACACCGGCGTTTTGAATGGCTTCAATCATGGCCATGGCGGCATCATGAGACATGTGATTCAAATTGTAGGGGAGACCCGCCCGTAGCATGTTGCGCGAAATCTCACTGGCTTCCAAGATGCGACTGCACCAGCCAATCTCGGCACATGCCATCAACTGTTCCAACAGTGAGACGCGGGTGTCATCGGTCAATTGTTTGGAATCGTGGAATCCTTTGGGGATAATGCCCTTGCCCTTGTCGTCCTTATTATTGTCCAGCGAGGAATTCCAAAAGGCGGCACCATAGACCATGGGCCCCAAGACGGACCCTCGACCTGCTTCGTCAATGCCAACACAAACACCGGGACGTCGAGCGGACTTGGGGATATCCGATAGAAACATGGGACCTTGTCCATGGACATTGGAGAGAGGAGGACGCTGAGATTGGGTGACTGTTGGCGTGTCATTGGAATCTTGCTGTCCCATCAATGCCCTCATGGCTTTGACGCTTTCTTCGCGGCTGTCAAAGGGAACTCCTCGCTTTGAGGAGTAGATTGCGGCAATGTAGTTATCGTCGTCATTGCCGGTGTTGGCACCGGTATCAGCAGAAGTACTAGTACTAGTAGTTTCAGAGATCGTCATGGTCAAGAGCACTATTACAGAATAAAAGTGTTGGGATGGGTGCGAAGGAGCGAAGACAAAGCAAAAAATGAAGCGGGCAGCCTCTATTTCGCGCCAAACATTTAGCCCTAACCTTCAAAGCTATCAGTTCAGAAAATAAAACAAAAGCTTTTCTCCGAATTCTCACGTGGTTGCGGAAGCCTTCCTTTCCGTGTAAATCTCTTGGGAAGCCTCTGTTCCCATCGCAAGCAAAAATGTCGGTATTATCTTACTACTGGACTACCCTCGGTGGCTATCTACAGATTTATATCGATACATGAATATAAGTAAAAGTCAGCCTAGTTTGTTTGAATTTGGGCGCGTTCAGCGCAGTCTTAAGCTACCGGATAAGAGACAGTGCTAAACCATACCTCCCCAAACTCGTGATTCAAAGATGCCAAGAGAACCCAAAAAAGATCAATTGCACCCAACACGCACACTACAAAAGGTCATGGTAGTTGATTGCGAAACAACTGGACAATGAGATGTCACAGGGTAAATTATGACGGGTCGTCCTCAATAAGACCAGCTTCCGGTTGCCAGGAGCACCGGATACAAACCAGTATCTTCTTCATCATCCCCATTGTCATTCTCGCTGGTCTCTTCTTCCGATTCAGCAGTATCGCCCCCAATGGGGGCGACCTCTTCCTCTTCCTCTGCTGTGTCCTCGTTGTCGTCATCGGTTTCCTCCTCTTCGGATTCCTCTGTATTGTCAGTGTCCACAGCATTGGTCTTCTTCTTCTTAGTGGGGCTCTCATCATCATCGCTACTCTCATCCACAGATCGCTTCTTCGAATCATCCTCATCATCCTCGGTGGCTTCTTCATTCTCGGTGGCTTCTTCATTCCCGGTGGCTTCTTCATTCTCGGTGGCTTCTTCATTCTCGGTGGCTTCTTCATTCTCGGTGGCTTCTTCATTCTCCTCCGATCCTTCCTCCTCCGATCCTTCCTCCTCCGATCCTTCCTCCTCCGATCCTTCCTCCTCCGATCCTTCTTCCTCCGATCCTTCTTCCTCCGATCCTTCTTCCACTTGAGACTCAGGATGAATCAAGACTCCAGCACCACCTTCATCGCCGTCGTCTCCATCATCGTCATTGTCGTCATTGTCATTGACTGGTTCATCATCAGAGTCATCCGAAGAACTATCATCATTGTCCAAAAGACGTTCCAGCCGGCCAAGGTTGATCCCTCCCATGTTCACTTCATCTTCGTCATCACTGGAGACTTCAATGTGTTCGGTCAAAAGGTCAATGTCACTCAGCCAACGATGGTACCGCATGATGTATTCATCTTCATCGAAGCTCCAAATCTGACAAAACAACGTAGTCTTGGCTGGTTCCTTGAATGGATCGGGCAGAATCAACTTGATTTGAAACAGCCTTTCAAAGATGGACAAATCGATGAAGGCGTTCACATGAGGTAGCATCATTCGACCAGGACCATCACCAACCATGTAACGGACCCACCACACTCCAACAAAGTCGAATTCGTAGACAAAAGCCATAATGGGAGGATACCCCTTGCTACGACGTTCCCTGTTGATGGAAAAAAGCTTGTCATTCGCATCCTTCTGAAGATCCAAACCAGCCCCGATCATTTCTTCAACCTTCATGGCGCAGTAAGCAGTCTCATCCTGGAACTGCTGGAGGGTCAGTCGCACCACATTGTGCAAGAGCAGGATGGGGGCAAAGACAAGCCTCGCAATGGGCACGTAATCCAATACACGGTTGGGGCTTCCGGCTTGCTCCATGATGTCAGATCGCTAAATTCCTATGACGAAAGTGGTTGCACCAGCTGTAGCTACTCACAGAATTGTGACAGCATCGAGACAAGCAACAACCAACCTTTGCAAGGGAAAATCGCAGTAGGAGTTCCAATTGGAGTATTGGCACCACCAAAATTTGGATTCACTTGCATCACTGCATCCGACCAATGCTAGTATGGGAGACTACAGCGAAAACAGATTCGGCTACACAGAAAATGATTTGGCTACCCCAAATATTGATTCGATATTCCATAATTATAGCACTGTCACATCTTCAGCATGTAGCTATTATTGAAGCAAAGTTTCTTTATAATAAGCCCTATTACATCATGGCACATCTACAGTACTTGCAATAGTTAGTTTTCGTTCTCTTTGCCAGGAGTTTCCGATGCTTTCTTCAAATTCACGGCAAGTTGCTTCACTGTAGCATAAGACGACGATGGTTTCCCTGGAGCAATGCTTCTACTGCCAATGATCATAGCACGATAACCAATTTGATTGTCTGAGAAGCAAAGTAAGATGTCCAGTAGTTCCTGAGACGTCTTGCCCTTCAACGGTTCCTTGCCCTTGTTGTCTAGTTGGTACAGTCCAAGATAGAGTACCACGCGTGAAAGCTGCTGATGATTCAACGTTGCCAAGTACGAGTCGAATGTCTCTATCATTTTCGAAAGACATCTTCTCTTGCTGGTACGCGACAAACCACTCTTGTACAATCCAGTTGTGTTGCCACGAGCACAGGCCTTTGCCGCATCTCCTCTCGCGTTGGCACTTGACTTTCTCAGTACTTCCACCTTGCATTGAAGCAACCCATGTTTGCTCCGCAAGTAGATAGCTCCAGGGCAACTGTATCCAAGGTGTTTCACGCAGTCTTCGCAGTCCCCAACGATATTCCCTTGTTTCCACTGTAGATGACAGACATTCCTTGTTGTCGACACAATGGTATTAGCCAATATGTCAGGCAGCGACATAAGCGCAGTATTTTTGTAGCGTTCTTCGAATGGACGAACATCCCCATCCAATGCTGCCTGTACCATGCGAACTCTGTTTTTGTCGAGCGGTACACCAATCTTGTTCCTTAAGTTGCACATCCAGCTGGATGGATTGCCATACTCGTCGTTACCAAGTTCGATAACGTCAATGCCTTCCTGCATAAAACCAGTGACGGCAACAGCCAGTAGGGATGATGTTCGTGGGATCTCGATTGTACAAGGATCGGCCCTTGCATGTGCATCTTCCTTGAGTAGCTTCGGGGCAGTATGGACTAGGAACGAAGCAAGGGAAGCGTTCTTCGAGCAATCTGTTGCCACACTCTTGATACCGTGTCTGTTGAAACTCTCATTAGGACAGTTCGATGGGTACACTCCAACCTCACCACTGCATCCGTAGTTCCAATTCCATCTTGGGTAACAGCAGTACTCCTTCTCAAGATGGTCGGCTGCCTCCTTCTCACCACGGTTCTCCCTCCAATCCTTCAGATACAATTCGGTGACAACACGGCGCTGTTCGATGGTCTTCGTACTCCCAATGTTAGATACATGCCGAAAGGCTTCTCCTTTCGGATCGGCAAACGTCTTGTTCTTCATTTTCTTGACATAGCTGGCTCTTTTCGCAAAGGCCTGTACCACATGGAAGTAGCAATTGAGGACAGCCTCTCCCTGTATGCAGTTGTCATCGCTGTCTGTACTTCCATCATCGCAACTATCTTCTATCTCATCAACTTGTGTAAGTGGGATGTTCTCAAGTGGGACATTCACTGGAGACGGAGGAAATTCGTCGATTTCTTCAATCGCGAATTCCTTCCTTTCGGATGCAGCTACATTGTTGTCACACAGAGATGGATGTCTCTTATAGAAGACATGAGCAGACACGAAGGTGTCAGCGTCATCAGAAGTTCCCCAATCAATGGTGAAGTCGATACCAAAGCATTGGTGGCATAAGTCCCTCATGGCATAAAGAACCATACAGTAGGGATGGAATCGTTCTCCACCAGCTCGAAGGTACAAGATGGGTCTGAACGAAGATGTCACTTGATCAGATCCAATTCGCAGTTTCACAGAGACACTGCCGACTGTAATGAGACAACTCTGGTCCCTGATCATGCCTCCAGTGCCATCACAACACAATTGACGAGTACCCTTCCTCCTCAACGCAAGATGCATAAGTTGAAAGAGACCAGTAGGTGAGAAGATAACAAAGGCCCCTTCAATACGTTCGTCGAAGTTGTTGGATTGCCCGTTGTGTTTGGGCAGTACCGATTGTCGGTACCTTTCAACCAAGTCTCCGGCACCAAGGTTCATCGTAATCATATGTTCGGGGCTAGAAACACCCAGAGCATTCGCGATTTCTTCTGGACAGCTGTAGTTGCATCGTGCTGAATAAGTCCTTGGGATCGTTAGCTCCCAGTGACGAAGCACGCGCATCAATATGTCATTGCTACGAAGGTGAGCATTGCCGAAGAGGTTTGTCTTGATGTAGGCTTCGCGCTGATTCGCAATGTAGTTCCTGAGTTGACGTGTAAGATGTTCTCTCGGTTCCAAGTCCACGACATGGTACCGATGATCTAGAAACAGAGCGTCGCTTCGCACAGTTTGAGTCACACTTTTCAGAACTTCATCTGCCGTGATCCGGAGAATGCATCTACCACGTTCCTTCTCTTGAGCCAGAAAGGTCTTTACAAGGGGCACCAATGCAGGAGCAATGCCGTACTGATGACTGTGTTTGGCAGGTTGTTTCTCGATTGGATGGTTGTGTTCGTTGTTTCCTTTGCGAATGTAGTTCCGGTATCGTTGGTTGCCCATTGACAATAGTCCACAGTCTCGTATCTGCGCCCTCCAAAGGCACTTCTTGCTTGTCTGGTTGTCCTTGCTATCACCCACTCGACAGCAATACTTGTAAATCTTGACTCCGTTTGTTGCTGTGGTGGTTCCGTCTGCTCTGATGATTTGCTTGCTTACACCATTCACTTCTACAAACCCACCATACTGGTCTACAAGCTGCGACTTGGCCTCTTCTCTTGATGCACATGGGTAGGACGAAGGGTCTTCAGAATAATCAGACCCCGCATGCAAAGTACCGGCATTGGGCTGATACGACGAGTTTCTAGATGGCACTGGACTTGATCTTGCTGGCCGATAGGCGTCTTGTAAATGTCGATTCCAGGCACTTGGGAAATACTGGCCGTAAGCGTATGGGGGGGGCAACGATGAGTATTGGTAGGGCACATGCGGTGGATACGGTTGATATGGTCGATATGGGTACCCATATTGCTGCCCATGATAAGACACAATGTCACGGTGGTGACCTACTTCTGCACGCGGTGGGCCTGCTAAATCTTGATTGCCATTAGACTGGGAAGAAGCATTTTGAGTGCGTATATCTAGACTGTTGTAACCGGTCCATTGGCGATGCGACGACATGGCGATATCTCTGCGAAGCACTATCTAGCTAGCGATACAGCAGGGATGAGCGATGCCAGGCAATTCGCCCAATTGTGCAAGTGAAAATGAAAGTAGCGATACTCGCATTTGTCTAGATTAGAGATTCTACGTTCTACTACCCAAATCGTTCAACTCCCAAAATGGAGTCTGCGAACACCTTCATTGGGTGGGTTAAACGACCATTTCCAGCTTGGTATTTTCTTCATCAATCTCCAAAATGTGAGTTGTCAGGTGGAGAGGCAGCACTGGCAGCCATTCTGGCCACTCACACGACATTAACTATACCATATCATTTGAACTCTGCGGCCGTCCTCGCTTTGGCGCCACTATGATAAAAGTTTTTGTGAGAATCGGTACTCCACATCACATTATTTTATGGATTCATCCAATGTTTCCGGTGTCAATCACTGCCGATTGCCCACCATGACGGCTATCACCATGGTGCATGGTGTCAATGATTTTTGTTGTTTCTTCTTTTATACAGCGGAGGTTCCACTATGCACTACTGGTTCATTGTTTCAGTTCTGGTTTCTGGTTGTCAAGCTTCAACTTACAGACCCATTGAAATCTGCATGGCGGGTTTGCATGGGTTTTCTCGCCATTTTGGGGTTCGATTCACGTTTCCTCTTCCAACGGTAAGTGGTCTCATCCTCAGTCATGCATGTATTTTTCACGCGCGCCAAAGTCGCCGGGCTCACCCAGTCTTTGTTCTCATTTTTTCTCGGCCTGGCTCGATGGCTTATGTGTAAAGCCAGGAGTACACAACTCCCAAAAATGTCTCTTGTGGCGCCGGCGGTACTGACGCCAGCGCATCGCACCAACGCAACAACTTTCTATGTAAAAACTGAAGCTCTTTTTCTTTTTGAGCCACACCTGCACCTCTTTGGCTCTTTGGTCCGCACCAGCTTCCGCACCTCGGGGGCAAAAATTTGCACCTCTGTGTCGGCATAGCTAACCGCAGCTCGGAGGCAGATAATCCAAAAATTCTGCACCACCAGGGTTCGCACTCGGATGCAGTGGAAAATGGCCTGGATGGATGGCTTTAGCTGGCTTGGGGCTTGGGCACCACCAGCGCACCAGTCAACGCTCCAACAGCTGCAACAGATCTGGGCAATGGCTTTCTGGCTCTATTAATAGGTAGCTCGTAGCGAGTTATGTTGTGCGGCGGTTCTTCATGCCTACGGCTGTACAATGTGATGTTTGTTGACATGCTGCCTGTAGTGATCAAGACATGAAGGACAAAGACTTTTCTTTCACTGTAGATTTCAGAAAACCGATTTATCGACCATCGACAAGCTAGTACGGTAAAGGACCACTAGTAGACTAGCTAGCTGGGAGCAATACCAGCAGACTACATGTGCCGAGCTGCGGTGAGACAGTGAGACAACGAGTGTGCGCAACAGTTAGTTGTTGTGAAAAAGAGCTGAAAAGTGTGTCTACGGCTTTGAAATTCTCTAAGAGGAACAGCAGCAGTGGTCATCATCGACCATCGGAGGTCATGCGATTAAATCTTATTCTCCAAAGACCCCCACCTGGATTGGTGGCGAAACTCACAAGAGCTCTCAAGTGTAACCATACTTTAGGTGGTATGGGTATTTATTTTGTTAGTAAAATCAAATAAATACTCAAGCTATCGAGGTACTGTAGATAATACTTAGTCACGTGGGTGACGACTCCAATGAACAGCGTTTAGAGTACCGGTACAGTACTTCCGTTTTCAGTTTCCACGCACGAGACCAGCAAGCAGTCAGCAGTCAGCAGCAGCAACCAGAGTAACCAGTCAGTCAGCCGAAAAAAGTCGAGATACTCCATCCGCCACTTCCATCACAGCCCGGCACAATCTACTAGCCTTTCTCTTCTGCCAGAGCTTCATCTTTAAAGATAGATAACCATGGCGCCCTCTCAAGCACAGCTGCTTCAGCGGGTGGATCGGATCCACCAGAGGAGAGAAAACAAGGTTTGTGCCGAGTGTGCTCAGAGAGATTCTTGCTGGGCATCCATTATCCATCCTCCCCTCCAGGGGTTTTCTCTTGGTAAAGAGCTCGGGATATTTTGCTGTGGACGATGCTACAAGCATCACTCGGCTTTGGGGCCGAGGGTATGTGTCGTCAAGAGTCTTAGTACAGCAACCGAATGTAAGTGCTTCGTTAGTTAGGCTTTTGGGGGGTAGCATGCGGTATATGCTACCCATGGTCGTCCTGTTGAGTGGTTATCATGCGCGCTAACCCTTGCCATTAAAACCTGCTGATTCGATTCGAATGATTCTATTATACTATACAGGGACCGAGGAAGAAGTCAGAATCTTTAACAACAGCGGGAATGAGTTGGTGAACCGAATCTACGAGAGCAAACTCGGTGATATCGAACGGCACATGGAGAAAGAAATTGTCACGGTGGACCGAAGCGAAGAAGCCGCTGTACGCTCCGCCTTCATCACCAAAAAGTATAAACTCTTGAGATATTTTGATGAGAAAAATTATAAGCGAGTCATGGCTCGAATGAATAGTGACGAAGAGGAAGCCGATGATTCCGAGAGGAGCCGGGATGGTCGTCGATCGCTCGTCTTGCGGGGATCCCATTCGGGACGGAACTTGACAACCACTCCCTCGGGACGAAGCTTGGTGAATACCCCGTCGTCACGGAGCTTGGCACCGACCCGAGTCAAGTCTTTGGAGGATGGTCCTCCTACCTCGAGATCCCAGGCGGTTCTGCAAAGAGCCAGTTCACAACGAAAGAAGCAGATGCGAAAGTCCAACTCCAATCAAGATCTCATGTCCCGATTGAATGACATATCCTTGGGAGGAGCAACAGCAACAACCAGCACTAGTAGGCAAGATTCCAGTCGAAGTGTGGTGGATGAAAAAGCCATGGCAACAACAACAAACACTGACACGAAAAAACTCCTCAATCTGGAAACTTCGTCGACCAAAACCGCGGCAACGGAGACCTCTGACTCGTCGGAGGATTCGCCACCAGCAAAACCAACCAAGCCCATTTCAAAGAGCGCTTCCATGGTGATGACGGAAAAGTCGTTGAGAAAGCAACAACGACCCATGCGAAAATCTGCTTCCATGGTGGACACCCCAGCTGCCAACGCAGCCAGGGACGCGCGCCGGCCACAAATCAAGAGTGCCATGAAAAAGTCCATTTCGGCGCGGACGCTCAACATGATGAATGGAGGTCGTTGCAATGACGACGATGATGACGACGACTCCAGTTCAAGACCATCGAGCACAAGGAACTTGATGGCGATTCCACCCACCTTTCGGGCGGCACCCCTGCCGGGGCCCGGTGGTGGTGGAGGAGGGATGCGAAAGTCACTGTCGTTAAAGAATCTTGGCTCCGCTGGCTCCTTGAAGAGGTCTACGTCGAATAGCAAGTTGAACAGGTCTGATTCGAATCGGTCGGTGAACAGAACACCTTCCAACCGCTCTCTCAATAGGTCCAATTCGAAGCAAGCACTCAGCAAGACGCTCGACAGGTCTAATTCGAATCGATCAGTGAACAGAACACCTTCCAACCGAGCTCTCAACAGGTCCAATTCGAATCAAGCACTGAACAAGCCACTCAACAGGTCTAATTCGAATCGATCGGTGAACAGGACACCTTCCAACCGTGCTCTCGACAGGTCCAATTCGAATCAATCACTTAACAGATCACCTTCCAACCGCTCTCTCAATAGGTCCTCTTCGAACCGATCACTGCATAGTTCTATGTCATGCCTTGACATTGGCAACGATCATCTCCAGGCTGGTCCTGCTATGGGCTCTCTGAGAAAGTCATTCTCCAATCGGACCATGACGCAAGAAAACAACAACAATCACTTGGCTGCAGGGTCAGCCTTGGGATCTATGGAAAAGTCGTTCTCAGATCGATCACTCACGCACGATAGCGTGAATCAACTGGTAGGGGGGCCTCCAGCCATGACGCGGTCGTTTTCCAATCGATCCATGGTGCAGCAAGGTGACAGTGCAGCTGCGGCGGTTGCTCTAGCGCACAAGTCACTCTTGAGTCAGGCAGCTGCCGTCAGGAAACAGGGCACCGCCGACCTTCTGCAAAGATCGTGGTCGGGGAGAAATATGGGGGAAATGGAACGTGAACCCGACAATCTTCAGGCTTTAGGAGGAGCCGGCGGCAGGCCTGGCCTTGGACGCGCCATGTCAATGCGGGGGTTGTCGTCAATGGGAAATGTTGCAACATCGGGCTTGAGGAAATCGTTGTCGGGGCGCAATCTTCGCAACGATAACGATTCATTAGATGGCCCGCATTCAATGCACAACCCTTGGCTTAAGGGTGTCGTCAAATCACCATCCCCTCAATATGGCAACACGACAGGGACAGGTGACGAATGCTTGTCTGGACGGAATGCGAATGCAGCCCAACAGGAGCCAGACAATATGATGGCCCTTGGTGGCGGTGCGCGTAAGGGCGGCCTGGTAAGAGCCGGGTCACTGAAAGTTGCCAAACGACACAGCCAATCCCCTCCACGCTTGAGAAAATCAGCATCAGGGCGTAACCTTATGGAAGCAGAAGGGAATACATCTCTAAATGGCCTGGATGGTCGTTCGAGTCACTCACGGTCTCCATCGCGGCAATCAGCAAGAGCAACCCAACTGGGGGAAGACGACGAGAGAGGTAATGCGACAGCAATCGGCAAGTCATCGTCTGCGAACAATCTCAAATCCTTAGCTGGCAATGTATCTCCTCCTCGGGGTGGCCTGAGGAAGTCTCTTTCTGGCCGTATTGTGCACCAATCTAATGATTTGGATGCGGGTTCAAGTCACTCGCGTTCAAATCGCCAGACCAGGACGCTTTCATTTGAAAGAGAGAGGCCTGATTCGACAGCTTCGCCTGCGATCAGAAGGTCGTTGTCAGGGCGCAACCTTTTGGAATCCTCTAACCACGCTGGTCCCAATAGGCTTGCGCGCTTGCATACATCATTCTCCAACTTGAATGCATCGTTCAACAATTCGTTCAACAATTCGGTTACTGGAATGGATGCGGGTTCGAATCACTCGAACAGACCTACCCCAACCAATGTCCGTTCCCTTGACGAAGAAGACGGTGAGAAAGCGAAGGCGCCGTCACGAATGTCAATAAAGATTGAAGATATATCCCGCGGGCGTCAGCAATCGGTACTTTGTGCGTCTCGCAGAGACATGTATGACCCAGATGGCGGAGGACTTGCACTCCTTATGCAGGATTCCGAGGCCTCTTTTGCTAATCTTCCGGCGTACGATGCAGAAACTCAGCAAACCCGAGGCAGGGGACTATCACCGACAAGGTCAGGAAGGGGTGCGTCTCCGAAAAGGTCTTCAATGTCTATGTCCAAGACACCAATTCTCGAGGAAAGTGACGACGAAGACAAGGATTATCGAAAGCGTCGAGATTCACAGAGCAACCTTGCGGAGAAATCTAACGAAAGCCGTCTGGTGAGGCGTAGCAGCGATAGAAATATGTCTCCATTATGCCGCACTTCTCAGGGACCTCCAGAAGTACCATTGCACCGCTGCGATAGCACGGATCTCTCGCCACGACGAAACTCGCGCTGCACTACAGACCGGAACGTTAGAACGCCGAAGAGATCCCTCAGTAATGACGGGGACGTGCTATCAGGGAAAGGCAATTCCCCTGAGAAACTCACACGCAGCGCCGATAATGGACGGCTCCGGCCCATCCTCAAGAAATCAATGTCCATGCGACTTCCGAAGACGAAAGAGAGCCAGGAACCCTCGCGTCGTCTGAACCGATCATTTTCAGGAACTAGGCTGCAAATGAAAGACGAGAGCCCGGACAGGTCGAGGCGTGATTCTCGCCGAGGATCTTTGAACTCCAGCGGGGGGTCTAGCCACCACCGTCGTCACAAAGACAAAAAGAGCAAAAAGCACAAGAAAAAGAAGGACAAGAAATCACGAAAGAGGTCATCACGAAAAGATGATAGGCGACGCTCTAGCACGAACAGCTTGGACAATTCGGATACGGACACTGACACGGAAAAGAAACACGATCGTGAAGATCGACGCCGCAAGTCACCAGATCGCGACGACTCCAGAAGGCGAAGGAGCGACGGCAAATATGACAAGAGGGATAGAAGCCGCTCTAGGGATAGAAGCCGCTCTAGGGAAAGACGCCGCTCAAAGAATGGTGGAGGACGTCGCAATAGTGACAGTGACAGTGATCGCTCCATGAAGTCATCGTCTTCGAGAAGGAAGAGCCGGGATTCATACTCTGAGACGGATCGTTTCGAGAGGAAAGTGCGCCGATTTATTGAGTCTGTGGGGGATCCCAATGATGAAAACTTCTGGATCAATATGATCAATAAATGGGCGGTGCTAAACTAGCTATTAGAATAGATTGCGATGCCTTCAGAATGATCGAATCATTTCAGTTGAAAGGCTGATTTCGGCACTCATGCTTATAACTCGTCATTCTTCGTCGCTTCGAGTTCCAGGTTCGCTAGCTTGCCCGATACTTGCGCGATTGCTCGAACAACGTTGCCTTGTTGTTTGGACGATACGGCTACCGGTACCGTATACTTTCATCAACCTGAAACTGCTGGAAGTTCGGGAGACTAGTAGATCGAACAGCCGATTGCTGATGTGTTGCTTCGGCGCGACTCGTAGAGGACATCCGGCGAATGAAAATGTGCAACAGATTCTCGTGCAGCTCCAACAAGAATACGTCGTTTGCAACGGCCTGCTATACGATTTTCACTCGTTTCTTCCGAACAGAAGAGCCGTACCAGGTAGGTCTGAAAAAGCCATGACCAGCCACACCCAAAGTACGGCCTTTCACCTCCCCAACGATATCTTTCATTTATTTCAACCCATGCCGCAAAAGTAGATCTGAGTGTCGCCCAGAGTTTTTTCGAATGCGCCATTAGAGTTCGTCTGTGCCATAACGACGAGGACGATTCTGTCCTTGTCTCTCTATTGGAGCAGTTGTCGTCATTGATCTTTTGCAAGCAGATTGACGATCGTAGTATCCTTCCTCCACTACAAACTCATAGATGATTGTATAGGTCACAGCCTTGACAACGAGCACAGTGCCATCGTAGGACAAATGCACGTGTCGTCCCAGAGAATCGAGTTGGTTTCTCCCCCGGATATCCTTGCCCACTGTTATCCATTCCTTGCTATTCCTGGAGCCTCTATTGCAATAATCGTACACTCGAACCAGTCCCCGAGTATTCTCCGCGGAAGGTTCGGCAATGGCGATCCGGTTGCCATCTCCCGACAAGGAGGTTACCCAACCAAAAGAAGATTGTCGGTTTCTACTACTAGTAGTACCACTGCTTTCACTCGATTGATGAATGGTCGAGTCTCGAATCCATTGAACGGTGGTACCCAGTGTCGTTCGTCGAAAGATGGTGACAGCCTGTCCTCCTTTGGCGGGAAGAAGAATGGACAAGACTTGACCATTCCCCGACAAGGAGAGGGAAGAGCTACTGAGACCTCGTTGTCGGTTGGTTTGAATCCTTTCTTCTGTCCATTTATTATTGTGAACATCCCAAGAGAATATCTTGAAGGCTTTTCCAGTTGTCGTGGTTGCCAAAATGGAGCCATCACTGGAGAGGACTGCCCTGGTCACATCTTGGAAGGTATCTCCCTTGGGTACCCATTGTTGCTTTGAAGTCCCACCATGCACTTGCTGCTGCTGCTGCTGCTGATAGACATTTAAATAGTCCCGACTATCTGTGTTTTTGGATGATCTGTGGTGGGCAGTAGCCACCAACGCCACAGTGCGTCCATCATGGGACATGGAAATGGATTGTCCCAATTGGTCCGTGCTATTCTTGCCGTAGATCGTCTGTACGATTCGTGCCCGATTCTTGTGAGGGATCCACTGAAACAACGTGACGGATCCCGACTCGGATGTCAACTGTTGTCCATTGTACAAGGGCACCTGTTGAGAAGGACATCCCAAGGCCCAAATGTCGCCGTGGGATTCCGCCAATGCCAAGCTGGGGAGCGAGCGACAGGAGAACTCGTACTTCCAATCGTAATGCGCCGTTGGAATCGTCGTACCAGTGTTGTTGTGCCGTGAATACTTTAAAATAGTATTGACGGGATCCTCTCCCTTGACGTGACGGGGAGAATAGATCCACACGGTTGCCTTGTGGCGGTCGGCAATCATGACGGAACTCGTGGTGTGATGAGACTCTCGCCGTCGCCACAGAATCTTGCTGGGAATCTCCTCTACATCATACTGTGATGCGCCCACATACGAAGTAACTATACAGTAGTAGACCCATTGCAATAGAAGCCAGGAACGGCAGGTAGTAGTCGACATCGTTGTAGTTGTGAAAAGTGCTGGGTTTTCTGGGAATGATGAATGAGGTCCTTCGCTTTGGCAAAGAGAAATCCCAGCAGAGCTGTAAAAGCAGCCCGCCATGGTGTTCGTGACGAGTTGGGGAGCTCAGAAGGGGAGCAGAACGATGCGAGAATCTGCAAAGAATCGGTGCGTCAGGCGAGCTTGCTCCCACCACCCAAGAATCATCGCTGGAAAAAAACGGCGAACTCTTTCGCTCATTATTTGAGAGCGATGGGGGCAGGTGGAGTCCATCCATCGCCGCCATCTCTTTGCGCCTAGCTAGAGATGAAAAGAAGCCTCATGCATGTGTGTAAAAACTAAGATATTCTTGGCCTGAAATACAAAAGTTCGACGTCTCGGGACGCTATTGGGGTTTCGTCGTTGTTGATACAGTGTTGTTCTCCCTGTTTCCTCGTTGCTTTGCTTTTCTACTGCTAGCAACTTTTTCAAGCCGAACAAACAATAATACATGATGCCGTCGGAAAACAGTCAAATGGTAGAATCATGGTCGCCTCCACGCGTGGAAATCACGGTAGAAAGACTCGATGGCATCGTTTGGTCGACACCGGAACGGCCCAAGAATCGAGAGGAACTCAAAAAGCGTGTCCCTTTTGTGACGGCAACCGTCGAGTTTTCAGGAACATGCCCTGACATGAAGGTTTTCTCGGCCAGCACGTATCCACATTGCACACAACCAGCCGTGGAATCCTACTTTGCCTCCTTGGCAATTGACGAGGACGAACAAGGAGGACAGCGCGGCAACGAAGTTACCAAGATCACATCAACCACAACACAAGATGTTGGAGGGAGGAAAACGACTACTACCACCACCACAATCACAAAGATTCAGGCTGGAACTAACAAGCAGGTCACAGATGGCAATTATCCTTTGGTGGCTAAATGGTACGACGACTCAAGTGAAGAAAAGCTCATTGACTCTGTTACATACTTTACCAGCCCCCCGACGTTTGAAGATGCCGAGAGCAAAGCAGGTTCCTTGCTCACTCAAGGAAGGAAGCGAAATAGACCCCACTTGACCTTGAACCTACCATCAGCAGGTGGCCAACAGAGGGCTTCATTCTTGTCGGCCATGTTTGCAGAGCCGTGCAAGAATACTGCCGTGCAAGGCATGAAAGGCAAACACTACAAGGACAACCTCGTGCCTGCAAAAACACATTCCACAGCAGCCAGTACTCTTTGTTCGGGTTCTCACAACGGCGAATCGCCTGTTGGTGAGGGGAAAATACGGAACAAACTCACCGACGCAGGCAGCCTGCTCGACAAGGAAGACGATGAAGGCGACGCCGAACTTGAGAAGGCGATTGGAACCATGGTCACTCGCAAGGACGAGGCCATTGTGGAACCCGTAGTCGCAACGAAAAAATCGAAGGAAATGGTGGCATCGGTGATAGCAGCAGAGCCTTCTAGCGCTGTTGTTGGTCAAACCGACAAAAGCAAAGCAGGTGTAGATTCTTCGTTCGCGCCTTTGTCTTGGATGGATTGCGGAACTGCAGCCCCTGAGATAATAGAGCTGCGTGTGCGAGTTATGCCCGAAGACTACGACGAATACGATGAAATGGACCCCGAGAAGCAACATCTGGTTGCGGCACAAGATTTGGAAGGTGTGGCTCACTTGGTCTTTTTAGATCAGATTGTGGAGGAAGGAACCACTGTTATGGATCTTCCGTTGAAGATATCAGACGAGGCCAAAGCTATGACAAGGAGTGTGTCAACCATCCCCATGTTGGGTGACCAGGAATTCGTCACTTTAGGCGCCAATGCCATGCTGCGAGTAAGGGTCTCCATCCTGCCGCCAGTACGAAAGTTCGTGGCGTCCCCACGTGCCGGTCAACCAAACCTCCAACGAAACCTTTCCTTGAAAACAACCGAGGCTCAACCGCAAAGTTGGCCATTCTTCTCAATCCCCTTTTCACTCTCATTTTCGGCCCTTGAACGAGTTTTCAATATGATCCAATGCCACAGAGGAGACTCGTCTGGACAAGCGCCACGTTCAGAAGAAGAGACCCCCCAGAATCGGGTGCCTCCAGGACCCTTCCCTCACGAGTTCCCCGCGGTAGTCCCTGCTGATGGCAAGGCACAGACTGTAGAATCATTCTTGCCTGAAAACGCACTTCGAAAGACAGCACAACGGCCAGCAGAACCTTGGACGTTTTTCAAACCTGTGCCGCCAACGGCTGCAAAAAACAAAGGGAATTCAAAGATACCACACACCCAACGACAACAAGGGAAACGTCAGAGGAACAGTGCTCTTCAAGGACAAGACAAACGATTCTACACACTTAGAAATCGAGGAAGAAGCTCTTCGTCAACGAGTTCCGACACCAGCACGGTAGACGAGTATGAAGCTTCTGAGGCTGATTCTGAAGAGATATCACGAATGTTCATCCGATCGCTTCAATGAAAGAGTCGTCTGCCGGATTGAGGACCTTGCAGGTCTGAGTCCAGCATTCATTCTTGCAACGAGGCATGGGTGCTCCTGACAGCCCCAACGATAGACCAGATGCTCCCTTCCGTATCCTGCCCATCGTCCTTGCTGCTACAGAACAAATAAGCAATTGCTAGTTTTTAAATAATTCTCATAAGTTGCTTATTCCAAATGTACTACTCAAACATGCATGGATGTTCCAAACTATGCCATGAAAATCCGACAGACACGCTGCAAACAATTATATCAACAAGGAAAAGTCACTTTCTTCGTCGTCCAGGGAAGTGATGTCGTCTTCGTAGGATTGCTCAATTGTGTCAATGTACCGGTCTAGTCCCTTGACAACTTTCTTCATGATGTCCCGAGTAGCTTCTCTTCCGACGCAACCGTAAAGAACATCATTCAATAGCGTTGTGCCCGAGTGCGCTGCTGTAGTCAGCGATGCAAGAGACCTCAAGTCATCTCCCAAGTTGAAAGAAACCTGCTTCTTTGTCTTTGTACTGCTGCTCGTGATAATGATCTCATCGCATGGCAAGTCGTCCCCTCCAATCGTTTCGCGCCTTTCATCTACCAAATCAAACGTGTACCCCGATCGAGTCGATATGGGTATCTTCTTCTCGACAGCGATCGTGGACACAGGTACATCCATCTCGTCGGTGCCGTCAAAGATGCTGTCGTGCTCGAAGGACCACTTCGGTTTCTGTTGGAACTGTCTTGTGTGAACAAGGCCTCTCTCTTTGGCACTCACAACAAAATTGTCATCTTGATTTTGATTGCTGTCCTCGACTTCCTTCTTGTTTCCCTCGTCGTCGTCTTCTTCCTCCGAGTCCACACTTCCCTCTGCATCATCAAATAGAGGAAGCATGGGCTTGGCCATGATGGGCATGATCTTCGAAGCACTATTCGTAATGTTTGCTTCGTTCGTCTCGGCTTTTTCCGTATCAGCTAACCTAGTACCATCGGTGATGGCGGTTGCGGGACCTTTCGGCTGATCAAAGTCGCTGTGTTTCTTCACAAGAGAGGCAAACTCGGACAGAACCTTATTTCCTAACTTGCGAGCTTCCACGCTGTCTCCTGCAACGCTTTCCATTTCAACAGAGTATCGATCATTCCGCTGTTGCCTCAGAAGCCTCGCCGGAGACGATCCAGTTGGTGGCGGCGGTGGGGGCAACAGAGGGATCCCGCTTCGGGATCTCGAGGGCGATTCGGGTGGGGGTGGAGGGTTGGCCTTGGCAGCTGCAATCTCTTGCGGTGACACGTGTTTCACGCGAAACTTGTCAAGGTCGCGGACTATGTACCCTACCGACACATCGCTTTTTGCAGTTCCTCCGCCTAAGTGGAAAGTAAGCAAGAGAAAAACACACATCAGATTCTCTTCCAGCAACAACAAATCAGGAGTCTACTCGGATGGGAGCTTTCTCACCTTTACTTTGCTCGTGAGGAATCTCTCTAGTTGGGTTCTCTCCTTCGTCGTTGGCGGCAAGCTCCTCCTTTTTCTCCTCGTCGAATTGGATACTGTCCACTTCAATGTTTGGGAAATTGGCTTCGAAGTCAAAATCATCAAAATCATCGTGGAAACGGTTGTCGTTCCAATCAACATTACCACCTTCGTGCTGCTTCTCTTTCTTTTCTCTCTGGACAACGTTATGTTCTTCTTTCTTTTCTTCTTCTTCTCCTTTGCGCTCCTTCTGTCGAAAGAAACTTCTCCTTCTGCGGCTTCTCTCCCTGGGAGGCGGTGGCAGAGGTTCAATCTGACTGGCCGTCTCCTTGACGCTGCTGCGCTCTTCGCCGTCGACCTCGCTGTTTCTTGCATCGGCATTATCTGATGCTTTGTTCGTCTCGTCCTTGTCTTCGTCGTTGTCCTTGGATAGCTTTTCCTCTAGTAACCGTTGCACAGAGAGATGCAGATACTGTTTGTGCCACTGCATTTTGGCAATATCTTCCCTCGCCGACCCAAAGGAGTCAATCCTATTGGCCGACGAAAACGAAAGATTCCGAAGGGGGGCTGAGGAGAAAGAGGCCGACCGCAATTCTTCACTGTCAACACCCCCCACAATATTGACATGTTCTACCACATGCCCCGCATCGTCCAAACTTCTAGTACTGCGCATCTTGTCTGGTTCTAGCTGCTGCCGTGGTTGTCCTTCCTCTTCTTCCTCCTCTTCTTCCTCCTCGTCGTCGTCAAGATCCATAGTGTCCACCGGACTTCCCAACCAAGCCAATGGTTCCTGTTGGAGGTTGTGTTTGGGGACGAGATCGTCGTCAGGTGGGTCTTCCGATAGTGTTGGCAAGATGCTCGGTGTCGACGTTGGCTGCTGTGGACAGCGACCTAACTCGCCACAGGCAAACCCAGCCAAGAAAGGTGCAATGATTCCCTCCTCCACTTCCAATGAATCCGCGCTGTTGCATTGAGTGGTGACAAGGTTGTTGTTGGTGTTGTGTTGCTGCTTGTTCCGACGACCCAAGGAATGAGCCAACACCAGAGCATCTTCACTGACATGATTAAAGCTGTCAACGGTGATTTCAATATCTCCTAGGCTGGATTTGATCTTTGTATGGTTGTCGCTGTTTCTGCTGTTGTTATCATCCTGTTGTTGTTGGGGGACTATGCGCCTTTGAATGAGTTGCAGTGGTCCACCCTCTGGCTGCTTTTCTTCCTCCCAGTCCTCTGTGTCTTGCGAGTCGTCGTCCTCCACCTCATGTTGGTGTCGTTGTTGATAGTATTGAATATCTGTCAAAAAATTGCCGAGTTGTTGTGATGGTTCCTCATCCTTCTTTTCCTCATAGCCACCACGGCCGCGCAAGATGGAATGCCTGAACAAGTCATGGAGAATGGACTTTTTGGGGTGGGGTTGCCGGGCATTGGTGGTGGTAGGATCATAGTAATAGTATTCTTCTTGCAGCAAGCAGGTAGATTCTTCATCCAGCACTTTGACCTGGTTCTTGTCGCTGTCAATTTCAATGGTAAAGCGCTTACTATTACCATCTGTGGTGGTGGTCGTCGTCGTTTCATCTTCCTCATCCTCATCTGTCTCGCTGTAACGAAATTGATGATTCAAGAGCAAAAGGGCTTCATCGGTATCCACGCCGGCACTGGACGGACAGTCGGGATCCAAGCTGTCCGTAGTGCTGCTGGCTTTGGAATGTGGCGGAGTATCCTCTAGCTTGACGGCATTCCCCGGCTTTATCTTCTGCTTACTACTGTTCTTATTATTGCCACGTTTCTTGGCTCGAACGGAGAATCGAATCACCTTTTTGCCAACGCCACGAAACAGCTTGCGAGCCAAACTCTTTTTTTCGGCCGCTGTTGTTGCGGACTGCTGCTGCTGTGGTGGTGTTGGTGGTGTGGGTGGTCGTTCGACGGGTCCGTAATCGGCGTCATCGTCGTGGATATCTGGATCGTCCACGATAAAGTCGTAATCATACTCCGTCTTGACCCGTTCTCCTTCGGTGGTACATGTACTGGTTCCATTGCAATTGTTGACAATGATGGTATCTCGAATCAATGGATCCTCGTCATCGTCGTCGTCGTAGTGGTAGTAGGAGCCACTGCGAGGGATATCATGCGTCAGGAGCACCATGGTGAAAATACTAGGAGAAGACGACGCAACGCAAACAGCTGCTTGTATTGTTTTGTGTTCCTGATGGTGGTTGTAAAACTGGTTCACCAAATAGACGACGAAAGCAGAGGTCAAAAAAGCAGTTCCCGTGCTCCTGTGCTCGAGGCGTGACTTTAACTGCCACGGGTATCTATGGGTATCTTAGGCTTGGCTTGGCCAATTTTGGTGAGACGGTCCGCCATCCCGCGTCTTGTCCTCAAATCGGACAGTTACAAAAAGATAGTGAAAGATTTTATGATAGTGCGCCACACAAGCACAATCAAATCTACCCGTTAGAGATCGATGCCCTTACGCGGGGAGCCTTCCAAAGTTTCGGTTTGCCAGAAAAAAGTGGCGAGGATTGCCAAAATTCGGTGTAGCTTCGATCACGAACTGTTCAAGTCACGCGAAAGATGACTCAATTTTCGGAACAAGGATAGAACAGAAAAAGGCTCCACGGGTACAGAATCTTCGTATCTTCCGTTCTGCAACGGCTAATCACAGTCTCTTCCTTCCATACTCAAGTAGCCAACAGCCAGTTATGATAGTCTAGCTAGTTGGATTACAGTACTGTACAGTAGATGAGAAGGATGTTGTCAACGAGGAAACGAACCCTCCTCAGCTGGTGGCTGGCTATTGTCGTTCTGTTATCTATATCTATATCTACCACCACTGCCACGGCGGCCGAGAAGAACAGCCCTGATCACAAGCCTTCCGTCCATGTAGTAGACAGCACATCCGATGATGATTACGATGATGATCCTCTCTATGAGGCCAATCCAGACTATTCGGATACGGACGACGATGACAGTGATCACGAGGAAGAGGAGGAGGAAAAAGCCAAGACAGCTGTGAATTCTGCATTAAAGAAAAAAGAAAAACTACCCACAAGAGTCATGACCTTTGTCAAGAAACGTCGCCTTCAAATCACCTTGGTCTTGACCGTGATTGCCTTTCGACGCGAAATTGCCAAAGTCATCCAGACCAAGATCTTACCCAAGGACGGCACTAAATATAAGATGCCACCACTGGATTTCACGCAACTCTTGAAAATTGTCGTCTTTATCGACATTATGCGACAATTGCAAGCCGCGGGAAACAAAAAGGGAGATCCACTCTTGATTGCCTTGCTATTATTAGGAGCCAAGAATCCCGTCATGTCTTCCATTCTCACAAAGACCCTATTGCAAGAAAACAATAGCTTTATTCCACCCATCGAACAGCATTATACCTTTGAACGAATCAATGATCGGTATGATAAGGATACCCAAGCCCTGCAAAAGGCGGCACGGTACAGTCCAAAGAAAAAGAAATCAGCCAAGGAACCCATCTCCCAGCTCTACCAAAGCTTGCGCGAGAAACAACAACACGCAACGAATCCACAAAAGTACGCCGCAACCATTATTGTCCTGGATCTGAGCAATATCAATAAAGCGCCGGGACGAATTGACATGCTACGAGATGAAGTCTCGTTTCTGATTCATCAGCACGACAAAAAGACTATTCCGTACAATACTGATAATGACAATGACGACAATGACGAGGAGGAGGAAGATCGCCAATTAGAAGTATTGGTATTGCTGGAATCACCCGGTGGCGCCGCCAACGAATTTGCCTTGGCATCGCAACAATTGCTACGACTGCGGAACGTGGAGAATATCACTGTCACGGTCGTCGTAGACCGGATCGCCGCATCGGGAGGGTACATGATTGCCTGTGCGGCATCACCGGGGCAGCTCTACGCCGCACCCTTTGCCGTGTTGGGCAGCATTGGGGTTATTGGACAAGCCATTAATGTACAAAAGTTACTCGATGGATGGGGGATTCAGGGTATGGTGTTCAAAGCGGGCAAGGACAAGGCGCCCGGTGGCAATTTGATTGGAGAAGTCTCCAAACGCGACAAGAGGGGACTTCAGTCCATTGTCGACGAAACACATGCTGCCTTTAAACGATACGTGGCAGAAGCTAGACCGACTTTGGCACGTACCATTGAGGATGTGGCTACGGGTAAAATATGGCTCGGATATGATGCACTGGAAGAAGGACTCATTGATCGGGTCGTCACGAGTGATGAATACATTCGAGAACGAATCATGGACGAGGATGCTTTGGTTCTGAAGTTGATCAAGAATACACGCAAACGAACCCTCTTTGGCGGTGGTCCCAATCAATCACAGCAGGGAATTCTGGACCGGAGCATCTTTTCGATCAAGACGGAGGCCAAAAAGGCTCTGTCGTACTTGGCAGAACGCGTCAATCTACCAGTTTCTGGCGGCGAGGAGTTGGCGGCGGAGGACGATATATCAACACTGACTTCCACAAAGTTGCCGTATCACCAGACCCCCAAAGCGCAGGATACCTCGTTTTAATATACCACCAGGTTGCCCACCTGAGCGACGGATCCAAAACAGTTTGTGGAAGTATCAGAACACACAACTGGATACCACATGTGTGCAAGTATGCATTGCTTGTGGAGTTGCTGTGTACCAAAAGCAACGGCAATACTGAAAGTCGCGCCCCACGCCTATGACATGGCGCAGAAAGGCGGCTATTGCTTGCTCCTGCTTGAGACACAAATAAGAGCCCTTTTGTTGCCAACCTTGCAACGTTCTTTTGTTGAAAGGAAACACTCCTGTGAAGCTATTCTTCTGGCTAATATAATATTGAGTTCTAATAAAGAACTTGTGCTACGTTTCTAGATTCCTCGTGCTGTTTTTTGTCAGTCTCCCTTATAGCTCCAGCTTGTAGACTTTGGCATCCCTCCACTTGTCATCCTTTTTTAAATGCCGGGGTAACAGTTCTTTAAACACAAACCCGTTCTTTTCCAAAACCCTAGCAGAGGCAGCATTGGTGTCGAATACCTTGGCAATGATGGACTGCCACCTGCAATCCGTTTTGGTAGCGTAATGTTGACACATTGCTTGCACTACCTTGGTCATGATACCTTGACCCCAGTGGGGCTTGGCCAGCCAGTAGCCCAACTCGGCAGAATTTTGCCAAACATCCGTGAATCCCACGCACCCAATCAATTCCAAGGTATCGGTCAAGCGAATGGCCAAGGTCTGAGGATGACCATTCACCGATCTTTCTTGTTGTAGGTTGACGAACCAATTGGCGTCTTCTTCCTTGTAGGGATAGGGGACACGAAAGGTGCGCTCATAGATGTCTTTGTCTTGGTTCAAATGTTTGACAAAGGCTGGGACATCTGAGGAGAGGATTTCGGAGAGATGAATCCGATCATTGACGATTAGTCTGTCGAGTTGTTTGCTTGTTGTTGTCATTGTGATGCTATTATTGACGCAGTGGTTGTGGAACTTGTGGTGGAAGCTAACTAGAAAGCCTTGCTTTCAAAGTTTAAAATTTGAAACCTCTGTTTACAGTACCGGTAGTCTAGATTGTGCACGTCTGAAGTCACTCTGACACAGGACACACATCCCATGTACCGTACAAATGATACGAATGAGCCATCCATAGGTACTAGTACCAGTAAGTGCTACAGGGGGTTTGGTTGGGTCAGCAGCATATCATTGACTGCAGCCTGACGTCCCTCTTTGGTTTTAAAGGTCCCAAAACTTGGAGCTGGACGGAGACCCCGAGACTGAAGGCGGATGGCTTGGGTGCTTCAGTTGGTGGCCACAGAGAGGCATCTTCAGCCTCCAGCTTCCACACAATGCTCCCAGCTACACAGCTAGAAGAGGCATTGTCGTTGACAATGACCCGACCAGAAGTGAACTTGAGGGGGAGAAAGTAACGAGCCTTCTTTCCCGTTGGATCTTTCAGTTGCTGGTCCTGAGGATTTCTATTGATGGCAATGTCAAAGGATACGGATCCACCCACTAGCTAGGTTGCTGTGGAAAGCGACAGTTCGATATAGAGTTGCCAAAGCTCCACCATGGAATGGCAACAGAGACAGTCGCAGTGCCATCCACTTTTTGCTTGGTAGCCAACATCACTTCCATGTTCACTGGAGACATGAGTTGCAGCACCCAGGGCCACATCATCATGGAAGTTTTGAAAGTTTAACGTTGAACAATGATCCCAATGCTGCCACACTCTGCAGATGATCTAAAGTGGCGCTGCCAGGACAGGTGACAACATTGGCACATCCATCTTCCTCAGAAAGGTTGTTGTGACCACTGAATGGCCCAACAATGGTGTCGTGACTTGCCAAGGAAGATACTGCTTCCAGCTGCAAAACCCAGGTATGTAGTTGCCAAGCTAGCTACTGTATTCTGATCGCACGTAGCCAGTTTCACAACCAGCAAAAGCTGCAACCGTGGTGTTGCAGATTTGTTTTTCATTGGGCATACCTGCAGCCAGGCCGAGCATGCTGTTGCATCTCGCCCCATCTTCCCTGTTTCTGGCATATGCACTTGCCGCTGTGCTATCGTCTCCTGTCTGAAAGCCCCTGAGATGTGTGCATCTTTGCCACAGCAACATCGAAGCTGCCTTTACGGTTTGTACCGGTACTGGTAGTCTACCTTACTGTACCGTACGGTGCTTTGTACACAGCCAGGCACGCGTTTGGATGGATGTCACATCCATGAATGAAAGACGCGGTCTTTGTCGATTGCGCAAGTGTTCCGTCAAAACACAGCCAAAAAGGAAGCCTGCAAAAGAGAAAAGGAAGTCCCCACATCATTTCAACCCAAGCAACAAGCAACACAACTCTTCCCTCGAGTTGCATCACAGAGTAGAGTAAGGAAGGTTTTCGTAATAGCCATCACCGACAACATCCAGGATGGGAGAAGGCAGCGATGGCGGAAGACGAGATTCGAATGAAGTCCAGAGGCCTTCCAGTGCGGCGGCCATGCGAGGACAAGCGGTCTTTGTAAGTTCTTTCTTGTTGCTACTGCCATCTGTCGTTGACCTGAAGAGCGTATCAATCTCATCTCATCTCTCCGTCGTTGATTGTCCATCAGGTCCGCCGGACATCGGAAGTTGGCGCCATGGGCTGGGGCGAACGTTTTCGTGCCAAATCTCGCTACATTTGCCGCAAGCTCCTGTGTCAGAATCCGAACAACGCAGACTCGCTGGAACAAGATGTGGAAGACATGAACAAGGACGCGACGCGCAAACAGTATCGACTCGAAGCCACACGAGCCAATGCCAAATCGAGTTGGTTGCACTTTTTGACCTGCGGGTTGTTGGGGCGAGAACGACGCGGGGGCATGACCATTGGCATTAATCCCAATCAACAATTGGCCATGTACTTGCATTGGATGTTCCGCGTCAATTTCTTGTTTTTGTTTTGTGTCATGTGTGTCATGTTCTTTGTACTGGTCATGGTCTTTGCCGCACTCATTATCATGGCCGGAGTCATGGATGATGAATGTGTCCGCATTGGAGGAGCTCCTTTTGGGGAAGTCAATTCGGAATTTGCCGATGCCTTTGCGCTCTCATGGACGACCTTTTCTACAGTGGTACGTGCACATCTCGGTTGTGGGTGATGGATGGATCATGCATGGACAATCTTTTATGGGATCATCATCTAATCTTGTACATTCTTTCTTTTTTCTCTTTCTTCTATCTTGTGTTCTATTTCTAGGGCTATGGATCTACCTATCCGGCGCTGGGTGCCGAAAATGACAGTCCGACAAATTGCTTCTTTATCACATTCATTTGCTCTCTAGAATCACTCCTGGGAGTGCTATACTCTGGATTCTGTGGAGCCATTCTATTTGGTAAAGTCTTGCGTATTCAGTCTCATGCACAAGTCATCTTTAGTGACCCCATTGTCATTCGGTACGGCACGGGAGTGGCGGAAGGAGGAGACTTTGACAACAATACTAGTAATAACAATGCATCCGATGACGAAGGACCCAGCAGCAAGAAGAAAACCAAGAGTCATCCTTGTCCCGTACTCGAGTTTCGAATCGTCAACCGTCTCTTCAATGAAGCGGGTGGCGAAATCATGGATGCGACTTTGAACGTTGTCGCCAATGTCGATGCCAATGATGCCGATCCGTCTCTCATTGATGCACTCGATTCGGATCGCAAACGGTACAATCAGTCATTCGGTACTGCTACTACTACTGGACAACAACAGCAACAGCTTGGAGGGCATCATTCCAACAGTGACATGGCATCCACGGTCAGTCATGGAGATACCTCGGAATCGGACCATGTCTACGAAAATGGACATTTGTCACCGACCGCCAACAATTTGTACGCCAGTTCCACGATTCACTCGTCCACCCATACCAATGCGTCGGCGCTTCCCTTTCCCAAATTTTTGGATCCATTCCACTCGCTCATGGGTGGTGGAGGAAAGGTCGATCATCAAGCCATTGACGAAGATCCATCCGCGCGACTCGTGAGCAAGAGAATCTTTTCCAAAATGCTCATTGAAGCCAGTGATCATCCGTTCTTCAAACGAGTTTGGTTGGCACGTCATGTAAGTTTGACTCGACTCATACATATGCATGTTATGGATGGCTGCATGACTGTCGACACGCACAGGAAACATCCCACTCAAACATTCCGTTCGTTTCTTCTGTGTTTCTATAGGTTTTGGATGAAACCTCGCCCATTCTCAAGCCGCGGGTTCGGAGACAGATTCGACGCAATGGCGGATCCTGGCCGGAACGCCTTTGCACGTGGAACGCCATTCGCGATTCCTTGCAGTTCAACCAGATCTTGGTTTCTTTGAATGGCGTGTCCAATGTCAGTGCCTCGGATGTCTATGCACAAAAGATTTATGACTTTGTGGACATCAATGTCGGATATCAGTTCGTCAACATCCTTTATAAGGACACCGATGGAGCCCTGAAGGTTGATACAGGTAAGTTACAACCACTCAATTCAATTCGTTCCGCAACAATGATGGAACTCGTCCTGCATACTCTTTCTTCAACCACTGATTGAATCACTCCACTTTTGCATTGAAACTTCCGACTCCAGACCTCATTAACGATGTGCGCGAGCAAAAGGGAGGCGGCGGAGAGCCTCTTATCATCGACGAGTCCTAGGTAGGCGTAGCGGTAGATATCCACTATAGTATAGTTGCAATTCCATATGGCGTTCTACTACGTAGCCAACAGGAAAGGAAAGCCAATGTTCCCATATTAAAATTTACCCTGTGTTAGCCACCCCCTGCGCCACCAGCATAAAAACAGCTTTGCGGGCTTGATACCGAGCACGAATGAAGCAGGAAGATCGAGGATCACAAAAGATCCGGATCCTCGCTTTCTCGAGACCGAGACTTCGACGATGATCTTTCAGATCTTCTCCTCCCACAACCATCTCAAGCTGTGGGGACATACCGGCCACAAGCATCAGCCAAAGAAAGTGTACACTACCAGGTATGGTTCGATTTTGCGTGGAATCTGGCAGCGTGATCAATGCTCCAGCCAAGGAAGTCTATGACGTTTTGGCCGACTACAACAAGGGCCATCCCAGGATTATGCCACCGCAATTCTTTGATGGCATGAGAGTGCTGAAAGGAAGTGGCGTAGGCGAAGGGACACGCATCGAAGCGCGCTTTAATGTGTATGGAAACAAGGAAACTCTGTTGATGGATGTTTCGGAACCAGAAAAGGGTCGAGTTTTGCAAGAGATTGATTCCAAGGCAACCAACATTACACGCTTCATCGTGGACCCCATCGATGACTCGACGACGTGTAACGTCACGATACAGACCAAGGTCATGAAAATGCAAGGAATTGGGGCTGGCCTGGATATGTGGATCAAGAAGATTGTACTGAAAAAAATCTATGTGGAGGAACTCAAAATGCTCAATCAGTTCATGGAATCAAAAAGGGCAATCAAACCGTAGCGGTGAATTTTTGTCTTGTCGTGTTGCTGAAAGAAAGAGAGGTTCATCTTTGCGACCAGTTTTTGTATTGTGTTTGACGATCAATAGTGGCGAACACACTTTACCTGCACACGTGTACCATCTCTCTGATTATCTTAGACTAATATTGATATGTTTTATCCTTACAATAGGCCATTGCTAGGAAACCCACTAACAGCCAATTTCTCACTAAAAACTCTCATCAGGTCCATTGCTACTACGAAAAGGGGAAATGTCGTCTTCGGTATCTGATAAGGTTACAACTTTTTCCGTAGAGACACCCCATCAAAACCTTCCAAAAACTGGGCGTCGTCACGTGGGCCGCCACAGGGGGGCCTGGGATCTGGGAGGGCTACTGTTCTTGCACTTGTCAGCTTTTTCAGTGCCAAACACTTCTTGAAGGGTGGTGAAGGTACCAGTACTATTGACAGTACTATTGATTTACCAGCGCAGCTACACCTGATCGGGTGCAACTAAATACATGTACCGGTGGCATTTGAGCAAATAGCTACTACTGCCATGTAGTAGCTACATAACAGAAGCTTCTGGCTGTGGTTCTATCTCTGGCAGGGCTCTAATGACCGTATGCATACATGCATACCGGTACACGTAATACGCGTTTATTTGTTTGTTAATATCCACCGGTGCTGTGGGTGTTCGGGTATCGCGAGATGCCGATGCAGAGCTCCCCTCGGCCCCACAGCACCTAGCTAGGATGTACCACTACTAGTAGTAATAAGAGTGCAGTTATTCCAGGTGCCGGTAACGTGAATGTGCATGTAGATCTAGCCGTATCCTAACGGAGGAGTGGTGGAGTGGTACTCTAGAGTACAAGTACGCCACAACTAAAAGACCTCATTTATGTGAGCGTGTCGACTCGATATGTTGTCGCCTTGCTTGTAAAAGGAGGGAGGGCGTCACGTTGTTTCCGGCCACTTTTTGTCTCGTTTTCGTCGAAATTTGGCGATTTCAGTGCTGATCTCAAGTCTTCCCTCGCTCCAATTACTCGCCCATTCATCAATACACCAAAAGAAAAAGCCAATGGCATGGTAATCTCGCAACAAAACAACCAGTGAGCTGTGATTGCCTGCAACATAACCAAGAGCCAGTGGCGACCTGTACCATGAGACGCCGACCAACAGTGTGCAAAACCTCCACGGATAGCACCGCGGAGGATTCAGATGCCGATTGTAAGGTGGTCCCTGTGACCAAGGTGCGCTCGCCCTTGCACTCTCATGATCCGATCGAGGTAGAAGCGGTGGATATGCGGTCCAATAAGAAAAAGAAGAAGCAGAAGCAACCTGCAGGAAAAACGCAAGAGCAAATTGTAGCAAAAAAGCAACAGCTACCGGTCGCAAAAATGCCAGAGCAACCTGTTGCAGAAAATAACTCAGCACAAGATATTACCACGATGCCTCGATACACCGGTATGGAAGACCTCAGAGATTTTGATCTGATGAATATCACCATTACGATCTACGGTATTACAGGGGTCATGTGTGAAGAGAAGGAAGAGAAAAAGAAATCAAAGCGCAAGAATTCCACATCCAAAGTACCGGTAACAACCAAACAAACCGCCGAAACCGACGATGAAGTTTCCGAGCCCAAAGGTTTTCCAACCACGGTTGCTGCCTCTGTGGGGAGAAATGCTATTAGCAGTCAGACTCTGATTGAAACCTTCTACCCCAGTCAACCGATAGAGATTACATCCATTCCAGGTCAGACTACCAACTTATCTGCACTATGGCAAATGCCACCCGCAGCGTTGATGAGCGCGGAGGCACGCCAAATGGAAGACAGCAACAGCTTACCATGTGAATCATCCTTCCAGTTGCTCCGAATGATGATGAAGAAACCCTATACACGGGGACAAGTGCTAGTGGAAAACTATGTTCATGAGCAGGTTCAGATTGGAGTCAACCTTTGTAGGGGGACAGAGCTCATGGAGCTTGGGGTTGCCACACTGATCATCACTGGGGAGGAAGAGGGACAGATTTTGATGCATGTCCCGGCAAGGCCAAGCGCCAACCCGGGTATTCGAGACGCCAAAACATGCCGATCAAGTAAAAAGAACAAGGAGTCCAAAAAGAAGAAGAAACCCAGAAAGGCATATTTTCGTGACGATAACAAGCGAACCTTTCGATTAGGCGAAAACGCGTCTTTGTACGTGGGCGTGCAAGTCAATCCTCAGCGAGATGTGGAAGCCGCCGAAAGATTCCACCAACAAGAGCTCTCTGACTCCAAGGCGTTTCATTGTGAAAGTACGGAATCCCAACTGCTCCGTGCTGCTCATGAAGCCAAGGCAAACCTCGTTAAATACCGAGAAATTCAGCTCGAAAAGGAGGTTCAGAAGCACATGCAAATCTTCTCTCAAGAGTCAACAGAAAACGATGAGGAGGACGATATCTTGGTTGGCAACAGAGAAGTCATATCGCCAACGAACCATGCACAACCAAACACTTTGGCCGGATTGTTTTGTGGAGCGATCCCAATGATGGCTGGTGGCACCACTGCCTGTGCTGCCCCCAATTCCACTTCATGCGTAGCCCCCAATCCTTGCATGGCTTCCACTGCAGCCTGCGTGGGTCCCAATCCGGGGGCAATGAAATCGAAGTCTGTTAAGGGAGGCAACGGTGCAAAGACTTTAGAGGATACTACCAGTGCCCTGAATCGAAAGAACAGCATGCCCTTTTCGACAGTGCTGAACGTCAAGTATTCACATGAGTTTGCCAAGTCCTTTTTCAGCGGGATTACGTTCAATCAAAGTGATCAGTCGTCCGAAGACCATGAGATTGCTGATATCATCAATAGTGCCCGTAAACTTGTCACTGGCGCAAACGTATCTCCGGATTCGATGGAAAAATCAGTTGATTTGCACCCAATTTAGGATCTTGTACTTTATTCTTTCTTCCCTCTTGGTTGGGTTGCCTACCGCCTTCCAATTTGTTTGGTGGAGGCGGCAAAAACTGTCATCCGCCTGTAGATAAGTGCTGGTCCCGGTGGGCAGCATTCTGAGGCTAATTTGACGGTGGGCAGCATTCTGAGGCTAATTTGATTCATAAAACAGCATAAATAAACTGTAATAATAACACCAACGGTACCGGTATGTTCTTGAAACGCTAGAGATGCATTGTTTTGTCTTTTAGGTACCGGTAGCTTGGCGTCTCAGCAAACGTGCCCGTGGAACAGGCCACTTTCATGTTATGAGAATTCAGCTTGGAAACATGAAATGGTTGCCCGGACCCCACTTTGAAATGAAATGCCAAGTTCAAATGTTGCTACACCAAACATAACCATACCGGTAGCACAACACACAACAACACAGGGTTTCGTTTTGATGCGACAGAAGTTTTAGAATACCTGCTTGATTAGCTAACTCTATTGCAAACGTTTGCATATGCATAGCTAGTTGGGTGCTGGAAACATGTCTACCAAATCCGCAAACCCTGGTGGAAGGACTACATCTGCTCCGCATTCTTTCATGGCTTTGCATAGAATGGAAGAATCAAAGGGTTCTCCCTTGGCAGCAGCTGCAGCCACTGCTTCAGGTGTCGCAACACCAACTCCTCGACAACCAGCTGCCACAGCGGCTCGAATGTCATCGGGTGTATCGCCTACCAGTATAACCCCAGCGGAAGGCTCCACTCCCAACAACTCGCAGCATTTCTTGACGGGAAAGGGATCTGGTTTGGGTGGCCCATCTTCCATGCAAACACTGGCTTTGACGAGATGATCCAAGTTATGCAATTTCAAGAACTTGTCGCAGTCACTTTTGGGTCTTCCCGTGACAATACCAAACTTTCCACCTGTCGATCGTTTGGCCAATTCTTCCATGGTTTCCTTGGAGGGTATCAGGGTTTCCGTGTCACAGAATCCAGGTGTGCTGCCATCGCCTTGGTAGAATTTTTCAAAGGTTTCCGTGACCGCTTCCAGCGTCAGACCTTCCTTTTTACCATCCGTGGACTCCATTATCAAATCCAATGAGAGCTTCCAATCATTGTTGCATCCACCTCTTGCTTTCCAATCCGAGATGGTATTCTGCGTGACGGACTTGGCCCCATAATGGTGGCAGGTAGCTTCAATGGCGGCGCGGTAGGATTTGGATACCTCGGCTAGGACGCCATCCATGTCCAAGAGACAGGTCGTGTACTTTGCTGAGGTTGATGACATGATACTGCTGATGGCTGAAGAAGTGAAGAGAGTTTAGCTCTCGTAGTCCAACAAGAGACAGTTATGGCGAAGAGAATGAAGGCTGCGGTCTGTGGGATGTGGGATGGGTGATGTGTGGTCCTGAGAGCTGAGAGCGGTCCCTCATCCTCATCCTTTTTTACAGCTCTGTCATTTTATTTCAATGAATGACGTCGCTCCCGACCCAAACCCCCGTGATGATGTACTAGCTAGCTAGTACAGTAAAAGGCAAACCCAAAAAGAAATAGATGGGGAAACTTTTGCCCTGGAGATAGAACGTGAATATTGTGTGGGTTGTGTAAGGCTAGCAACAGAGGTGCACAGCACCCTAGAGGCGCGGAAAGTTTTGCCCCAGAGGTGCATACCCTAGAGCTGTTGCGCGAAGGACAGACCAAATAGCTAGATAAGCAGCAACACTGCACTCTCACTTATCCTTTAGCATGACATTACACTGATTGATAGGTCTCTTGACAGGTTATGATGCCCACACTACGCTACCGCTAGTGCCTTGTATCTCTACCGAAGTGCTTCTAGTCTCCTGCTATTGATTCCCATGCACTCCATTCCTTTTTCCCATCACTCTTTTCGGTTCTGCTTCTCTCACTACTGGTCCTTTCTTCTTTCACGTCTTTTGATCTCCAATGCTATCGCTGGAACCAGTCAAGTTGTACCCGGCTTGCCAATAGCAGGAGACTAGAAGCACTTCGGTAGAGATACAAGGCACACTAGCGGTAGCGTAGTGTGGGCATCATAACCTGTCAAGAACCTATCAATCAGTGTAATGTCATGCTAAAGGATAAGTGAGATGCAGTGTTGCTGCTTATCTAGCTATTTGGTCTGTCCTTCGCGCAA